GGCAGACTTTTTCTCTCTCTCTCTCTCTTTTTAAGTCATCCGGGGGTCTGCTCAGGCATTACAGCTTTCAAACTAAGTTTGACTGAAAGATGGTAACACGCCCGTTACAATGGGGTCGAAACTCATGTTAATTGAGTAGATGACCCGTTTAGAAACCTAGTTTAGTTTGATGACTCAAGATTCACAATGCAGTACGTAATGATGTTATTGTCTGAGCGCTAAGAAAAAAGAAATTGATAATAGGTGTACGTACATTGACGATATCTCATTATTGTTGCTTCTTCGTTCCGTATCGTATTTTACAATAGTGAAAATGACTTGCTCAGTTATTGGATTATACTCCATAGTAATGGATTTACGACAGACCAATAAGGCAAAATAAAGAGTGGACTTAATATACTAATATAATGATGATGGCTTTACAGTGAGCCAGTGGAAGGGTGTACGAGAGAGAAGAAGAAGACATATAGTCTAGCTAGATGTACTGAGCTTTTATTTTTATTTTATTTTGTTGCCGATCATTACCAAAGGATCAAAGGCAGTCAGCAATAGAGACAAGTAGAGTCAGCACTCGATATAGTAATAATTTAACAGGGAAAAAACATGGGTAAAATAGCCAAGCTTTAGAATCCTAGTAGTATTATGGTCGGTCAAGTAAGTGGAATTACTATACTATCATTCTTTTCAACGATTTGCTCTATTTTGGGAGATGCATTTTTAATACTGTGCGGATCCCCCATTGCTAGTTCGATTGATTTAAACCACATAAATGTAAAAATGAGGTTTCTCTATAATATGGTGCAATTTTAGTAGCTCTTGTAGTATACATACTACACTTGGGCGAAATAAAAGTCATAGGCAAAAACTGGTCTCTTCTTGCCGATAGACCTGAAAAGTTAACAATCTCCAGAACTGCTACACACCAGGTACATGTCAATTATACACTTATATAGTGTAAACCAACCAACCATTACACAACAAAGATTTGAATTACAGAGATTTTAATAGTAACAGATATAAACAATATTATTTTTGTCTCTTTAATAAATAGCACTCTTACAGTATCTACTTTTCCCATTATTGAGATACTAACCCAAAATCAATCCCGAATACCTCAAGAACAAAGATATTGTCTGTTATATAATGCACCCTTGAATAGGTATCAATGAAATGCTTCTATATGTATATGTATATAAAGATAAAACAAAAAGAAACGTATTAATATTTGTATCACAATTTTGGGTTATGTAGCGATTGTTATTTGATTTCATGTATTATTATTATTGTCATTATATATCTTTATATTGTTTTTGAAATCTTCGGTGATCTCGTACTTGCTGATAACATGTTTACTAGGCGGTTCTTTTTTATATACTAGATCCGTAAACCGAGAGTCCACAAAAGTGGATCCACAAAATTTACTGGTTCCAATGGTGACTTCTTTTAAGCCATGTATTCCAAGTAAATTTTCTTTTTCAAATATGGCAAGATCTACGGTTCCGCCACAAGCATCGCATATCATGTAAAGTCTACTTTTCTTCAGTTCAATTTCAGGAGACATATGTTCTGCACACAGAGCAGCTGTTACAGCTTCATCAACAATTAATAGACTTTCTGGTTTATTATGTCTTGTGATAAAACAAGCCATTATGACTGCCTCATAATATTCTTAGATTCTTCAGACCACATAGTTAGAACAACCATACGGTATTTGCGGTGGGAAATATCGGTACAGGTGAAGTATAAGTCAGGTACTACTTTACAGATATATTCACCCATTATTTTTTAAGTAGTCTGAAATGACTAAAAAAAAAGGCACGCACATACACAATATTATAGAATTATATCGATTTAGTTATTTTTAATATCACTTTCTTTCTCTTTCTCTTTCTCTCTTTCTCTTTAATTTAGCTTTACTCTTTAATGAATTTATATTGTACGGTAATATAGGAAGCTCCCTGACAGTTCTGTTTAACCAAAGTTTGATTCTGGTAACATAGCGTAAAGGTTCAGAATTAAATTTGACGTGTTCGTGTGCCATATCTCTGTGATAATAGTAATCTGAGGTGTTATAGAGCATTGTTGGTGGCTCATCTTTATGCAGTCTTCTATATTTTTATATATTTACACAGGTGATTAAAAAAAAAGATAATTAGAGTGTGTAGATTGTCTTTAATTCTTTTTATATGAAATGACCAATTACTTATTCTCACAATCACGTACACGTATACGTTTCTTCTCAGGACTATACTTAGGCACAAGACCATTCAGACCCAATATATTGTAGCCAGAAGTAGTAGCCCCAAAATTTAATATCATTAGTATATTTGAGCGTTCCCATATTCACGCCACTTGTGTCCTGACCGAAGTGCCAGAACTCTTGCACCTACTTCATACTGGCGGTCCGTCCGGCGTTTAACATCGAGCAACTGCTGGTGGAGAACTGAAAAGGAGTCAGCATCCATGAAGTTAGGAACATAATCATATTTGTGCGTTTGTGAGGTCTACTGGATCTAGGTCTCGACATTGACTTGAAGACCCTGTGATTGGCAATGGGCGAGTTACTCCTGGCCCACTTCTTGATTGGAGATATGCTGCGCGTGCTGCGTACATGGTCGAATGTGTGAGTTATTTGAGTGGCCTAATAAATAATTATCTCTAGGAAGACTGTGAAGCTGTGCCACAATGGCAGATCATTGTTTGGCGAGTAGTTGACGCATAGTTTTGGCTTTGTTCCTAATTTTGCGACTATGCTCTATAGACATGGCCTATAAGTTGGCCTTAAGAAGATCCTACTGAATGTGTGGTGCCATATTAGAGAGATCTAACAATGCGGTATCGAGGGAGGTAGCCATATCGTCGCAAAACTCTTGATCGGACAGGAGGAATGTATTAAACCTCCAAGCTCTAGGCCCATGCTGTGATGATCCAACCGACAATTAGATATTGATGTTAAGATGGTATGTCCATAATCCAGCAACCTATTTAACTGTAGGAGAGTCTAGCACTACCTGTAGATAGTCTGTTACAGAAATAATGTCTAGTGTTGAACCAGTTGAGCCAGTTGTAAATACTAGGAAGGGTTTGCAGTTGACAGGGGTGATGGTGACAAATCAATGGTTGGTCAACCACTGGGTCAAAACTGTGGGGAGGACCAACGACGAATTCAGCCTAATGCTGTAGTTGAAGTCTCTGAGTAGAGCATTTCTCGGTGAGGGAGATGAGTCAAAGAAGATATAATGAATGGTCTAGAAGAGAGTAGAAAAGAGGGCATTTTTTAGTGTGAGAAGATGCATACATTATGAAGAAATTGAGTGGGTACATAGGTTATGAATGTGATGAATCGTGGAAATAAGTATACAACCATCTGCGATATGAGTAGGATCAAAAGGGTCTAGTTGTGTTTTTATGTAGTAGTCAGGATCGAAGGAGACCAGGCCACAGTGGAATGACCAAGTACTTGAGTGGGCATGAAGGAGTATCGAGATGGAAGATTGCATACTTTTTGAGTCAGCGTGAGATTCTTAAATAGTGAGGATATTAAATTTATCTTGTCTTGGCGGGAAAAATGTCGACCATAGGTAGTCAGCTTTTTTGTCCAGGTCTCTGAAGTTAAGCGAGGAAATTCTGAGATGGTTAGACATATTCCCTACCATGAACCATCAGTGACAATGGTCTGGTAGGTAGCTGAAGGATTGGGAAAGATTCCTTGGTTTGGTGTGCTGTTTCGATTGCATTTCCCTTTGATGATGAGAGTGGGGTCAGTATATTTTTTCAATAATGAAGGTTTCTCCATATCTTGGGATTTTTCCCTGTGTTCTGGTAGAAGGATCAACTACCTTTTTGTCAGTTTCAGTTGGGGCACCGAGTAGCCGCTGTTGTTTTTCTATGTGGGACGCCTGGTCCTCTAGTTCATTTCTTCTTTGCACGAGAGCTTCTTACATTCCCGAATTTTCTCTGGCCAAGCGAATTAATTCGTCCGCATGTTGGCCGATCTTGTCTCCTTTTTCTGGTGAAGCAAAATGCGCCTATTCTTGAGGTTGACACTTACGACCCTTTGCAATTATCTCACCAGCAAATTAAGTCCGAATCTGATATGGCTTTTTACATACGTAGCACAGGTGAGAGCTGTTAGTTCTCTTTTCATAGTTCGCTTTCTTCTGGCCTATGGCAATAATTGCAGGTCACAGGCATGTTCTGCTACTTGGCATAAATTTAGAGTTCCCCACAAAAGTCAATATTATGTGTTAAGAGAATGAATTTAGTCCCTTCCTTTAGAGTTGTGCCCAACATAAAAAATCTTTACTATCAAACAACTGTAACTGAGGGCTTACATAGAGACCAATATGAATTACTCAGCCAAAGAGGCACATGACTTCTTGGAATTGGGGCTCTAATTTGTCAGCTCCTTGGAGTGGTAACTTATCTAAATGTGCGCGAAGGATGTTACTATCCCCACTAAAGGAAGGGGCAGCCAAAAGGTTCTGTGTCTAATGAAAACTCCCTTGTAATATGCTCTTGGAATATCTTCGATGGAATCAAATGAAATGATTTCTATGTTTCTATCTTTACGATCTTGCTCTATTGCTTCTACAACAGTAGGGTATTGATCCTTAAGTGCCTGAAAGAATAGGGCAGCTTTTAAACCACTGTTTGTAATGTCAAAAACAACAGCATTGTCTTCATTTTAAGATATCCACATTTGGTTTGCCTTTTGTTGAGCTAGATCTGCTTTTGCAGAGGTATCATAAAAAATAGCCATAGGTTTTCAACGAGCTATACGTCCCAACTTTCCAAAAATTAGAACGATTTTGGCGGATTGTGGCAATGTCGACAATGAGATTTCAGGTGGTGAAGTCATAGCTGGATGGGCAGACGAGCCATTAGGGCTATTATGAGGTGGGGTTCATAGATTTTTGGTCGTACTATGCGTAGGCTCGGATGGATTTTGTCATCCAGTTGTTATTTTCATTTTAGCTGTTGACCTTGAAACAGTATATGAAATTGATTTATGCAGGGTCTATGTTTTAAGATCTTGTGTATTTTATATTATACACTTAAACCTGATAAGTGAAAGCTTCAATAAAAAGCACTAAACAATTGTCTTACCATACCTGAGGGAAAAATCTGAAATTATGATAAAGAAAGAAGACAAAGAAATAAATAAAAGGTTAAAGGGTCTTCTCTAAGAAAGGCCTTATCCTAACGAGTGTCATGGCTGCTATCACTTTAGGAAGAAAATGTCACTCATCCATAACATAGGTCTATCAATCCCTCTAGTATGGCTTAGTTACTATCTTCACTCCGAAATCACAAACTGTCAATTGCTTTTTCACACATTTGTAAATATCTTTTCAGAAAATTTCCCAATTTTATGTCGTATATAACGTAGTTTCTCTTGAGTTCGTTATGACTAGGGTTGCGGTATATTCTCTCCAAGGCGGGCCTGTATTTTTTAAAAAAGAGTATATGTTAATAGCTATATATATATGGCTTTTTGTGGTATTCAGATAGATAAAGTCATATAGGTATCAACCATATAACATCTTTTTAAGGAATATATACAAAGTAAGAAGTTAATACACAATGCATTATTCGAATTACATATTATTAATACAGTTAAATACATATCTACGAGACATCTCATTAATTAAAAGTATATATAATCCTTAAAATGACATTCTAGTAAATCAGTAATGCAAAGCCGTTAACGCAGAATTTATTTTTTGTAATTCTTTTACTTCTATCAGTTTTTTATATATTTTAAGCTACTTTAAGATTCTTTATTGTTCTTTGTTTCTTTTTTAATAAAGTTCTAGGTATAAATCAACTCAATTATTGGTAGTAAAGTACAATTACAGTACAGAATTCCCATCTCTTTCTCAGAGTGTTAAATCAATACAAGTCCTATACTTCTGTATTTTATTTCCTTCCGTCTAAATCTTTACATTCTGAACTTCTTTAAGCGCTTTGTATTACATAATATTGGTCCGCTATAATTAAATAGTGTGGTTCTTTTTGAATTTTTCTTCTATCTCATGGGCAAAACAATTTATATAGAAGTAAATTGATATTTATTTATTCAAGACAAATATTTGTATTTATTACAAGATGATACTAAAAATCTATAGCTGCAAGGTAGGGAGCAGAATAACGTTCTCCCACGGAGCTGCTACTGTCAACTAAACGTCTCATCTCGGCCAACTCTTCTTTTGACAGCACAATGTCTCCACTCTTGAAATTTTCCTCAAGATACTTGATTTTTTTAGTGCCAGGAATGACAATAAATTCGGGACCTTGAGCAAGAATCCATGCCAGCACATATTGACTGGGAGCAACTCCCTTCTTAGTAGCAAGTGCATTGATATCATCAACAAGCTTTAGGTTTTTACCAAAGTTTTCAGGAGAGAAGCGAGGAACATTGTGTCTAAAGTCATCCGCACCAAAGTCATCGGGGCTTTTGATGGCACCGGTCAAGAAACCACGACCAAGAGGAGAACTGGGATTCGGATTACAATTAAATCTTAATTATATATTTTTTATCTTTGTTTTTTTTTACTTACTAGGCAACAATAGAAATTCCTAATTCACGAGCAGTATCAAGCAAACCATTAGTCTCAATATCCAAGGTCCAAGGTGAGTATTCGGTTTGAACTGCAGCAATTGGGTGCACCTTGTGGGCACGACGAAGGGTTGATGCAGAGCACTCAGATAGACCTGATTATTATCAAAAAGTATATGAGATACTGAAGTATATTTTTACATCTATTGTGCTGGAAATCACTTACCAAGGAAACGAACACGGCCTTCCTTGACAAGTTCAGCCATTGCTCCGACAGTCTCTTCGATAGGACTTAAGAATATGTTAGTCGAGTTTAATCCATACAATGGTAAACAGTAAACAGTAAACAATGAAAGGAAGAGACGACTCACGTATTAGGATCAACACGATGCTGGTAATACAGATCGACGACATCGACACCGAGTCTCTTTTGACTTTTGTTGAATGCTTCGCGGACATATTCACGTGTGCCACATACATGAGAAAATGTTCCATCCTCAGTGCGAACTTGACCAAACTTTGTAGCCAAGAAAACCTTGTCTCTCTGGGTCTTCAATACAGTAGATAGCAGACGCTCATTTTTAGAGTTGATTCCGTAAATATCAGAAGTATCCCAAAATGTCGATCTGTATAAACACACGAATAAGCTTCAATAAATACATATATATGTGTGTATACATACCCTATTTCGATTGAACGCTCGAGTGTCTTGACATTCTCTTCATCGTTTGTAGGGCCATAAAACTCACTCATTCTATAGTTGTAATGTTAGAATACTTTATATTATGTTTGGCTTGAGGTAGTGCTTAAGTTTATATGTAACATTTACCCCATACAACCAAGTCCAACAGCAGACACCAATACACCAGTCTTTCCGAGTTCTCTGAGATTAGCCATTTTGTATTGTTTGATTTGTAGTAATATCTTTGTAGAGTGAAAAGACGATATTGGCAATCGAAATGGCCTATCAATTAATCAATTTATACTTTTTTTTTCTGTAGCCAGCTTCATGTCACAATCTTTAAGGTTCAAACGTTCAAATGTCCAAATAATTGTATTATTAATCATGTAAAATTGTCTTGACAACAAAAGAGTTTAGGTTAAATAATAAAGTCTTTAGTATATAGTCTTCTTGAGGGTAAATTTTATATGGTTAATGAAAAAGGCTGGATTATTGCTGAGAGTGAAACAATGCCCTAGTTATTCTTTTATTCTTCTCTTTTAGTTTTACTAAAATTGGAGAAAGCATACGCAACGCTTTTGCCTGCAATAGAGCCCCGTTATCTATAAAAAGAAATAAAGGTTAAATTAATACCGGGATTACTAAGAGCTTGTTTGGCTTTAAGGTCTTCGCCAGCGTACTCTGTGTATTACGTGAAAACGCTAGGGTTGGTTTAATGGACAGATATAGATTTTTTTCACTATTAATATGGTAATGATGTAACAATAAAAGTACCAATTGAGTATTCATCTGATCAAACCTTATAATTAAATTGAACCAAAGACATATAATAAACCGAGTTGGTTCAATTCGCGGAGAGGTGATAAAGTAATACAAAAAGTAAAAGACACCAAATTCGGCTTCTAAAATAACTGGAGGTATACTGTAAGAGTGCTATTTATTAAAGAGACAAAAATAATATTGTTTATATCTGTTACTATTAAAATCTCTGTAATTCAAATCTTTGTTGTGTAATGGTTGGTTGGTTTACACTATATAAGTGTATAATTGACATGTACCTGGTGTGTAGCAGTTCTGGAGATTGTTAACTTTTCAGGTCTATCGGCAAGAAGAGACCAGTTTTTGCCTATGACTTTTATTTCGCCCAAGTGTAGTATGTATACTACAAGAGCTACTAAAATTGCACCATATTATAGAGAAACCTCATTTTTACATTTATGTGGTTTAAATCAATCGAACTAGCAATGGGGGATCCGCACAGTATTAAAAATGCATCTCCCAAAATAGAGCAAATCGTTGAAAAGAATGATAGTATAGTAATTCCACTTACTTGACCGACCATAATACTACTAGGATTCTAAAGCTTGGCTATTTTACCCATGTTTTTTCCCTGTTAAATTATTACTATATCGAGTGCTGACTCTACTTGTCTCTATTGCTGACTGCCTTTGATCCTTTGGTAATGATCGGCAACAAAATAAAATAAAAATAAAAGCTCAGTACATCTAGCTAGACTATATGTCTTCTTCTTCTCTCTCGTACACCCTTCCACTGGCTCACTGTAAAGCCATCATCATTATATTAGTATATTAAGTCCACTCTTTATTTTGCCTTATTGGTCTGTCGTAAATCCATTACTATGGAGTATAATCCAATAACTGAGCAAGTCATTTTCACTATTGTAAAATACGATACGGAACGAAGAAGCAACAATAATGAGATATCGTCAATGTACGTACACCTATTATCAATTTCTTTTTTCTTAGCGCTCAGACAATAACATCATTACGTACTGCATTGTGAATCTTGAGTCATCAAACTAAACTAGGTTTCTAAACTGGTCATCTACTCAATTAACATGAGTTTCGACCCCATTGTAACGGGCGTTGTTACCATCTTTCAGTCAAACTTAGTTTGAAAGCTGTAATGCCTGAGCATACCACCGGATGACTTAAAAAGAGAGAGAGAGAGAGAAAAAGTCTGTTACTGTTCGCTTTACAAATGATAATATTCTTTAATGCTAATCTCAGATGATTGTCGGATGTACATGGATTCTTTTGTACAATCTTCACATGTTATGCTTTTGGGCTACGGCCTCTCACAGACTTTTAGGGAGGTTTCTTTTTTATTTGGTTTTGTAATAATAATAGTAATAATAATGATAAAAAATAAGCAATATAAATATAATAGCGTCTCCAGCAGTCGCTTTTATCTCGACTTTTATCCTGTATTTAGACTTTTAGCTAAAAGTCATGTTCCCAGAATTCATTTTATTTTATCTAATTAGAAAAAAACAGGATGGAGTTAGAGATCATGTCATGCAACTTATAACTTTCGCCACGTATTCCCTAACTTACTTGTTTCTCAATAAAATAAAATATAAGGCCTATACTACTTGGTAATTGTGTACGGCACACAATTAACAGTAAGGAAAAGTCATATAGAACTTAACATAGGCCAATGGGGTCACCCTCTGAGAGGAAGGGGGGAGCAAAGCTCCTAGTCTAATTAGAAAAAACAGGATGAAGTTAGAGATCATGTCATACAACTTATAAATTTTGTCACGTATTATCTAACTTACTTGTTTCTCAATAAAATAAAATATGAAGCCTATACTACTTGGTAATTGTGTGCCGTACACAATTGACAGTAGAGAAAAGTTATATAAAACTTCATAGGCCAATGACCCCTTCCCCCGAGGGGAGGGGGGAGCAAAGCTCCTAATATATATAATAACACATTTTGGTTAAAATATATAAGAGTTGATTTTTTTTTACTATGACTATAACTAATTCTAACTCTAGCTATAACTCTTATTCTAACACTAGCTATAACTCTTATTCTAACACTAGCTATGACTCTTATTCTAACACTAGCTATGGCTCTAATTCTAACACTAGCTATGACTCTAATTCTAACACTAGCTATGACTCTAATTCTAACGCTAGCTATGACTCTAATTCTAACACTAGCTATGACTCTAATTCTAACACTAGCTATGACTCTAATTCTAACACTAGCTATGACTCTAATTCTAACACTAGCTATGACTCTAATTCTAACACTAGCTATGACTCTGATCCGGATTTTGCTAGTAAAGTTAGTTGTTAGTAATGTTAGTTGTTCATAATGTTATTTGTTCAAAAAGTTAATTGTTTGTAGTTAGTTGTGAGTAAGGTTAGTTCCCGTTGCTTGTTAGTTCCCGTTGCTTGTTAGTATGTTAGTCTGTTAGTCTGTTGCTTCCTGTTGCTATAAAAAGAAATATATATATATGTAAGTTGCTTCTGCCGGGTTGCCCGGGGATTACTCTTCTTGTTACCATTAGAAGAGCAACCCCCGGACTACGGTTGTTCTACTTAGGCTCGGAAATGGCAGCCGCCGTAGCGTCTTTCGGCTAGACACATTTTTGCCTTTGGCTCTGCCTCTGCCTCTGGCTTTGTTGTTGTTGTTGTTGTTGTTGTTGTCACTGCTGCTTCCAATGCTCTTCTTCTAGCCGCAAGCACTTCTACTGCTCTTCTTCTAGCCGCGAGTGTCATTGCCTTTGTTTGTCTTCTGGGTGCGAGCGTTTCTGCTTGATCTTGCACTGCTTCTGCTACTTCTGCTACTTCTGCTACTTCTGCTACTTCTGCTACTTCTTCTTCTTCTTCTTCTTCTTCTTCTTCTTCTTCTTCTTCTTCTTCTTCTTCTTCTTCTTCTTCTTCTTCTTCTTCTTCTTCTTCTTCTTCTTCTTCTTCTTCTTCTTCTTCTTCTTCTTCTTCTTCTTCTTCTTCTTCTTCTTCTTCTTCTTCTTCTTCTTCTTCTTCTTCTTCTTCTTCTTCTTCTTCTTCTTCTTCTTCTTCTTCTTCTTCTTCTTCTTCTTCTTCTTCTTCTTCTTCATCATCTTCATCTTCATCTTCATCTTCTTCTTCTGCTACTTCTGCTACTTCTGCTACTTCTGCTACTTCTGCTACTTCTGCTACTTCTTCCTCTGCTACTTCTTCTACTTCTTCTGCTTCTTCTTCATATTCTTCATACTCCTCATATTCACCTTCGTTGTCATCGCCATCATATTCACCTTCATTGTCATCCTCATCATCTTCTTCGTCATCATCATCTTCTTCTTCTTCTTCTTCTTCTTCTTCTTCTTCACTTTCTTCTTCTCCTATCTCTACGTCTTCTCCTTCTTTCACAGCTTGTGTATACGCCATTGCGAGCGCTTTTCTTTTACAGAAGGCTTCAACTTCTGGCATCACGACATTTGGCTTGAGCTCAGAGAGTGGTGTCTGAAAACGCTCAGCTCGAGTTATGCCTTGTTCTTGGGCCTTGATAAAAGCTTTGCCCTCGAACCACAATTTCTTTCTTTTGATAAGATGCTCAAGGGCAGGCCAAGAGCCATCTACATTTGCTGGTTGCGGCTCAAACTCCTCCTCTTGGAGTTGCCGCTTAACCCCCCTAGGAAGATCTGATAATATATAGAAATTATTGGTATTAATATTGTATCGCTTATCTATTATTATATAAAGACAAAACTTACCAAGCTCCATTGCCGTTCCTTCTTTGAGTGCAATAATGTAGTTAGATTCTTCTGGGGCAGGAATACCCGCCAGCTTCATCAGAATTCGGTCCCTCAGAGGCTTGGGAACCGGCTTGCTAATGGCCTTTTGACCAAACACAAGAGAGCTGTTGCTGGACTTTCTAATGCATTTGCATTTGCTGCTGCATTTTCTGTTGTTTTTATTGTTGTTGTTGTTGTTGTTGTTGTTGTTGTCGCTGCTGCTGCTGCTGGTGTTGCTGTACATTGGAGTAAACTAATGAAAAAGCGCAAAGAAAAATAATACCGTGAGCGTGTTTCTTTTTTTTAAACGCGTTATAGTCTTTGGGCCACACATTTTGTAACGCCATCCTTTTTTTTATTTTGACATGAGCCAATCATTTGCAATTTTGAATACACGTGTCTGCAACAGAGTACATGAGTGGGGGGAAGTTACTAGTAAGACTTTGTTGTTAGGAAGAGTTTTTGAGCTGTGTAGTGTCTAGAGTTGGATTACTGACCTCTCCTACTGCCAACTATTTACCTTTTTATTTTTCTCTCTCCTTCTATCACTTTCAATCTCCTAATATCGCTGCTTTTCTCTTTCAAATGGCGATGGTCGCCAAATACACCCGGCGTCTCAAGTTCCCAAAATCAAGATATATAACAAAGAATCGTGATTGCTTGAGTACCTCCTTGAGTAAATTTATTCAGGTTCAAGGTACATACATAGAAACAGTTTGTGCAAATGCATTCCATTCAAGCAAACCAACTATGGGCTTTAAATTTTGATATATATAAAGTATATAGCTAAGACTCACTAACTGTCTAATAATAATAATAATATATCCTTTCTCAAAAGCACCATTGATACTTTCCTTCTTCTTTTTTTGTCGGTATTATTTCTTGATTGAGTCGCCGGTATTTACAGGACGGCTATTTAAAATACATTATGCAGTTTGTGATATACATACCTTAGATATTCGGGATTGTTTATGGGTTAGTATCTCAATAATGGGAAAAGTAGATACTGTGAGAGTGCTATTTATTAAAGAGACAAAATAATATTGTTTATATCTGCTAGTATTCAAATCCCTGTAATTCAAATCCCTGTTGTCTAATGGTTGGTTTACACTGTATGAGTATGTAGTGTATGTGTGCCTGGTGTGTAACAGTTCCGGAGATTGTTGACTTGCCAGGTTCATTAGCAAGAAGGAACCAGTGTTTGGTTGTGGGGTCTGTTCTTCACTCAATTGTGGTGTGTATACCACATCACCCTCTTCCAGGTCGAGTAATCATGTTGAGAGAGTTGAATTACTTTAAAATGAGGGGACCATGTTAGTTTCTTGGGCATTAGTACCTGGCACTAGCATAGTGAACATTATCGTGTTGTACGGAAGCACATAGAGCGTTCACTAAGGAGGAAAATGGTGATTTGGCAAGAAATCGCCAGTTGAACCACAATTTTGTCCCGTATTGAAAATCAATATACTTCTTTGAATCCATATTTCCCTTTATAATATTTAAACATTTGACACTTTCCAATGAACATGTTCTTTTACCCGTTGCAGCCGCTCCTTCCGATCGATCACAAAAATCTTTGACTAAAATCATCTCAAAAAAAGGTGTACCAAAAATATGTAGAAAAGTTCAGAAGGCTTTGACTGACATAGGTTTAGACAGCGCTTTACAAATAGTAGTTAATGGTACTATTCCACTTAGGATAATATTAAGGAGGATTATTATTATTTCTCTCATTTGGGATAGGTTTTTTTTTTTTTTTTTTTTTTTTACTATTCTGTGAATTTCGGCTGTTGTATTTTTATGTAAATTTGAAATTTACGAATGAAATAAAGAGCTTATTATTATTACCCAAAGAAAATAATCTGGTGTTAAATGAAGTTGCGACCGCATTTTGATTTATGTCACAAACGACTGATTTGATACGAATATTTTGTATGAAGCGGTTGTATAAAAAAAGTTAAATAGATATAGATATAAATTGAAACAATGATGGAAAGGATAGGATATGGTGGACGAAACTAGGAAAGCCTACAAGTTCCGTGTCAAAGGCAATGCAGAAGTGTAGTTTTATTTTTGCCCTTATAATGTACATACATATATGCATATATTGTTTTGGTTGTAAGGAAAATAAATACGATGAAGGCGAAAAAGAAAATGGGAGAGCAAGAAGAAGATGAATAGTAGTAATAGTAATAATAGTAATAATAATAAAATGATGACAGCAAAAGAAAGTAAAAGAACAAGAAGGAGGAGGAAAGTATTTTTTTTAAAAAAAAAAAAGAATTATAAAGAAAAAAAGCTTGTTTACAGTACGAGTTAACCTTAATTTTTAGGAACACCTTGATTAAATTCCATCAATAAGTCGAGAAATTCGTCTGTTTTAGTTTGTTTTATCATATACAAAAAGACAAAATAAGAGTGATTAGAATATATAGCGACAGAATAAGCAGAATAACTTTACGTACACAATTATATTACTGTAAACAAGCTCCCCAAGCATATCGTTATCAGCCATTCCAGTAAATCTAAATAGAATTCGAGCATATCTATCACAGTTGCGTATGTTCTATTTTTTTATAGTAATAATATAGAAAGCTCAAGGTTAATAAAAGCATAAATTCCTTCCTCATTCGTACAAATATACTAACCTCATGTTCGGCATCATAATCTCTGCTGCCGTCTTTATGTGTGCATTTACAATCGTGTAATCTCTCGAGTGCGTCTACCAAAATCCTCACAATTTTTGGTATACACTTTACAATCACTTTATCTCCTGACTTCAATTGACGTAATGTCTGGCACACATTGTCATTCTCATCGTGTAAAGGCACTACATTCAACCGAAGCATATACTAAACAAATACCTTCTACATTAATACACCCATATGTACAATATAAAGTGATTGTAATTACCTGGATTGCATCGTCATAACGTCCACTCTCATATAATTCTCGGAAATGGAGGATGTTGAGGAGGGTATCGACAGTGTATGTTTTGGACAATGGAATATTACATTTGATATTTGGAGTTCTCTTGTATCTTGTCAACAACTCCCTCGAGAATTTGACTAATTCATCGTTCCATTTTTTGTCTTCAGGATTCAATCTTGGTGGGTCAAGAATAGGTAGATTAATTGAACTTTCTAATTGGTTGATCAATATATTGGTTGCTTCGTTGTAGTCCTACCAGAAATTCCAATAAATTCAAGAAATGTCAATAATAATGCATATACATACACACATACATACATATATATATATATATATATATATATGTGTGTGTGTGTGTGTATGCTTGACAATTTAAGTTCCCATACTTTTCTCTTCATAACTTACCGAGCCAACTTCACATATTTTAACTGCATCTGTGTATAGTCCTGCTTCGATACAACTTCGGACTAAAGGAATATAAATATAATTCACCATATCTGCTTCGGTTGTGATGCCCAAAAGAGCCTTGTAAGTATCCACTAGTCCGGGCTATGTAATTTCACATAATTGAGTTTTGAAAGTTGAATATTTATATATATAACAGATAATAGACAACAGGGTCAGTATCAGGACCAGGGTCAGGATTAGGGACAAATTAAAAGTTTAAAGTAAAAAAAAATAGACAGAGGAAAGGGAGTAGAAAAATGATAACAATATATATTAATAAATCTAGATTGATTGATTGCCCATACCTTGCGGCCACCATAATCAGTAGCCTCGCCAAGGAATTCCTTGAAAGACTTTGTAAAAAGCACGAGCCTGCGTATGTATTCTCGTGCTTTCTCCACCATTGAATTATTTGGAAATCCGTGATGTGGAGTAAAGAGGCTCAACAACAGAATGTAATTCAATATGCATTTTGTGTTCTCGAAAACGTAAACCTTGGTGTAGCGGTACACAAGCTGGTCAAAGTTAATTTCAGGAATATTTTTTGCGGATATAGCAACTATATGTATATAGATAAGTATTTATTGTTATTCATTATTTCGGTAATATGAAGCTACACAAAGCTTACAGATATTGTCGTCGGTTTGGATTGGTTTGGTATAAATTCGCAACAATCCGTAGTAGGCACAAGCGATCGCAAGATGAACAGCGTCTAAGCGGGTTGCTTCTTGCTGATAAAGGTGGCTAACAGCCTGAAATGGAATTTTAGTGGTAAGTTTATATATATGAAAACAAAAGTCCTAAACATTTCATTATGTAGATGTGTGGTCTTACCCGCTCAAATTGTAAAGAGGATATAAGGACTATAGCATAATCCCAAGGATTGGCCCCGTTTGCACTAAAAGTACTTGGCCCTGAAGCCACGATACGTTTCTGTAGATCTTCAAGAGTATACTTACCATGGCCATATTCAATTTCAGGTATGTTTTCGCGAACAAGCGAAAGCTAAAAAATATATAAGCCAAGATAAGTACACACACACACAAAAAGAAGAAAAAAGTTTTACCTGGAACCACATAAAGTCTTCCAACGTGTTTATTGCCCCATTGACATGATCTTCGTAAATATCGCACCGACCAAGTAGTTTGTACAAGGCTAGTTTGTAAGGATCCACTGAATTGCCGTTGTTTTTTAAAAGCATATGCTCATACTCGATTTCTTTTCGAGTAGCTTGACTTAATCTTAAAATGTTTACATATATATATGTGTATGCGTGTAATTGATAAATATTTGCTTTCTCTCTCACACACTTTTAATATATATGGGTGTGCACTTACAAGTGGTGTGGATTCTCCACATATTCTTCAAGGTATTTCATAAACTTCTTATCTTGTGGATACTTTTCAGCTATCTCTGTTACATATACAAGCGCATTCTTGAAATGACCACTGCGTATGAGAAAATATATATAAACCCACTTTGGAAAGTCTTCGGCCAACTTGAAAATAGACCAAACCATCATTTAAGTAAGTAAAAATATACTCTTTTGCCACCTCCTTTCCTTTACCTCCAAGTTTTGGATGTTCCATTGATCATCCGTCTTGAACTGAATTTTTATAAATGCTTTTAGACGATGACCAAATTCGGGATTTCCACCGACATTGGCTGTCAATATTCTTTTCAATAAAAACATATCAACAAACCGAACAAACCTAAGTTCAGATAAGAGTAAAAGGAAATGTACGTTAATAATATACTTTTGTATGTGCGAATAAGTGAGAGAAAGAGAGTAAGAGAGCGTTACATACTGGCGTTCAAACCATTGCCTGGCCAAGTTTGTCAAATGATGGCTTAATTCAATAGATTCAGGAGTATTGGGGAGTTTGGACAAGTAAGCCTTCATGTAGTTTCCTTCACGTCGACCTTCGCTTATATCATTTCCTTCGCCAGCCAACCAGGCCAAAAGGTTCCAGACATTATGTGGTTCGGTACCAACCATCTAGTAATAATAATGTGTGTGTTAATCAATGTCTTTCTTTCTCTCTCTCTCTCTCTCTTTCGCACAATAACTACCTTGTTATTTTCACAGTCTACTTCTGCTAACTTTTCGAAACCAGCAATAACATTGAAATCTTTGTTTTGCAATCTTTGGCCGTTTAATGACTGTACCACGTTGGCATAAGAGAGTACCCGCTTTTTTATAGGATTTTCCTTTGTATACATCTTTTACATACGTTAGCACCGAAAAGAAAAGAAAAGGAAATAAGCACCCAAAACGTCACCAATCAATCAATCAATCAATCAATCAATTATTCAAGTAATTATCAGTGACTATGGACCTACACCACTTTTATATAAACTCCCACTCACTCACTCACTCACACAAGCGTATATACATTTGACCCTTGTGATATTTGAACTATACCTCTGATGCATATTCCATTGGATGGTCAGGATTATTTCCACCTAAGATACGGTCTCGTTCTTCAGCGATTCTATTATCCATTTCAATATTGTTCCGATATTCCTTCATAGCTTTATTTCTTATTTCTTCAAAATCGGAAATGGTCTATATAGTATCAATATAATTAAATATAAATATACAATGCATAAGTGCAAAAAAAAGGATAACACAAAATCTTGCCTTTTTCTGGACTGATTCAATAGTCTCAATTATCATCTTGTCTCTGTGTTCTTGAAGATGTCCCTACAGCAATAATAATAATAATATAACATTATTGGTATTAGAATTGATCGATGAATTTTTGTCTTTTATGTGTAAATATATATTATATCTGCTTAGAAAACCCCTAACCTCCACATCCGTAATGTTCAAATAACGCGATGGTCCTTCCGAGTCGTTTATTTTAATATTGCCAAATACGTCAAAATTTTCAACTGGTGGAAATCCTAACTTTGCGAAAAAGGCGCGTCTACAATAAATAAATGTATAAATGAATTGACATTGACAATGAGATTACAAAAATAATAAAAAAAATAAAAAGATTAATCAAGAGATGTCTAATTGTTGAATAAATTGGGATCGAAAATATAATCATCTTTTATTCTTCTTTCTTCGTATATACAGGTTTCCTTAATGACTCACCCCTTTGCAATGGACTCTTCGTCAACTGGTATGGTCTTCTCCAGATCCTTTGTCTCCTTAATGACCTGACTAAAGCTACGTTGAAGGATTTCTTGTGGGTTCCTTCGTGACGGATTGGCGAGTAATTTCGAAGCTTCATATAAGTTAGCGAACGTTTGTTCCATCTTCAATAGCAGTAATAGAGAAACAAAAACAAAAAAAAAGTAGACAAATAATATGTGTCTGTGTGTATATGTGTGTGTCTGTGTGTATATGTGTGTGTATGTGTGTCTGTGTATGTCTGTGTATGCTTGTGGGTGTGTGTGTGCTTGTGTGTGCTAATGGGTGCTTGTGGGTGTGTGTGAAATGAATAGTTTTGTAAGTCACGACAGGACGCGATTTTTTTTTCGGTTTGATATTTTTTGAAGCTAGAGGTGTAATGCTGTCCGGGTCGGCCATTTATTCAGTTCGGCCTAGATTAAAGGGACATACCCAGGAATCTCGCACATCCACCATTCAGAATATAATACCACCTTAACGCTTATGCTTATGTTAACCTTGTAAACATCATTTTTTGTCAAGTCTATTATTCCCCCAAAAGACATAAGTTGCTCTGGTCATTTAGTATTGTTAGAGAATTATAGAGAAACACTACTGTTATTATCTTTTATTGTATCGTTGTGGCTACTCCTATCTTGTCTTATCCCCAACGCCTTTTTTTACTTGTATGCATTCCTGCCCTTCCACTTGGTAAACCGTTAGAGCACACCACATATTATACCAAAAGATCATCTTGCCTCCTGCAACATCATGAAAGGGACAACTCAGGGCACATTTGAGAAATATAAACTTCACGGACTTTCTTGTGTTTAAATTACCCAAACTTTTCTTTTTATTTTCTCTTTTGAATTAGAACATTTTCAGAGCAATTCATGCTAAATTGCCCACAATAATTTGTGACAATTTTAATCAAGACGACTCTGGTATATGAATTTGTTCTGGTGAGCAAAATAGTGTATTTATTTCTTTCTTCCTCCAAAAACCCATAGATTACTGAAGCTAATAACATATGCACATATTATTATAGTATCACTCATCTGCTAATTGAGTACAAGTAAAATATTTTTATTTTCTCTTCTTTTCTTAAAATTAATATACAAAGTGGACCACTTTCAACTGTTCAATAAAAAATAATATAGTGGTAAGGAAACATTAATTAAGGAATGCTTAATTTCACTGTCTGTATACAGTGCTTGCAAGTTTCTTTCAATTTCTCTAGTATAACCATAGTGCTAAATGGATATACTTGGTTTGATACAGTACCAATAGAGAAGTAAATTCGTGCCTTATACAGATTTGTATTTTATTTAAAACATATCATTTAAAGGCTATAAAATATAATAGAAGCTTCATAAAAATACATATACACTTAATCTAAATCTTATACCTGGAAAAGAACCATCTATGATTGATACTTTATTTATTCTTTCTTGCAATGAATCGGTAGGCTTAATGAATTAGCTATTCTCATAAAGTAAACCAAAAATAATGCTTACACACCTCATTTGAAAGTAATAAAGGCGTCTGTAAGTTGGTTCTACCTATAAATAAAAGAAATACTTGTATACATCAAATATCATAGCAACCATTTTCTTTTTTTCTTTTATATAGAATAGAGAAATACCAAAGAAGCGCCTTTTTATTTAAAAGATGACTTCTTTGAAGTCCCCAAAAGTGCTATAATTTTATTCGGAGACATATATTCCGATGTTGGCTTTAAATTATACTCATTTTTGAAGTCCAGAAGTTGCTTTAAGTTTGTCCCATCAAATAATGTACTTCATAATTTTAATTCTAATTCTAAAGTAGCTTTAAGGATTGTTTGAAATAAACAAGTAGTATATTAAATGAGGTAATATATTTCTTTATTTTTTTCAAAGATAAACCATTTGGGAGACCCTTTCTTTATTTAATTAGATTATTAAATGTTTATGGACAGAACTCCTTTGATACACATTTGAATTTTTTTTTTGGGTTGGTAGTAAAAGCCTGGTCGATTGTTAGTAGTATACTATAATCTTTACGTAAATATGAATGTACGCATGTGTGTAGAGGTTAGTAAAGAAAGAGAGAAAGGAGAAGGGTATAATAAACGGAAATGGAAAGAACAAGTATAAGCTTACATTCACAATTTGTGGCATTTTAAACATTCATTTCAATATACTTTTTTCTCCTCTTCCTTCTCCTCATAATATATATATATATATATTATTACATTATTTTATTTTTCCCTCCATCCCTTTCTTCTTTACTTCATTACTCCAAATCGAATATTTCTTTTTATATTGACAACAATATGCATACCAATGAACTGTGAGGTAAAACACACGTTTAATAAAGAAACATGTCTTTATTTGAGTCTGAGTGCATGAATGAGCAGGGGTTTGAGTAGGGGTTTGAGTAGGGGTTTGAGTAGGGGTTTGAGTAGGGGTTTGAGTAGGGGTTTGAGTAGGGGTAAGCGAGAGAGAGTGAGAGTGAAAGCAAGATCGATAGATAGAGAGCGACATATATATATATATATATATATATATTATGGGACCGAGAGAGAAGGAATATATATAAAAAAAAGGGAAAAGATGTGTAAAATCTTTTTAGCGCCATGTATCCCCTCTCCCTTTCTTCTTTTGTCTTCTTCCTTCTTTTGTCTTCTTCCTTCTTTTTCTATATATATATATATATATATGAGCCACTGTATATTATGCTAAAAGCTTAGGAATAATAGTAGGATTCTTTCTAGACATCATTTGCTTTATTATATAAAGTTCAAAAGATAAAACACAATGTAATACAATATAATAAGATTATTTGAAAGCTCTTTTTACATTATCAATTGAATAAATAATTATACAAATATATAGGTAGATATGCATATAAATATGCATATTAGTATATATATATTGACACGGGCATGAATATAAATATATGTACATGTATGTCTGTATGTATGTTTATATTAATGTCAATGGGCATATTTCATCTAAAATATGAGGAATACATGAGCTCCTGCAATATTACCCCTCTATATCTCTTATTTTCATTTTTTCATTTTCACTCTCTACCTTTTTTCTGTTTCTCGGTCTATAATGGGTGTATATATATATATATGTATAATTTAATCTAGATTTTAGCAATTAAACTAATGCTAGTGTTTTATGCATTAATTTGAGTCAAGATAATATAAAGGTTATAATAAAATATTCAAATATACAAGTGTGAATGCACAAATGCACAAATGCACAAATGCACAAATACACAAACATTGAATAGGCTACAGACCCAAGGGAAGATCTTCGTATTCTTATTCTTATCCTTATCCTTATCCTTATCCTTATCCTTATCCTTATTCTTATTCTTATTTTTATTATTTTTAATGTTAATTTTCATGCTCGTTTCCATGCCCATGCCCGTATTCTTATTTTCAATATTCTAAAACGCTATATTCTTCTATATATATTATATATACATATACAAAAAACCTTTTTAAAATGTAATTATTATTTTTCTTGCTGGAATGTAGTAATGTCTTATTTTGACACAGGATAAACAGGAATAGTAATGATAATGATAGAAATCATACATTAGAATGTTTGATAGAGGAGGAAAGGGAAAGAAGAAATAGATTATCAAGTCAATACGATGTAATTATTTTATTTTTGAGAATTTAGACAACAGTATATATAAAATGCCAGAGTAAATATCTTAGGTATAGTCTGGAAAGATAAGCTTGGAGCTAGATACTGTATGGGTGTGTGTAGATTGTAGATCTAATTATTCAAAAATTCAAAATGACAGTTTTGTGTGTATTTCTTAATTTAATCTAATAGTATATATATATAATTATGTGATTAAAGATGCTCTGAACAATGGATAACCTTGTTCTGTTAGTAAGTAGACGTTATATTAGATTAATCAAGCTAATACATGTGGTGTAAAAGACAACATGTAAGATATGATGAGTAAAATTGGCTTCCAATGAGAATGTACCCAATATCCAATATCTAATATAATTAAGACAGGCGTGAATATTTGAGTAACCAAAAAATATATAAGTTAAACCATGATAGGTTTCAAAGGTTTAATATTCTTTTCTATTGTTATAACCCCTCTCTTTTCCTCCCCTCCTCTCCCTTTCTTTTCCCCATTTACGTACATATATTTGTCAAGAATTCAACATGTAGTATTTGCATGTTGAAAGATAATAATAATAATAGGACATTTATTGATTGATTGATTAACTAATTTGAATTATTCCGTATACGCACATACACACACACACAATATATATATATATATTTCTCTTTTATACAGAATCAAACATACCGTTCAATTGACTTTCAACATTCCACTAGTGAAATGTACAAGCTGATACATGTTTCTTATTAGCTAAAAATGCCTCACAGACCCTTTTTTCTCTCTCTCTCTCTCTATCTATCTATACATATATAATAATTATTACTTTGAAAGAAATACGGGTGAAATATGTATAAAGATTCTTTTTATTATCGCAAAAAAGTCTATATTAATTATCAATCAAACTTCTGATAATAATATTATTATCCTTTTGATCCAACACTATGTAAAGAAATGTGTATATATAAGAAAGAAAGAAAGATTAGTAAAAACAACGAGGGATGCATCTAGAACAAGTTTATCTAATGCAATCTAGTCATTTATCCTACATGAGTTGTGATCCTCAGCCAAGTTTATCAAGTAGAATAAATCAATATTTTTGATGATAATTTTGATAGTTCAATTCAATTTTTGTAATACACAAACACACACACATATGTTACTGTGTAAGTTTTGAATAAATTGATTAATTATAAACAATTAAAAAAAAAGGGAATAAAATAGTGTTTCAAATACGAAAAAGGATTTCAATTTTAATGGAATTGGAGAATATTAAATGCATTGCTTATAATGTAATAAATATTAATGCAACCTTCATTTAATTAGCTATCAACAAAAACCCAATAGCAGCAAAATTAAAGTATAAAAAAAAAGAAATAAAGAGAAAGAATCATGGTTGTTGTGTGCAGGTCTGTACTGTAGTGTAATCCTTCAATCGATCGCCACCATCGAAATATACATATCCACAGACTGATAGATAAGTAAAATAGATAGATATAAAGATAGGTATTTGTATATCTTTTCTTTTTGTCATTAGCTTTATCTGTCATCAACCCTTGTAAGCCAAAAATACATGATAATATAATAACAAATAAAATAAAATAAATTTAGGAGTCTGGAACTGAGATCAACCCTTCCCTTCTCTGTCCTTCCCTTCTCTTCCCTGCCCTGTCATGCCCTGTCCTGCCCTGTCCTGCCCTACTATGCCCTGCCCTGTCCTGCCCTGTCCTGCCCTGTCCTGCACTTTTCTGCTATGCCATGCCTAGGGCTATTTTCTTTTCTTATATATATATATATATATTTATGTTACGCCTTTCTTTTTTTTAGGTTGTGAAATCAGATATTATATACAAATACAGATATAGAGAAAGAGATATTATTCCCATAAAGAATAATAACAATAGTTATTACAATAAGAATATTGTTAATAGTCAACGTGGCTAGTTCAAGATCTGATCAGTAAAATGTCTAATTATTCATTTATCTTGGTTAAATAAGGATAAGCACATCTTCTCTTGACTTCAAAGCCAAATAACCCTCTATCACTATTATAATTTCCACTACTTTTTGGTGCTGCTGCTATTTCTGTTGTTTTTGTTTCTGCTTGTATTGATAGATGATTTCTATTTATCAATTGCACACAATAAGAACAAAAAAACCAAGCCATTCTTTCCTTCTTATTTTAGAGACGCCATAGACAGTTTGGAACTTTGTGTCCGATTGGCTAAATGTAGTATATTTGTATTTCATGATAAATTGTAAGGCTAAATGAAATATACCTTATTTTTTTTTCTATTTTGATTACTCCTAGCAATATTAATATTAATAATATATATATATGTATATGTATATGTATATACTTTTTATAAGATATTTTGATCCTCGGTGCCTTTTTATTTTATTTTATTTCTATATACGAATTATTCTAATGTTCTCTACTGCATACATCGTCATCAGGAGCATGGCATAGGGGAATCATGACAATAGCACGCAGTTTATCTTTAATTTTTTTTTTAAAAAATCAGTAAGGAGAAAGAGAACAGACAAGATAAAATCTAGAGTCATCAAAGGCCAAAGAATGGACCAATATTTTTTGTTGTTGTTGTTATTATTATTATTATTATTATTATTGTTATTTTGGCTGTGAAACTGTTTTACTTTTGGAAAGGAAATAACAACAAACAATACAATACAATATAGTATAATTCAATATAATCCAAAGCAAAATAAACAACAGAAAGTAAAATATATTTTTGGTTTGTGTAGCTCTCGATTGTGTTATACGATGGGTGAGAATTTCAATCATTTCTGGACACTTACGGTTTAGACCACACTATTTTGTTTTCTTTATATATATATATATGTATGTATATTTATTTATATTTGGTACGCAGGGCTCAAGTCTCTCTCTCTCTCTGTCTCGCTTTATTGTATAATATATATATATATATATGTGTGTATGTGTGTGTGAGAGTAATTGTGTGCTTGATTGTAGTACAGATACCCAAAAAAAAATGGTAGGTTTTGTATGTATTTATGTATGTATTTATTTTTGTTGGATCAGACACGGGGAGGACAGCAATGCTCCGGCGATCTATACATTCTAATTCGCCTAACAAACCAGACTGCTCTTGAGTTGGTCCCTTTTATTTTATATTATTTTATTTTATATTAGTATAATTATTACTCCTTGACATACCTTTGACTCTTTTTTTTGCCTTGTAAATATAAATATAAATAAATAATAAAAGTAAATAAAAAAAAACCTTCCTGACCAATCTTCATTTCTTTTGCACCTTTCTCACTCAAAAAATAAACTTGACTATGCTTGACTTGCTCTCAACACCCTTTCCTTACTTCCAGGCTGAAATGGTGTATTCTATCGCCAGAGCTTCAAAGGTCTGCGCCGTAGCCCTCCTTGTGCCAGCCACCATAGTTCTCCTGACAGACTTCTGCATATATGGTTATCGTCAAGCCATTCAAGTCATCCATACCCAGCGCAAACTCAAGAATCTATAATATCCACAATACAATGCAATTCAAAAAAAAAATCACTCTCGCCCCACTCTTTACCTGACCTTGGCCATCCTTACTATCTATCTTAAAAAAAACACACACTATTTCTCTCTCTCACTATCTCCCTGTCTATGTTCCTCTTTGCCTTTGCCTTTGCCTTTGCCTTTATTCTACGTTTTTTTTTACTCTTACAATTGACATCCGCTCAAATATATATCCTTATCTTTCTCTCTGTCTCTCTCTGTCTCTCTCTGTCTCCTTCCCTTGTAAAGCCTATCCTATTTCATCCTATTTCATCCTATTTTATCCTATTTTATCCTATTTTATCCTATCCTATCCAATCCTATCCAATCCAATTTATACTAAAAGGTAAGAAGGAAATTTAAAGGTTGGGGTGATTTAGAAAGAATAGAATAGAATACAGGTTTTTATTTATGTATTTTTATATATAAATTATTGTTTTGGTTTGGTTTGCTTATCTTTGTTCTTATTGCTATTTGTTAGAGCACTTTGTAAAGATGCACTTGCTTAATCTCATCAATCTCGTCTTCGTTCAAATCGTCATGGAACCATCCTCCTTCGTAGTCTAATTTCACTTCCTTCACCCATCCCTTCATCAGTTTAGCAGCAGATAAACCAGCTTCCTTAAGCTGCTCTTGTAGTGAGGGTAGAGTAACAAGCAAGAGGCCGGGCTTCTTTATGGTCTCGGACCGAATAAACTTCCAAATCTGTTGCTGCACCCCAAGTTCATTGAAAAATTGAAACACGTTGTTCATAATGACCACATCTGCTTGCTTAGAAAGCAATTCAGGAACCAGTTGAATATCTTTGTTGATAATCTATTATATAAATATATACATATACAAAAATGTTAAAAAATGCGGTTGTATATACATACGATATTGGTGTTTCAAATGGTTTACAAAGAGAAAAATAAGAGACAATAGTAAAAGAGGATAGAATAGAGTATAGTAGGTTTCATTTCAATATAGTACAGCACATAATTGCAATAACAATAAAGAAGTTGTGTTCAAATCTCTATCGGTTTACCTGAATACGGTCTCCCATCTTATACTTGTTCACCATATCTTGCTGCAATTTACTAAACCATGTATTGATCTCAACACCTATTAATTTGCGTGCTCTTGTGAACAAGTGGCCCTACAAGGAACACAAAATAAAAAATAAACAAATAAACAAACGTCAGCCGATGTGCACAATAATACAATAACGATTGAGAACAATAATAAACGCAACCAGCCAGCCAGTAACTAAGGCAACTGTTCAACCAGTAACCATAAAAACTAATTAACCAATAACCATAGCAGCTAGTTAACTAGTAACCATAGCATCCAATTAACTAGTAACCTAGGCAACCAGTCAACCAATCAACCAATCTTGCTAAATACACCTATTTTTTCCGTTTCTTTTTTTTAATGGTCTTGACATACTGAGTACAATACTGCGCCCAAGCGTGATCCAACATCCACAATGACTTTATCCTTGACCTTGTCTGCCAATACAACCTGGTACAAGAATTGTAATTGAAGAACCGATGCTGAATGAGAAATAAAATCTAAAAAAAAAACATATAAGATATAAGATATAAGATATAAGATATATGTATATATAATTCATCGTTGTCATCATTATGTTTATCACTATTCTTCTAATGTATAATAATAGTAGCGGCCCCAGTTACTCTCAACTTACTCAAGGGAGCAACCTTGCGAGATCGGCAATCGAGACAATAGTTGCGCGATAATTGTCCCTTGTCACACAATTCATCCACATCATCCTCAGTAAACAGAAAGCCATCCACATGGACCGTGTTTTCGTCACTGTAGTCTGCAAACTAAATGCCAAACATTCGTCACCTTACTTGGAAGAAGTAACCAAACAAACAAACAAAAAAAAATGAAGATATGTGTACATATGCATATACATATATATATAGAGAAAGAGAGAGAAAGAGATAGATAGATAGATAGATAGATAGAGGGGTATAGAGAGAGAGAAAAGGTATATTGTATTGTATTGTATTGTATACCTTGACAATATTATATATGTTTTTCTTCTTTTTCTCTCTCTCTAAATTTCTACATTCTATATTCCCACTTTATTTAATTTATATACCTCTTTACTCTTCGGGATCATCGTCTTTTCTTCCGGTGCTTCTGCAGAGATAGGAACGCGAGCCCGTAAATCTTTAATTATTCGGCCAAGGCGCATCATTTTTATGTCGCTCACAGGCTGGAACTCTCCAGTCTGTTCTTCGGTTTCCATCTCAACTTCGTCTTCATTCTCATGCTCATGTCCATGTCCATGTTGACCGTGCACCTGACCATGATACTCCTCTACATTTCATATAACCCCTAATATTATTATTATATTTAAAATAAAAATAAAAATAGAGCTAAAAGTCTTTCTCCCTCCCTCCCTCCTCCCTTCTTCCTCTCTTTCTGTCTCTTTAGAGTTATTTATCTAGACAACACACCCACACATACTATATATATATATATATATAAATTATAGAATATATAAAAAAAAAGGAAACAAAAACAAAGAAAGAAAAAAGACCAAGCTAACCTAAAGCAGATCGAACAAACGAGTCAAAACTATGAAACTGTGAGTCATTCAACTTTGAAAGAATGTCAATGAATGCATCCTTTGATGTTTCAACAAGATCAGGCTGATGAGATTCTGACATTTCCAAGCAAGCAATAGAAAAGAAAAATATATATATATATATAAAAGGAAAAAATTAAATTAAAATAAAAAAAATTAAAAAAAAAAATTTAAAAAAAAATTAAGCATTTGTGTGTGTGTGTTTGTGTGTGTCGGTATGTGTTGGTGTGTGCGTTGGCCATAGTTGAGAGCCAGTTTTGGGTGTGCGTTGTGTGGGTGTGCGTTGTGTGGGTGGATTATCGGGTGGGTGGCTTCCTGTCCCAGAAAAAGCGAAGATCAGTCACAAGCAGACCGCCTTTTAGTTCCAGGACAAAAAATAAATTATAGATATATATATATAGTGAATGATGACAACTGCATTAAATAATAATATTACTCTTTAGTCAGGGGAGATTCCTGTGTTGTGGTATCATAATCTCTTTATTTGGTACCAAAATGTCAGAATAAATTGAATAAATTCTATTTTCAAGCAAACTTTTATCACTATAAAACAAATGGGTACTTTGAAGAAGAAGGTAAAAGGAAGGAAAGAAGAAAGGAAGGATGGGACTAGCAAGAATTTCTGCTTATTCGTATAGTAGTGGTTGGCCATTGAAAATGTAGGTTGTATCCTCGGCCAAAACATCCATTGCTTCAATATCCTTAAAACATTTACGTAATCTATAAATATTTTCTTCCGATCTCCATTTGATGATGTTTCTTATTTATTTGTTTGTTTGTTTTGATTTGGCGTTTTTTATATTACTTTGCTAATTGTCATAATTTGAAGTATATTTATTGATATATTCTGTTGTTAGTCGAGGGGTGTGTATGTGTGTGTGTGTGGCAATGTCACAAATTTTAAATTTGTTGCCAAATTATACAATCCTTGATTTGTTACTTTGAAGGGTCGATAATAAAAGTACTTCCCTCCCTCACCTTAACCCCTTTGGTATATCTAGCTATTTGGGTAAGGAAGAATCTTACCAGTCCATGCAAAACAAATAACATGTCATCTCGATGAAGACAATGGTCTGTTGGGTTTTACAAGCAAGCTCATCTTTACTTAACAGATTCGACCATTGTTTTTGCCATCTTTTTTCTTTTTCTTTTCTTTGCCCTCATGAGCAACATTGTGGCCCTTGGTTTGCATGGCGTAGTATAATATAGTTGGGTGATCAGAGAATATAATATATATGACATGCTCACTGGTATTTTAGTTATTAAATACGTATCTATAGATACATATATATTCATATACTAAAGACAAACAAAAAATAAGGATGTATACTATGTTTCAAAACAATACTTGTTTCTCAAAAATGCATAAAACGTAATAAATAAAGAAGATTTAAAATATGAATAATCGCAAAGTCTAGCCACAGCTTCTTATCCACTTATAATTATCTATGGCCTCACAAATATTATATCATTTTTGACCATGCAATTGGTTTTTTGGCAAATGAGGAGGGGAACCAAAGAATATTATTAGTATTAGTATTAGTATTAGTATTAGTAGTAGTAAAAAATCAATATAGTTATAATGTGTATATGAGTGTGTGTGTGTGTGTGTCTTTGTGCGTTGTCAAAATAAATAAAAGCCAAAACCAAAATGACAGATAACAGCATAAACTATTATATCATACCACATTCCAAGCATCTTTTTTCTCTCTCTCTCTCTCTCTCTGCTTTTTCTTTACCCCTTCTTTCCTTTTTCTTTCCTTCTTTTCCCGATCGTTTACTCTTCTTCCTTTGATCTAGACAGCTGTCATTATGTAATTGTGTGTGTACGTGTACGTGTACATATACGTATACGTACAGAAGTAGGAGTTGAAGTAAAGTCAAAATCAAAAGCATAAACATAAACATAAGCAAAATCAAAAGCAAAAGGTAGGAGAAATAGTAGGAGAAGAACAGAAGCAGGAGCAGGAGCAGGAGCAAAAGTAAGCGTAAAGGTAGGAGTGGAAGTAGGAGTAGGAGAAGAAGTAGGAGCCACACTAAAATGATAAACTAAATAAATTATACTACATCCTTAATGATATAATCAATTTATGATTATTGGTGGTATTATTTACTTTTTGGCTTTATTTATTCATTTCTGTTCATGATATTCTGCACAATTTTCGATGGTAAGGATGAAAGGAAAGGAAAGAAGAGAAAGAAGGGATGAAAGGGAGGATAGAGGTGTACTATATTATAGTAGTACTATTTACAAAGAGTTTGCTGTACATATATATATATGCGTGTGTTTGTGATTGTGTGATGCTGCTAATATTAATGATAATGATGTACGCATGGTACGCCTTTGGGTTATTTCTCAAGAGCATTACTAGAATAGTGCTTCAGCATTATGATTGTATTCTCTAGCCGTTTACGTTCTGCCCTCTCTCTAGCCCATGCAATCTCCGTGTCTCGCAATTGTGTCTCAGAGTCCACAAACCACTTGTGTTCCTGCTCAACATTTGTCTTCAGTTGCTCAATCTCAGCTGCCAGCTCTTCAATCTTTCTGTTCAGTCTAGAGACCTCGTCAAACTTGACAAGCTTTTCATAACCAAGCACAGATTCAGCATCTTCGGCTCTCTTGATTAACTCAACAACCCTGTCTCTCATTGACGCATTTTCTTCCTCGGCATCCTTCCTCTGTTGAGCTGATATTTGCAACTGGTTCATGATAGACCCAACCGTGCCTTCGAGGTGCGATATCCGAGCCAGTCGCTCCTCAATAACCATATTGGATTTAACAAGCTCCTGGTTCTCTCTCTCCAGAATACTGACCTGTTGCAAGCTCTCCTCCAATCGGGAAATGGCATTGTCTAGTCTTTGCTGAGTCTCGCCATGTTCCTGCTTTAGCTTCTCAATTTCGGCCGTTTTCTTTGCAATCAAGCACTGACTGTCGCTCAGTTGATGATCTCTTCTCAAAATACGGGCCTCTAATTCATCAACCTTTTCGGACAGAGCTCCATGGGTATCTGCATGCTGGCCTAATGCAAGCCTGGCTTCATTAAGAGAGTTCTCTAACTGTCTGAGCCTCTGGTCTTTCTTTTCACAAACTGCATGCATGTTAGACTGATCTCTCTCGAGCTCAGTCAACTCATTGATTCGCTGGACAAGACGGGAACGTTCTTCTTCGAACATGGCGTAAGAATCAGTGGCATTTGCAATTGCATTCTCCAATGCATCAATCTTGTGCTCCCGATCTTGTAAATTTTGTTTGGCTTCTGAATAGAACTTTTCATATTCGGCCAGCTTGCTGTCTTGTTGAGCAATCCGTGCATCTAGAACCTTGATATGTGCTGCGGCTTCCTCCAGCCCATGTCCACACTTGTTCAACTTCTCCATCAACATTGTTTCCTTTTGGGTCTTGTTGGTTGTCTGTCGGCGAAGTTCATTGATGACTCTGTCTTTCTCGTGAATCATATTCTCAAATTCAGCCGTTAGGTTGTTCAGTCCGTCAGCCTTGGCTTTTAGAATCCCAAGTTCGTTCTTTATGTCGCTTGTGGTAGCTTTTTCAGCCTTTATTTCTCTCACCGATGCCTGGAGTCTCTTGAGCAACTCGTCCTTTCCTTGCAATTCTTTTACAAGCTTGCCTTTGTCGAGCTTAAGGTGTGAGTACTGTTCGGTTGCCCATTCTGCTTCCTTGGCAAGTTTGTTCCTTTCGGCACTTGCCTCTGCCACTAAACGTTCATGGTAGGCTATCTGTGCTCGCAAATCCTTGACAGTGGCATTCTTTTGGCTTAACTCAGTTTGCAAATCACTGTATCTTTCTTCTAGCTCTCCCATCTCGTTCTCTAGTTCACCCAACTCTTCATTCATATTGCGGCTGTACTGGTTCTCTGAGGACACCTTTTTCAAATAGTCGTTGAGCGCCTGGATCTCTTGGCATTGAGCTTTGATTTTTTCTTGTAGCTTTTCGATGTGCTCCGCGGTCTCTTGGTTGGTATCATTCAAAAGTTTTTGCAAGTAAATTACTTGAGAATCTTTCTCACTCAGCTTTTTTGACTCGCTTCTGGTCTTCAACTGCACCTCTTCTCGAGCGAGATTAAGACTCTTTTTGAGATTCACAGCCATCTGCTCTTGCTGCGAGATCGTATCCTTTAGTTGACCGATCGTTTCTCTGCTCTGATTAGTTGTGACATCCAATTCTTTTTTCAATGATTTGATCTTTTCCTCGTGCCACACAAGATCTTTTTCAAGTTGTTTGATGTAATCCAACTGTCTCTTCATGTAGGGTAAACACTCGTTTAAGTTTTTGGGTTGGGTTTCTTGACCTTCTCTATTACCATCTTCCAACAAGTTATCTGGACAATATTTAACCAGAGACTCAGTAAATTCTGAAATTTCTTGATCTTTTCCATGCAGCTCCATTTCAAGTTGATAAATCTGCTGAGATTTATCAACATTGTCTTGTTTGACATCATCAAGTTCTCCCAAAAGCGATTCAATGTTGTTTTCTTTTTCATCTATGTCTTTTTCCAGTTTGCTCTTAACTGATCTTTCGGTTTCAGCAGAGTCCAAAGATGCCTGTAGAGTCTTAATCTCATCTGTTTTTGTTTCCAACTCTTTCTCAAGTTTACTCAGTCGTTGTAAGCTCTTTTCATGGTCTTTTCTGGTCTCGTCTAGTTCGGCTTGTAAATACTCAGCGCTCGTGTTTCTTTTATCGAGCTCCAAAGTCAGCTGGTCCACAATTCTTTTGTCTACCTCATTGGATTCAATAATCTGTTTATTGAGTTTGTCGACCTCTTTTCTTGCATCTTCCAGATCCTCTTCCAGTTTATCGGCATAATCAGACTTTTCTTCATTCTCAGATTTGGTGGCATCCAATTCTTCTTCTAGCTGCCTAATTTTGTCTTGCATCTTCTTCACATTCTCTTGAACCCAGTTATTGTCTGCATTTTCATCCACAGCAGCCTGCAGCTCTTCCTTTAAGTCTTGTATCTCATCATCTTTTTGCTGAAGTTCAGACTCCAATAAAACCTTTTCTGCAACCTCCTTTCTTGTATTGTTTAGCTCTGATTGAAGTTGATCAAGCTTGCCTTCCAGATCCAATGTATTCTCCTCAAGTTCATAGTTGCTTTCAGTCAATGCCTTGTTCTGTTTCAGCAAATCATCAATTGCGTTGTTCTTGATCTTCAGCTCTTCAACAAGTCGGCCCTTTTCTTCAAAGACAATCTGTGCATCCTTGGCAATGATTTGAAGACGAGCTACCTCTTCTACGCTGGTCCTCAAAGTTGCGGCTCCATCTTCGTTTGTTTGGACCAAATGTTTGATCTCATTTGTCTTTATTGCCAACTCCTCAGTCAGCCGAGTATTTGAAGCCTCGAGTGTCTTGATCTCTTCCAAAGTCTGGTCCAGTTCTGCAATTTTTGCATCTTTGCGCTCGGCAGACTTGCGCAGGTCGTCTACAGATTTTGTGAGATCTTCGATATGAGTGTCCTTTTCTTGAACCACTTCATCCATTGTCGCGTTTATGTCATCAATATCTTTTTCGAGCTGCGCAATAGTGTCGTCTTTCCTATCAAGCGATCCACTCATGGCTGTATTATCTTGCTTTAACTGTTCAGCTGCTTCACATTGTTGTTTTAAATCTCCCACGATCTTTAGCAGTTGTTCGGTTTCGCTTTCCTTTTGAGAGATTTCTTGTTTGAGTTCCAAGTTCTGTTCGTCAAGCGCCTGATTTATTCCAGTCAAATCTTCGAGTTTTTTTTCAAGACGATCGTTCTCGTCTTGGTGGTGTTTGTTTTCTGCCAGTGCGCTTGAGAGTCTATTTTCTGAAGCCTTGGACTTTGATTTGTAATCTGCGATCTCGGCTCGTTGAAGTTCAGAGAGTTTTTTGTAGTATGCGACATCATTTGCGCCCTCTTTCGAACTAATCGAGACTTGGTCGTCCTGCCACCAAGATCTTTGAGCTGTGTTTGATTGTTGATAATTATTATTATGAGAATTATCGTTGTTGCTGTTGGTGTTATCGTCTTCGCCATAGTCGTCGTCATTATCGTTATTTATTTTTGACGTTCTTGATGCTCTTGTTATGTGTGTCTGTAATTGTTCTTTCAAGTTTTCAATCTTGTCAACCAGTACTTTAATTTGAACAGAATGGGCTGTCTTGAGATCTTTTATTTTATTTCTGAGTGAGTCGCGTTCTAAGGCATATCGTGAGGCTCGTTCATTTGCTTCATGTCCTTCAGCGAGGATCTCGCTAACTTGAGCAAATGCATCCGAAAAGTCTTCTTCGTCGTCTAGGATAGAGAGTGTAGGTGATTCGACTAAAGATTGATGGTGAGTCAATTAAAAAAGAAGAAGAGAGAAAGAGGAAAATATAGAGAATGATATATATATATACGACTAGTTGATCGATTGATCGATTGAATGATTGATGGATGGATTTTATTTACCCACAGATGCAGGAATTCCACGAGGTTTCTTAAGGAATGAAAGTCGCATTGAATCTGACCTTCGTTTTAGGCGCGAATTGCTCGAATGGCTTGATTGGCCTGAAAGAATTATAGTATAATAAAACAGACATAAAGCAAAATTATTCAAAATAATGGCAACAATTATAATAATAGAAATGGAGATAAGGAGAAAAATAAAATGTTAATTCGAGAATTAAGAGTGAGTGAAATATCAATTTACAGTTGATGTGTTGTTGCTGTTGTTGTTGTTTTGTAGATTATATGATTATGATTATTGTTCTTCTTCTCATTGTTATTGTTTTTACCAAGATTACTAAAAGACCTATTCATCCTGCATGCCCTTGATAATATTACAAATATAAAGTAGAATAAAATAAAAAGAAGTTTAAAGCAAAATAAGTGTGAACTATTTAACTGTTTGTTAACTGTACTCGTAACTGAAAAATATAACTGTAACTGTAACCGTAAATATAAATGTTCTGGCAGCTTAATTCGGACTTTTATTTTATTTTATTTTATTTTTACCTTTATCATTATTGTAGGATGTCATCAAGAGCCAAAATAAGAAGAAGAGGATGAAAGAAAGGACATCAAGACAAAAATGCTTGTGCAAAATATGTGAGTTTTCTCCATTGAAGAAATACCTTCTTTTTCCTTTTTTCTTCTGTAGTGATAAACAAGCTAAGATTTATTAGCGAATATCTAAGTTTCTTATATACGACTTTAAAAAATCTTAATATATTAATGCTATAAAAAGTTCCTAAAAAATCATACTCTTGAATTTTTGCTGTCTATAACCATTGAGCAATCTTTTTTTCCAATAAGTATATCTGGGCTTCTTCATAGAATTTAGTTGAATACCCTAATTTATGACAACTTACCTTTAAGCCATAGTATAGAAACTGTCGGTATATATTTGTCGAATTATCTTTATACAGAATATTAAAGGATATATTTTTCAATATATCAATATGTGTTCACTTCTTGTTTGAATCCAAACAGTCTTTTACATTATGAGTATAATTGAACCTGTGTGTATACAATAATGAATGGGGGACCAAGCATTGACTAACATCTAAAATATAAGAAGGTTTGTAGATAGTGATGCTTGTTTCATAAATATATTTAAATTGACCTTTTTCGTGCACAGTCTGTGTAAATACAATGAGGACCTTACCGTGTATTCAATCTGCATAACGTCTTCTCTGTCTCTCTTTCTAACACACATGCCTATATTCCTTCCTATCTCTCCTTTCTTTTCATTTTTTTTGCCTTTACTCTCTTTCTCTCTATTCATTTCTCTCATTCCAATACATCTTTTTTACAATATCTATTCGCATTAGCCAAATTCAATAATATACAATTCATGGCATCAGCATTCTCAAAGACTATTCTGACTTTATTCATATATACTTTATAGGCAAAAACAGTATCTATAGTTAAACACGGTTATCAATACTACGTTAGAATATACAAATGGCTTTTGTTTCTTTTTATATTTATTCAATTAGATTAATTCTCTCTTATAAACGAGCCCTCCTAATTACAACATTGAACTCTTCAATCAAGCAAAAAAAAGTTTAAAAGCGTGTTTTTTTTATTGGAGACGATACTAGTTAAAAAAGACTTTATTTATTTATTTAAAGATATACATAAAGAAACTATTCTATTTGATTTAATTTCACTTAATGTTCTTTTACATGAGCAAAAGAATAAAAAGCATGACACCAAGTTCTTTGTCCCCGCATTACGCGGCTCAATCTCCTTCAGAACGTAAACCTGACTTGGTAGCAAAGGAAGTGCTGAAATGGTGGCAAACCAACGGAAAGCACCCGTTCATCCAGCCCCACATCTCGTCACCGAGTAATGTGGGTGCGAACTCGCCAGAGAACTTACCACTAGGTGATGATAAGGTCCAGCTCATTCGACTACCAGTAGCTTCACCGTCAGCCGTTAAAAAGTTCAGTCAGGTTAGCAGTGAAGAGCCAGCACATCTCACCACAGGTTAGACCTCCCTCCCCCCAGCATCATGATTCCACATTGGCGATGCGATGTACACAGTAGTCCTTCCAAAAATGAAAAGAGACCATGCCCCACGACTTCTCAGAATTAACTGAGCTGGCGAGTAACAACTTTCACTTTCCGATGCTTGTAGCATGGAAGAATCTCCCTGCAACGGTCGCAAGAGACGCCTCACTATGAAACCGGGACTGTTGTTGCTCAAGGAGAAAACAAACGACGCGCGTTGGAGGGGTTCTATATGTAACAGAAAATGTTTTCATCTGCGATTTAAGTTTAGGACTGCGCTTTTTGTCAGTCTTAGATGTCCACGTCAGAGCAAACGTGATATAGCTATATATTCTTTTTATTGGATTTGTGTAACTGTTCTACTGCAGAAGAGACAACTAATACTATTTACTCAAGTACTTATGACAGCGACTTTGCAAAGAAAAATAAAGAAGTAAAAAAGCAAAGTGGCAAAACAATAATGAAGGGTTTTGTCTTGATCGGTGTAGCAATAACTCTAAAGGTGGAGTACAAGTTTCTATAACAGCGATTTGTAGGTTACTCTAAAGTGGTCTGTGCACTTTTTGGTCGAGGGCACAAGAAAAAGTTTTTTGTTTTGCTTGTGCAAGTAGGCGCAAAAGAGATCCAAAAAACAATAGAAAATAAACCCAAGTAATATACTTCAAAGTGATATTAAGCAATAAATAAAAAGCACAATATATGTATTTATTAGGGCATTTTACCAGTCGTGGATGCTCGACTGTTGAATGTAGTGGTAATTTAACTCGAAAAGTTATTGCCTGTGACGAATCTACAAAAAATTAAACTGAGCATCCAAGCATGCAAAAAAAAGACTAGATATTCTAATGTCGTGGTTTGGCCAAAAAGTACAAATATTTGTACTTTATGTACAATGGATGGCATGGTTCATATAAAAGCAAAGTCAAAAATAAAACATAAGAAATCTATGTAAGAGTAGCTACCTTAATACCAAGTTATAGAAGCTTAAATTGTGGGGAGTTTGGGTACGGATACTATGTTTATGGGTACTCTGATCAAGAATATTGTACATATGAATTTTGAAGTTATGAAACGCAACATATAAACCAAGAGAGGTTAGTGATACTCAATAGTTTTTTTTCGATATTGGTTATTATTGTATGGTGCTTAAACTAACACTGCATCCAACAGTCAATCATCAGTGTGGTATACACACCACAATTGAGTGAATAACAGACCCCACAACCAAACACTGGTTCCTTCTTGCTAATGAACCTGGCAAGCCAACAATCTCCGGAACTGTTACACACCAGGCACACGTACACTACATACTCATACAGTGTAAACCAACCATTACACAACAGGGATTTGAATTACAGAGATTTTAATATTAACGGATATAAACAATAGTATTTTGTCTCTTTAATAAATAACACTCTCACAGTATCTACTTTTCCCATTATTGAGATACTAACCCATAAACAATCACGAATACCTTGGAGTATGTATATCACAAACTGCATAATGTATTTTAAATAGCCGTCCAGTAAATACCGGCGACTAAATCAAGAAATAATACCGACAAAAAAAGAAGAAGAAGGAAAGTATCAGTGGTGCTTTTGAGAAATGATATATATATTATTTTTAGACAGTTAGTGAGTCTTAGCTATATACTTTATATATATCAAAATTTAAAACCCTTAATTGGTTTGCTCGAATGGAATGAGTTTGCACAAACTGTTTCTGTGTATGTACCTTGAACCTGAATAAAATTACTCAAGGGGGTTAATCATGATTCTTTGTTTTATATCTTGATTTTGGGAACTTGAGACGGCGGGTGTATTTTGTGGCCATCGCCATTTGGAAGAGAAAAGCAGCGACATTAGGAGATTGAAAGTGATAGAAGGAGAGAGAAAAATAAAAAAGTAAATAGTTGGCAGTAGGAGAGGTCAGTAATCCGACTCTAGACACTACACAGCTCAAAAACTCTTCCTAACAACAAAGTCTTACTAGTAACTTTCCCCCACTCATGTACTCTGTTGCAGACACGTGTATTCAAAATTGCAAATGATTGGCTCATGTCAAAATAAAAAAAAAGGATGGCGTTACAAAGTGTGTGGCCCAAAGGCCATAACTTGCGCCTTAAAAAAAGAACGCGTCTCAAAATGTGTGGCCCAAAGATTATAACGCGTTTAAAAAAAGAAACACTCTCACGGTATTATTTTTCTTCTTTGCGCTTTTTCATCAGCTTACAATCATGTACAGCCAGTCAAGCAACCCTAGCAGCAGCAGCAGCAGCAGCAGCGACAACAACAACAACAACAACAACAACAACAACAATAACAACAACAGAAAATGGAGCAGCAAATGCAACAGCAAATGCAAATGCATTAGAAAGTCCAGCAACAGCTCTCTTGTGTTTGGTCAAAAGGCCATTAGCAAGCCGGTTCCCAAGCCTCTGAGGGACCGAATTCTGATGAAGCTGGCGGGTATTCCTGCCCCAGAAGAATCTAACTACATTATTGCACTCAAAGAAGGAACGGCAATGGAGCTTGGTAAGTTTTGTCTTTATATAATAATAGATAAGCGATACAATATTAATACCAATAATTTCTATATATTATCAGATCTTCCTAGGGGGGTTAAGCGGCAACTCCAGGAGGAGGAGTTTGAGCCGCAACCAGCAAATGTAGATGGCTCTTGGCCTGCCCTTGAGCATCTTATCAAAAGAAAGAAATTGTGGTTCGAGGGCAAAGCTTTTATCAAGGCCCAAGAACAAGGCATAACTCGAGCTGAGCGTTTTCAGACACCACTCTCTGAGCTCAAGCCAAATGTCGTGATGCCAGAAGTTGAAGCCTTCTGTAAAAGAAAAGCGCTCGCAATGGCGTATACACAAGCTGTGAAAGAAGGAGAAGACGTAGAGATAGGAGAAGAAGAAAGTGAAGAAGAAGAAGAAGAAGATGATGACGAAGAAGATGATGATGATGACGAAGAAGAAGAAGAAGAAGAAGAAGTAGCCGCAGCAGAAGAAGAAGAAGTAGCAGCAGCAGCAGAAGAAGTAGTAGCAGCAGAAGAAGTAGTAGCAGCAGAAGAAGTAGTAGCAGCAGAAGAAGTAGCAGAAGTTAAGGTGCAAGAGCAAGAAGAGACGCTCGCACCCAGAAGACCAGCAAAGGCCATGACGCTCGCGGCTAGAAGAAGAGCAGCGGAAGCGCTCGCGGCTAAAAGAAGAGCAGTTGAAGCAGAAGTAGTAGCAGGTGTAGCAGCAGTGGAAGCAGAAGCAGTACAAGCACAAGAAGTACAAGTGCAAGCAGAAACACTCGCTACCAGAAGACCAGCGAAGGCTATGACGCTCGCCGCTAGAAGAAGAGCAGCGGAAGTGCTCGCGGTTAGAAGAAGAGAAGCAGAAGCAGCAGCGGCAACAACAACAACAAAGCCCGATCCAGAGCCAGAGGCAAAGGCAGAGTCTGAGCCTGAGCCTGAGCCTAAGCCAGAGGCAAAGCCAGAGGCAAAGACAAAGACAAATGCAGAGGCAAAGACAAAAATGTGTCTAGCCGAAAGACGCTACGGTGGCTGTCATTTCCGAGCCTAAGTAAAACACCCGTAGTCCGGGGGTTGCTCTTCTAATGGTAACAAGAAGAGTAATCCCCGGGCAACCCGGCAGAAGCAACTTACAAACATATATATTTCTTTTTATAGCAACAGGAAGCAACAGACTAACAGACTAACATACTAACAAGCAACGGGAACTAACAAGCAACGGGAACTAACCTTACTCACAACTAACCTTACTCACAACTAACTTTATGAGAAATTAACTTTATGAACAAATAAATTTACTAACAACTAACTTTACTAACATCTGACTTTACTAGCAGAAGCCGAATTAGAGTCATATCTAGAGTTAGAATTAGTTATAGCTAGAGTTAGAATTAGTTATAGCTAGAGTTAGAATTAGTTATAGCTAGAGTTAGAGTTAGTCATAGCTGGAGTTAGAGTTAGTCATAGCTGGAGTTAGAGCTAGTCATAGCTAGAGTTAGAGTTAGTTATAGCTGGAGTTAGAGTTAGTCATAGCTTGAGCTAGAATTAGAGACATAGCTTGAGCTAGAATAAGAGTTATAGCTAGAGCTAGAATAAGAGTTATAGTTAGTTATAAGCATAGCAAAAAAAAATCAATTCGTATATATTTTATCCAAAATGTGTTATTATATATACGAGGAGCTTTGCTCCCCCCTCCCCTCGGGGGAAGGGGTCATTGGCCTATGAAGTTTTATATAACTTTTCTCTACTGTCAATTGTGTACCGCACACAATTACCAAGTAGTATAGGCTTCATATTTTATTTTATTGAGAAACAAGTAAGTCAGAGAATACGTGACAAAAGTTATAAGTTGTATGACATTATCTCTAACTTCATCCTGTTTTTTCTAATTAGACTAGGAGCTTTGCTCCCCCCTCCTCTCAGAGGGTGACCTCATTGGCCTATGTTAAGTTCTATATAACTTTTCCCTACTGTTAATTGTGTACGGCACACAATTACCAAGTAGTATAGGCTTTATATTTTATTTTATTGAGAAACAAGTAAGTTAGAAAATACGTGGCGAAAGTTATAAGTTGCATGACATGATCTCTAACTTCAGCCTGTTTTTTCTAATTAGATAAAATAAAATGAATTCTGGGAACATGACTCTTAGCTAAAAGTCTAAATACAGGATAAAAGTCGAAATAAAAGCAACTACTGGAGATGTTATTATATTATATTGCTTATTTTTTTTATCATTATTATTACTATCATTATTACAAAACCAAATAAAAAAAAACCTCCCTAAAAGTCTGTGAGAGGTCGTAGCCCAAAAGCATAACATGTTGTGCTTATACAAAAGAATCCATGTATATCCGACAATCATCTGAGATTACCATTAAAGAATATTATTATTTGCAAAGCGAACAGTAATAGACTTTTTTGCTCTCTCTCTTTTTAAGTAATTCGGTGGTAAGCTCAGGCATTACAGCCTTCAAACTAGGTTTGACCGAAAGATGGTTACAACGCCCGTTACAATGGAGCCAAGACTCATGTTAATTAAGTAGATGACCAGTTAAGAAACTTAGTTTAGTTTGATGACTCAAGATTCACAATGCAGTACGTAATGATGTTATTGTCTGAGTGCTAAGAAAAAAGAAATTGATAATAGGTGTACGTACATTGACGATATCTCATTATTGTTGCTTCTTCGTTCCGTATCGTATTTTACAATAGTGAAAATGACTTGCTCAGTTATTGGATTATACTCCATAGTAATGGATTTACGACAGACCAATAAGGCAAAATAAAGATTGGACTTAATATACTAATATAATGATGATGGCTTTACAGTGAGCCAGTGGAAGGGTGTACGAGAGAGAAGAAGAAGACATATAGTCTAGCTAGATGTACTGAGCTTTTATTTTTATTTTATTTTGTTGCCGATCATTACCAAAGGATCAAAGGCAGTCAGCAATAGAGACAAGTAGAGTCAGCACTCGATATAGTAATAATTTAGCAGGGAAAAAACATGGGTAAAATAGCCAAGCTTTAGAATCCTAGTAGTATTATGGTCGGTCAGGTAAGTGGAATTACTATACTATCATTCTTTTCAACGACTTGCTCTTTTTTGGGGGATGTATTTTTAATACTGTGCGGATCCCCCATTGCTAGTTCGATTGATTTAAACCACATAAATGTAAAAATGAGGTTTCTCTATAATATGGTGCAATTTTAGTAGCTCTTGTAGTATACATACTACACTTGGGCGAAATAAAAGTCATAGGCAAAAACTGGTCTCTTCTTGCCGATAGACCTGAAAAGTTAACAATCTCCAGAACTGCTACACACCAGGTACATGTCAATTATACACTTATATAGTGTAAACCAACCAACCATTACACAACAAGGATTTGAATAGTGGCAAATATAAGCAATATTACTTTGTCTCTAATAAATAGTACTCTCACATTATTTGCAAGCTGCAACACAAGAAGAGTCAAAAGTGAGTATGTTTATAACAGTGAGAAGGCATGTAACAGTGAAATTGATGTGGAACACACACACCTCAATATACAGATACAGGGTAATCACCATCATTTATACCACTATAATACACAGGCACAAAGTAAACACATTCCCCTGTCCAGTCTCACTGCAACACTACAGGTATAAGGTCATGACATTCTCCTGTGCAGCCTCATTGCACCACCACATAACGGCAATTCACTCTATGCTCCTACAATTGCTCAGAGTAGCTGTGTATGGGCACTGGTGGACTCTGGGGCAAAAGCTTATTTTATCTCTGTAGACTTTGTCTCCTCTCTCTCTCTCTCTCTCTCTCTCTCTACCTATCACTAAATATAGCACTACGGGAAGAAAATTGCGGTTTAACTGGCGGGTATAATAGATATTTGGCAAGAAACCGCCAGTTAAACCACCATTTTCTCCCCGTGGTTGAGCATATCTAAGCATACCCTCAAATAAAAGAGCAAAGCCGACAGATACAAGCTATATATTAACCACTATTTGACTAATACAACATACAGACAATGGCTTAAAATCGCAAGACCAATTAAAGAAATTAGCTTCCAGTATGCCCAAAAGATGTCAGGGTGTGATTAATGCCAAAGGAAATGGCATAAAATATTAAATATGCTTATATATATATTTTTTTACAAATTATAAAGCAGTCAACTTTTACCTTTATATTCTAGTAGTTTAAGTTTGTTGAAGAGTATTTTGAATACTTCTTCTCGAATGCAAAGAGTGTTTGTATCTATGTAAGATGCGCAAGAATTAAAAAAAAAAATTGAGATACATTTCCTCCTCACTGTTCTTTTACTCATTTTTATTGCACCAAAAATAGCAAAAATGGAACTCAGTCAGACTATATGTTCTATAAGAAATACCCTCTCAGTCATTATTGTCAGATCTTCAATCATGGCATTCGATCAAATAAAACCAGGTTGAGAATCTAATTTAGTGCCCTTAATTGATTACGGAAAAGAAAGAAACTCATTTATTTTCCTCTTCTTTAATTTGCAAAAATACAAACATACAACAGTGCAATGTCCTATCTGTAGTCGCTTAGTGTCTGAATCTGACATTAACGCTCACATTGATTCAGGGTGCAACATTAACACTATAAGATCCACCGGAAGCACCAGTACCTCTGGTAGTAGTGGACAATCTTCATCAACCTCTTTATTCTCAACACAGAAAACCGTTGGTTTGAATACAAAATCCAAAGCAAAAGATGCATTTCTTAATACAGAACCAGCTCAGGTTATATAACAAAAAAGAAAATTAGTAATAATTAACGTATACAAAATAGAACAACCCATATAACAGTACAATTGACAAAAATATATATATATGTATTTCTTTATATACATATATAAATAGCCTATTAAAATCGCACCTCTTTTTACTTCAAAACCAAAACCATCTACCAACCAATCTTACACTCATGCCATGCCCCCAAATAAATCATCTGGATCTGTACCACAAAATCAAGACCTAAAAAGAACACGCACAGATGATGATATTTCGCCTGTAAATAATACAAATCTGAAACGCAATAGAAAAGAGGAATTGATGGATTCAATGCCATTAGCAGCCAGAGGTAAAGTATAAGCGGTATATATGATAAATAAATGATAAATGATATATAATTATATTCTTTTAACAAAAATAAATAAATACATAAATGACAATAAAAGCACAAATCTCACATTTTCTCAAAACATGAGTAAAGTACGACCAACAACATTATCTGAGTTTGTTGGACAAGAAGAATTATTGGGAGATCTTGGAATTTTGCGTACATTAATGCAACAAGATCAAGTTCCTTCTATGATTCTCTGGTAAAATATCTCTAATCTTTTTCTTGGTTGTTGTTTAATTATTATTACTTTTATCAATATCACTATCAACTACAATGATCAAAGACTAATCATAATAATAAATAAATAATAAAGGGGTCCTCCTGGATGTGGAAAGACAACAGTGGCCCGTATTGTGTCTAAAATGACCAAGAGTCGGTTTATTGAAATGAGTGCGACATCAAATGGCACAGCCGATGCAAAGAAGGCATTTGACGATGCAAAAAATTATATGAAGTTGATGGGTGGAAAGACAATCGTGTTTGTGGATGAAATACATCGTTTTACAAAGGCACAACAAGATGTTTTCTTACCGGCCGTTGAGCAAGGGACTATTCGATTGATAGGAGCAACTACCGAAAACCCAAGGTAAATATTTCAAGATAATTTATTTGTTTATTTATTTATTTTTGGTATTAGTTTCAAAGTCAATTCAGCACTCTTGTCTCGTTGCAGAGTATTTGTTCTCAAGCAGTTAACCGAAGACCAACTTTTGGAGATCTTAAAACGAGCAGTCAAAAGCTGGAGAGACAAGGGAAATAAAGAAAACCCAATCCAGATCTCACCCAAGGACAGGCAAGCCGAAGAAAAAGCTCTCAGGACATTGGCTAGCAATAGTGATGGTGATGGTAAGAGTAATAAGAAAAGAGAAAACAGAAAGAGAGTGTCAAACATGTGTTTTATTTATTACTGCACGTTCATTTCTCATAAGTCCATGTGTATCTGTCCTTTTTTTTAAAAAAAAATTGCTTTACTATTCTTGTGGTTTATAGCTCGCAATGCCTTGAATACTCTTGAAATTGCTTTGAGTGTCTTGCCTTCCAAAGGTAGTTTATTGAGTTCAGATACGGTAAAAGGTAAATGGGGTACAAACGGAAGAAAAGGAATATGCGTGTCTCTTATTATTATTATTTTCCCAAGACGCTTTTCAAAAATCACATTTACTCTATGACCGTAATGGGGAGGAACACTATAATATTATTAGTGCCTTGCATAAGAGTATTAGAGGAAGGTAAATCTAATATACATGTGTGTTTATGTGTACATAAGAATACCCATTATGCTATTTATTTATTTATTGGCTTGTTTGTCTGTCTGTCTGTTTTCAAGTGATGCTAATGCAGCTCTGTATTGGTTGGGGCGTATGCTGGAAGGAGGTGAGGATCCTCTGTATGTGGCTCGCCGTCTAGTGCGTTGTGCGAGTGAAGATATTGGCTTGGCAGACAATACTGCTCTCCCATTAGTAAGTCCAAGTGAGACATTCCAGCCCAACCCAACATTGTCCCAACATAATTTAATTTTTTTCTTTCATTCATTCTTTCCTTCTTGCGTTTTCTCTTTCTTTCAGGCCGTGGCAGCATACCAAGCATGTGAAAGAATCGGTATGCCTGAATGTGACACTATTTTGGCTCATCTGGTCACCTACTTGGCTGAAACGAAAAAGAGCGTGAGGACATACAAGGCGTACAACAAGGTAAAAACAAAACAAAAACAAAAAAAAAGTTTCCCCCAAAAAAAGGGACTTACAGCACATTACTGTAAATCAATCAAACATAAAACTTATATTCAAACACACGATTTCTTATTAGGTTAAACAAACCATTAGAGAAGAACCAAATCATCCTGTACCATTACACATTAGAAATGCACCAACTAAACTTATGGAGGTAAAGATCCCATCTTATGGTTTTGTAATGTTCATGATAAAGGAATACTACACTAGACTAGACTTGAATGAACTAAACCAATGTATTCTTATTATAACCACAGGATGTAGGTTATGGAAAAGGTTACAAGTATAATCCTGACTATGAAGGACCAGTGGACCAGACATATTTACCAGATGCACTTATTGGGCGAGAATTTTTAGAAGATAAATAAATAGATAGTAATGAAATGTAATAGCAATTGTATTGTAATGGAGAGGTTGTCTTGTGCTTATTTTCCTCCTGTTTGGTAATTAGCCAATAGACCTGCTAATTAATATAAAATAAAATAAGATAGTACAGTATAATAAATATACAAACAAGTGTTTATGTACATCAGAAAGATTGTGTTTCTGACTCTAATTGTTGTCCTTGAGCAATCGACTTGATTTCTTGGACACGATGATTAATAATTCCGAGAGCTGCTGTCCAGATCTCTAATTCCTTTTGCTGTCCGGCTACAGAAGCTTTGAAAGGTATGCTTTTACTTGTACTGGGTGCAATGCTTCCAGTCTTTGCAAGGTAATGTGTGTGGCTTCGAAGAGAGAGCTGTACATCCTATATACATACATAGACATAATTTTTAAGCTTTACATTATAGTAACTCTTGAATTATTTGGATTTGTATTATTATTACTCGAGAGAAAAAAAGAAAACCATACATTGATTAGAGAAAAATAACGACTGGCTAGATCTTGGAATGCAGCGATTCGTTCACGATGAGCCTGATCGGCGCTGTTATCGTTTATTTCTTCGTCTGAAAGTACTGCGAGTGCATCTCCTGCTGTTTCTACCAAAAGAACGAGTTTCTATATATGTATATATGTATATGTATATATAAAAGACGCGATGAGATCAGTTTGGCTTTGTGAATGTCAAAACATCATGTCACAATTGACCTTTTCTGCTTCATGAAGATCTTTTATTCTTATGGTACTTTCAGCCATTGCACCCGAGGCATCATGAAAGGCATTCTTGTCTGGCATTCTTTTATTTATATATATATATATCAAATGAATTAATTGTATGTGTGTAATAAAAGAAAGAAAGAACGAACGAATAAATTTGGGTATAAAAAAAATAATAGCCAGCGCAGGATCTCTTTTGGGCAAAATAATAACGGCAGGAATATATTGTAATTTGGCCAAGAAATTATGTGCATACTGCACAGAAAAGATAATGTTGCTTGATATTTTGAACTTTTGATTGTACTATATATATATGTGTGTGTGTGTGATTTGATTATCGTATCAGGGCTAATAGTTTTGGATCCCTCCTTTGATATAAATATATTATATAATATATATTCAGTAATTGTATTAAAGAAAATGGTTGGCTGTCAATGCCCTATGATAAATGATGTATATGTGTCAAAGTTTGTTAAATGAATTCATCATATAATGGTAATTAGTTTTCTACAACAGGAATAATAATATAGTTGATCCTAAAAATAAATAAGTAGGTAAAAAAAAATCCATGTAAACCACCAACAAGGGCTCATGATGACTTCATTGTTGGCTGTAATAAGAAGACATATTTGTATAGTCAAAAATATTTCACTCATGGCGTGAGGATTTAAAGAGACTAAATAACGTCAATCAAAACAGTGCTTGATCAAAAATCCAACTAAATTCTCCTCTGCTTCCCCTTGCTTTGATTTGCTTCACTTAATAAAAAAAAAAGCAATATAAGCATTGGCCACATAACCTAAAATTAAGACTTTAAATAGGCCAAAAGAAAATTAAGAAGGAATAAATACTAATAATTATAGAAAGGAGGAGTGTGTGTGTGTGTGTGCGAGGGGAACAAGGAAGAGAGACAGAGAAAAAGTGCGTGTGTATGTTTGTATGTAGAAACCTATTCATCAGAGGATAAAAAAGGAAATTTGTCTCTGTAATGAAAAAAATGGAAAATGGGAAAAAAAGGCGAATTTCCTTGAACACTCAGATTAAGACCACCAACCTCGTACCTTTTTTTGTGCTTTTTTCTTTTTTCTGCTCTTCTTCCTCTTTTATATTCCTACTCAGTCTATTGTACTTTTAAAGAGGCTTCTTTGTGTCTCATCAGGATCCTCAATTGACCAACCTCATCAATTGTTCACCCTAGATCCTTAATAGACAAGTTTTCCAACGAACGCAAAAAAAAATATTTAGAAAAATCCAGCTTTTCTTCTCATTCAACCACAAACAAACACACACACACACACACAGAATTTACATATAAGAAAGCAACCTACAGACAACAAACAACAAACAATAAGCAAGCAACAAACAACAAGAGCAATTAAGACCAGCCAGGCCTTTCTTTTCCCTTTTATCATCAAGCTTAGGATCGTATGCTCCCTGGTTGTAATCTCACTCCTGTCGTTCTTTGCTGTCGTATACACCATTTTATTCTGTTGCCATTGGCCACAGTCTAGCATTCTCTCTATTCTCTTTTCTTTCATTCTTTGTTTCTTTGGTTCTTTGTTTCTTTATCTCTTATATTCTGCGATCCATATCGTTGCGTTCATGACCAGTTCAACATCAGCAGTTGGAACTGAATCCATTCAATCAGACCTCATGAATAATACACCCGAATCATCTCATCCCAACACATTCGCAGAACAATTGGAATCATTTGACTTCAGAGGAGATGCCATTGACACTGCATTAAGGTATATTAATAATACTAATAATAGTAAGAAAGATATATATATATATGTGTGTGTGTGTATATATATATTTATCTATATTTATATCTGTATAAAATGTATCAATAGAAAACTATTGGCCAAAGTTCATCTACCAAAGGAATCCCAACAAATTGATCGTGCTATGGAAGATTTTGGAAAACGATACCAAACATGTAATCCCGGACTGACCGATAACCCAGGTAATAAACATACATGCATATACAGATATATACAGATATATAGCTAGAGAGACATAATGAGAGAAATCATTGGGCTTTAGATAAATGTGAGCATTATCTCGAGACTACAAGAATGGAATGTTGAATAAAAATAAATATGATTGATAGATGGGATTTACGCGGTTGCGTTTTCGCTTCTTATGCTGCACACTGACGCTCACAACAAGAATGTGCGTCAAAAGATGAACAAGGAAACATTTATCATACGGACAAGACTGCTTGATGGAGGTGAGAATTTACCGGCAGAGATCTTGGATGTAAGTGTTTAAGCAGACCAAGAATATATATTTGTTTGTTTGCTTCTTACTACACACACACACATATATATATATATATATATATATATATATAATTAAATTTGTCTTTATAGGTTTTGTATGATAATATTGTATCAACCGAATTTGTCTTCACCGATGCTGAACCTGAACTTTATACCGCCAGTAAATCTACTTCTTGGTTTTCCAAACTATCCAAGAGTGAGTCCAGCACCTCTCTATCCGTAAGTAAGGCACCCACCACAACGTCAACCTATCATCGCTCATCAATTGGCACACAAACACATATACATACATCTATAAACTACACACAATACACTACACAAAAAAAACATAGGCTAGTCTGGTAGCAGATCTCTATCCAAAACTAGACTTGGTTATGCCGGCTGAGAATACTTTTAGCTTCAAGCGTACTTTGAAACCAATCAATATAATGGACATTCACTTGTCCCTGATGAGAGCACTTCCGCTGTGTCTAGGAGGTGTACGGACACGCAGTAATCCCGGGAGTGGAACCAGTACATATACAGTCCGGGTGACAAAGGCAGGCATACTTGACCGCAAAAACGATCTCAACCAACACGGCAAAAAAGCCAGTGCTCGTAGCTGGCGACCGGTTGGCGTGATGCTCTGTGGAAGCCAACTTTTGTTTTTTGCCGAAATTTCTTCTTTCCAGTCTTGGATGGACAGCGTTGAAGATGAACAACGTTCGACTGTCTATAGCGGTGGCGGCGGAAATGGTAATGGGACTGATGGAGATTCTGGGGGTGATGAACAACAGCTCATGACTAGCACCCGCCCACGCAACACCAGTCTACCCGTCCCTCTTGTCAACCAACCCCGACCACCTTTTACCCCACCTTCGCCTTCGACCTCTATTCCGCTTATCCAGCATCCTCCTCCGTCTCTCTATTCGTCTACATCCCTTGTATCTACATCCACACTACATCCACAACAGCAGCAGCCACCGTTCTCTCCGACCGGACAGTCCATGCTACAACCATACCAGATCTACTCTCTTGCCGAAGCTGTATGTGTTTACGACGAGAGCTATGTTAAATACCCCCATGTCTTCCGTCTCATTACCGGCGACGGTCAGCAATTTTTATTGCGAGCCGAAGATGATGCTGACCTCGAAGACTGGATGCTCAAAATTAATTATGCCGCTGCCATCAAAACAACCGGAACCCGCCTCCGTCAATGGCGCTATCCTTCCGATCAACGTCCTGTGGATCGACGAGAACAGCGTAAATTGGTTGAACGAGCAAAACGTGAAGAAAAAGCAGCTGTGAGTAATATTTGTATTAATTTACAAGAACAAGAATAATAAAAAAAATATTAACTGAAGAGCTTGTTTATTTATTTAGTTGGCTATAAGTAATCTTTCAGATGACATAGTGAACCATGTCAAGGCTCTCGATCAAGATCTTCAGCTTAGACGCAATCTCATGGTACTCATTCCTCTCCAAAAGTCAACCAAAGATCGAATCCTTGCCTTGGCCGAGCTTGTTGGCAAGCGGATAAGGGAAAAGAGGATAGAGTTACAACGGTTGGAATGCTACCGCTCTTTTATCGAAAAGGAACTTTCGTGGTGCTCGTCTGAGGTAGTGCACCGCAAGATGTCTGCCCCCCACGTTCACACACATTATCTTGCCCAACGATCTTCGACGGTGCCTATTTTGGTCAAAGATTCGCCCAGTCAACGACAACAAGAAAATGAACACAAACAAGAAATGTTATCGGTTCATCAGATAGACGACAATAGAAACTCGATAGGAGGACCAGGATTTGTACCCAAACGTACTTCGAGTCTTCTCAAGTTGTCTGCCCTTGCTACATCCGAGATTGATATTTCAAATAGAAGTGAGTCACCAGTACAGATACTCGCGAGATCTGATGATGACGATGACGATGACGACTACAACAATAAAAACAGCAATGGCAATAGTAATGACAGTTGTCGTCGTATCAATGGCCATTATTTACAAAGCGATGACACTCTCGAATTTGGACACGACAATACTAGAACAGACAGCACGGATGCACTGTTGCTTCCTCCGTCTGATGAATCTGTAGCGTGGACAAGTGATGGAAAGGCAAAGCAAAGGGTGACAGAATTGGACAGACTGATGCGTAGACGGAGTAGAAGTCATCCTATTATGCCCAACAGCCGACTTATTGGACAAGCAATGGCTGGTGGAAAGCCTCGACCGCTACTGGATGTTCCTTTGGTGAATACTCGACTTGCAAACCGAGAACGAAGTAGCTCGGAGGTTTCTTCTGTTCAGGACGATGATGATGTGAGCGTTATTGTTATCAATAATAACGATACAGAAGAAAGCCCCACAGATGAGCAACTATGGTCTACTCCAGCATGAAAGAAAGAAAAAAAAACAAGAGGATAAATAATGAATCTTTAATTATCATTATTATTAGCATTGCTATTACTGCTATTACTATTATTCCTAATGCTATTAACAGTAGCAGTAGTAATCGCAATAGCAGTAGCAATAGCAGTAGCAGTAGTAGTAATAGTATTATCATTTTTTTTATATCTTTGATTTCTTACCAACACACACACACAACACACACACACATATTTATATACAGTTCACTTACCCACTCACATAAATTACTCATTCCACTCAATTCACTCAATTCAATTCAATTCACTCTACTTCACCCCACTTCTTCACTTCTTCACCTCACTTCATTTAACCCCTTCTTGCGCACACATTACATATCTACCCGAAAAAGGAAAGAGGAAACGAAAACTTGCTTTCTTTTTTTTAAAAAAAAAAAAAAAAACGATAAAATCTTTATCACTAAATTCTGCTCTCCTTCTACACGCATTAGTATTTAAGATTCCGCTGTGACTATCCAATAAGCGAGAAAGGGCATTTTTTTGTTGGCTTTAAAGAGAGAGGAGAGAAAGGGAGAGAAAAGATAGAGAGAAAGGAAAACAAAAAACCAAAAAGGCATTATTGATTTTGTTGCAAGATGTATTGCATGCGTTATTTTGTTCCTCTTTTACTGCTGCCCTTTCCAGATGCACCACCAGTATTTGTTGTGCTTTTTCTCATCTCATTCTTCCTTCATCAGAAACCTTGGTACGAAACATGAACAGAACACTCTACTTTATGTTATGCTTTTATCATGATGCTAAATATCAATACCAACATTGTGTACTAATGTATATATATATATCTATTTTTTTCTGGTTTGGTCTGGATAGTATATACTGCACATTGCTATTGATTGCGCTATTTTCGTCTACTTGTTATTGGGGACAAGGACGCTGTTGGATCGACTTGCGAAATTCGAGCCTCTTTGATGTACGACAAGATTCGAATGCGACATTTGGACAAAATGATGGCTGGTGGGATTGGAAGATTACTCTTCCAGTAGGTCAAACTCCAATCTCTAATAATTGATTATTTGCATAATAATTATCATTATTATTATTATCATCGTTACTTTTGCTATTATTATTATTATCATTAAAAATGAGACAAGAAGCAAAGAATGAATGAAAGAGTCAATGGCAACAGCAACAACAACAGCAACAACAAAAAAAAACAGCAAAAGAAACGGTAGCAGAAACAACAACAGCAGCAGCAATAACAACAATAACAACAATAATATTATCTTGCAGGAACTTTGGATTTTACCATATATTTGTATATAAATCCCCGTTATTTTTTATTTTATTTTTACAAATCAAATATATACATAAGAGAAATAGAGAAAAAGAGCTTTATCAACTATGAGCTATGTTTATTTGATGTTGCTTGCGTCACAAAAGAGTAAAGGTAGCTTAATGAAAATGGAGTATCTTGATTGTTTGACTATTCATTCAATTGACTGAACCAGAAAACGCTTTTGCATTGACTTGTGAAAACTATATATATATATAAAATATATTACATTACATTCATTAATATTATTGCTTTGAATTCACAAGTAGTCTTGGTTTGATCATCAAGTTTTTGTAACTCCAAAGAAAAGAAATATAGTAATTTTAACAATAATTATAATATAAATAATGTAAATATATATATATATATATATATATGTATATTGTGTGTGTGTGTGTATATGATGTTATACATGTGAAGTTTCAATTTGTGTGCTACATATTCATAATACTTTGTGTGCTGTGAGTCAGGCTGCTAAAATAAATGAGCTCAATTCAGGTAATTTTCCTTGACCCCAATCCCCACCATTAAGTTGCTTGTTTAGGTTTCGACCTTTAAAGTAAAAATAATAAAACTTGCGCACAAGAAAATCTAATGGTTACAACCACTTTGCAAAAACAAGTTGTATCACGGCCTGGGAATTTATTTATTTATTTTTCATTATACACACTGTACACCTCAAGCTCTTCACATATATATTTACATTCTTCTTCTTTTTCCTCTTCCTCTTCCTCTTCCTCTTTCTTTCTTTTTGAATATTCTGGTAACCATCCTTATTTCCCCACACTTGAACCTCCAGCAACAACAACAACAACAACACCAAAAGAATTGTAACAACCATGAATGGAATCCGGTCTGTGCTAAGAAAGAAAGTACCTTCATCGACAGCAATAAAGGTCCTTCGTAAAGTGTTTGCAATGCCCGCACCAGCTGCACGACTCTTATTGAACGACATCAGCCGTCCTCGCAAATCACACAAGTCTTGGATCTCAAAGGTTCCATGGAACAACGATTGGTCTGGTTGCTGGATTGGTGAAAATGTCCACAAATTAAACCCTGCTGAAATTCAGAGCCGTGTTGAAGCTGCTGATGTCGTATTGTTTAATGTCCACGGTAAGACCAAATGATGAGTAAAATATATAAAATATATAATATAAATATAAAAACGAAAGGGCGATCAATAGCGTCACACCAGCCATATGTGTGTGAATCAAATGAGATGGAGAAAATGGGATAATGATCAGCATCAAAAAGAAAAATAATCAAGAAATCTAATCCTTTTACTTCTTTTATGTTGTTGTTTGGCAATTGACAGGCGGTGGGTTCCGTATCGGTACATGCACCATGTACATGGATACAAACCTTGCATGGATTAATGTACTAAAAGAAAAGTACGGATTGACCGTAATGATCATGTCTATCGATTACAGGCAAGTAAAGCACTAGAAAAATACAAAAAAATTGTGGGGGTGGCTATTAAATTAAGCACCAATATATCTATAAGAAATACATACATTTTATTGTTGTTATTTCATTTGTAACTTACCTTTTTTTTTTATATTTGAATCCCGTTTCTTCTTATATGATTATTAGACTGGCACCTGAATACAGGTACCCTAGCCCTGTGGAGGATGTCGTACGAGCCTATGAATGCCTCACCCAGACAATGGGTGTTCCTGGAGAAAAGATTGTGGCCATTGGAGACTCTGCCGGGGCTGCTCTCATTCTCGAAACCCTCTTTATCACACACGACCCAAGCATGTTTGAGATTGTGACGGACGACCCTGAAGACTCCAATGCCTCAGAAGGCGGCAGTGGAGGACCAGTGTTGAGCGAACTACCCAGGCCAGCCGGAACTGTGCTCGTGTCACCGCTTGTCACAGACGAAACGACCTCTGAGTCCTGGCGAGTAAATGTGGAATTTGATTACATTAGTCAGCACACAGCAAAGGTCATCAAACGAGACTACTTTGAGCCTCAGGACCAGGATCCAGACACACCACCAGAATCCAACAGAGTATTGGGCATTGCCAAGCTACAGACCGGTTTCCAGGCATTCTTGTCTCCAAACGTGCTGATGTACATTGGCGACAAAGAGGTTCTCAGAGACGACGCTCTAGACCTTGCCGAAAAGGCCGAGCAGGATGGTGTCAATTGGCAAACCGTGGTCGAGGACTGCGTTCATGACTGGTTCTGTGTCCGAGAAGTCGTCAAGGACCACTCCATTCTCGAGCGTGCTGACTCGATCTTTGCTGACTTTGTCTATCGGTCGGTTATCCAGCCACGCGAGACTGAACATGCGCTGGAAGCACTTTCTTTCCGCAGGGCAAGCGAAGGACTTGAGGTCGTTTTGGAAGACGACGAGGACGATGACGAGGACGATGAAGTGTTTCATGAAGCCATGACCGGTACTGAACTTTCTTTCGACAAGGCGATGATGAAGAAACTCGATGCTCTGGGTATCAATGATCCAGATGCAAAGCGATCTACACTTACTGTCTACGTATAATTATACACTTACACAAACACACACACAAAACACTCCTTTATCTTCTTTCTTCTTCTTTATCCTTGTCATTCTATTCTATTCTATTTTACTCTTCTTCATCTTATTACTTTTGCCTCTCTTTCTTTATCGTTTCTTTTTGTTGTTGCTGTTGCTGTTTTATACTTATAGCTATACATATATTCTTATCTTTGTCTTGTTCCTTTTTTCACCATTGTACTAGACCTTAATGTCTGCCTTTTATAGCTTTATCTCCTTATTTGATTTTACTCAACCTCATTATACTTTATTTTATTTTATCTAATGATCTGTACATAAACCTGAAATAAACTGCCTCTTCTGTGCCAAATACCATCTCTCTTTTTTTAAAAAAAAAAAAAACAATAAAATAAAAAAAATATAAAATTAATCCACGCTTTTGAATATCCCAATCGACACTTTTTGTAGCATAGACTTCTTTTTGAATATTTGATTCAACAAAATTACACTTTTTTAGGTGGCTAAAATTGAGTTTCTTTTTTTTTTCTTTCTTTCTTTATTTGAAAATCTCAAAAGTAAGGTACCGTAAGATAAATGTATCATTTGGCACAAGAGACACTGTAAAGTCTATTTAGGATAAAAGTAGAAGTGAGAAAAGTTAAATCTACAGCTACAGCTATAGGGAAAAGGAAGAAAAGAAAGAGGTTACTATCTAGTAATAATATCATTTTTTTTGGGGGAGGAGTTTTTTTTTGTTTCATTGTTGCTATGTAGAATTTTGTTGCCATGGTAAACAAAAGATTTAGTTTTGGATTAGAATTGAGTGCGTGACCGGATAACAATCACGTAGGCCTTTATTTCTTTCTTTCTTTCTTATGATTCTGAACACACAGTGTTATTATTGGGCTAGAGTGGTTTAGTGAGTTCTTGTCCTTTACCATATCATATATACTTATATGTACGCACAAACTCTGTCCAATCCAATCAAATACAGCTCAAACCAATTCAGGCCAGTCTGGTTTGTATCAATACACAGAGGGATTATTTTATTTTATTATCACCAATAGATCCAAGCTTGGCAAGAAATGCTTATCATAGGTACCCCTTATTTTTATTTTATTTGTTTCTTTGAGGAAAAAATAAAATAAACAAATATCATGCATGCCCTGCCATGTTTATTTTAGCCAGTCTTTTCTCTTCTTCTTCTTTCTTCTTCTTTTTTGCTTTTTATTTCTCTTGTTGTTACTATCAACTTATTTAATGAGCCTTTCGGATTCACATTCTAATGACCATGCAACTTCTTGTGTAATCACCATGCAATCCACATTCACACCAGAACCAGCAGGCTGTACTCTTTTAGACGGGTTTGCCATAATTGTCCAGCTCACTCTTGCAGCAACAGCACTTGCCGTATTAGCTTATAAACGATGGCGAGAAAGACCTCAAAGACCAGTAAAAATATGGTAAATCATTATATATTATATTATATTTTAATTTCAATTTCAATTTATATAAAATTAAATTAAATTAAATTAAATCAAATTAAATTAAATTATACACTATAAATGTTAAAAAAAAAGCATTAATACTATCAATAATATTATTAATAATGCTTATATGTGTGCGTATGTGTGCGTATGTGCGTGTACATTTTATTCATTTTTTTTAATAGGGCACTTGACGTCAGCAAACAATTCGTTGGCGCAGGTGTGATTCATGCCCTGAATTTAGCCATCAGTTACTTGGCAGGCAGACCAATGCATGGACCACAGACCAATCTGTGCGTGTGGTATTTTTTGAACACAGCTGTCGACACAACAATAGGTGTCGGAATTCTGTGGTTTTGGTTACATTTATTAGAACGTATCGCAGATGGTCTCATCATCAGCCTACGAGACTCGGACAAGGAACTCAAGAGCGAATCGTTGTCCTGGATCCAGGAAACAACAATTTTCTTATTAGCAGAAGCCTTGATGAAAATATGTGTCTATGGTCTTCTTCAAGCCTTTCCATTTTTTGCCCTTGGAGAATACTTGCTCAGCTGGGCAAAGGACAATGATCGCCACCAGGTTGTGTTTGTCATGTTCATGTCAGTAAAAATAAATAAATTATTTTATCTATCTATCTATGAAGAGATGATCATTGGAATTAACTATCTATATATAATAATTATCATCATCATCGTAACTTAGTTTCCCCTTGATCATGAATGCTATTCAATTCTGGATAATCGACAGTATGCTCATGATACGAGACCCATGCCCTCAAATCCTTCCAGAAGACAGGCGTTTTGATGGTTTCGGTTATTCAACCATATCATCGTGTGACTCACTAAATATCCAGAAAAACTCTTCACAAGGTCCACTCGTGGTCTTGATTCATTCAATGGACGAACACACACGGCTATTATATGACGAAGGTGGCCACAATCTGTAACTGTTTATTTGATTGGCGCAAGTGTACAAATCACATATTTATATATAAACAAATTTTACATACTGTAATTTTCAGCATATCAATCTTGAGAAATAAAATAAAATAATATAATATAATAAAAATTTAAAAATGGAAATCCGTTTTGGCGTTCAAGAAGTGAAGCACCCGGGTCTTTGTGACGTTTATCCTGCACAAGTGAAACGTCAGGGGCGGAGAATAGCCAGTGTAAACTTTCATTATCATCTTTATCATCTTTATCATCATCATCATCATCTTCTTCTTCTTCTTCCTCTTCTTCATTTTCATTTTCTACTTCTTTTCTTTTCTTTATTATTATTATATATATATATATATAGAAACACACGCACACACACAGATATATCCATATACCCATACATACATACATACTATATCATACTATATCATACTATCATAATTTCTCTATATTTACATGAATCTTGACGACGACCAAGTTTCAACTTCATCCGGTCGGAAAAAGGCCCAACCTAGAAATAATGTCTCACAATATGGTTCGGTTGCACACGACAGTCCGAAAAAGAAACACGTCAAAAGAGATGAAGACCAAGGAAAAGTGCAGAGCCCAAAAGAAGACGACGAAGAAGAGTCTGAGAGTGGTCAAGAAAGCCCTAACCTTTCGCCAATCCGAGAAGAGTATGATCCTCCAGAACCACCGACCCACAGACCACGCCGACGCTCGCGACATGCAAGCACTCTTGGCCACGGAAGTGACGCAGACTCTGTGAATAGTCACGACCGAGAAATGACACTCAAAGACAGACAAGATGTGAGCTCACGACCAAAAAAAATTTTTTTTTCATATGTCTTTAAAATCTATAGATAGATAAGAAAACTATAAAGAACAAAAAGGAAAAAAAAAATATAAAGTCTAAAAAGAATTGTATATATAATACTAATGCTAATGATAATAATAATAATGACAGGCTATCAACAAACAACATCCCTTTGGTCTTCCATTGTGGAAACCCGCTCTCTACAAAAAATCCCGATCTGTCGTCCGCAAAGCCAATCGTGCGCTTCATTCTTCTCCATCGTCTTCATCCGAACTCTTCTTGAATCCCGGAAACATCGTATGGCTGCTTCTGTTTGGATGGTGGTTAGCCTTGGTGATGTTCATTGTGTCCCTGGTTCTGATCATCATCCCACCAAATGGCAGAAGCTATGCCTTGGTCATGAGAGAACTTTCGTCCTATCTCTTGTGGCCATTTGGCCGGTATGTCGAAAGGACAGTAGACATCAGACCATCGGCAATGCAAGGTGGCGGAGAGTTTGGTGACGAAGAAACCGGGTTACTGAATCAGGAAGATCCAAAGAAAAATATCTTTAACACTCTGGTTGATATACTAAAGTCAGGTCCAGCTGGGTGTGTGTACTACTTTCTATTCGTGGGTATAATAGGTAAAGTAAAGTAAAGAAGAATATTGATAGCATTCTTTTAGTAAGATAAGGACAAAGAAGTATATGAAAGAAAAGGTAGCTTACTGGGCTGTCTATACATATATTATATAAACAAAAGCACCTTTACTGTTACTGGTATCCACTATTTGCTGGATGTGTGTTATTACGATTCCAATGGCCAAACTCAACTATATCCTGATGCGCCACCTGCGCCGCCACCCCCTCAGTCTCCGTTTCAAATCTAGTCGATCAGGCTCTCATCAACTGGGAGTAAACCATCAGCCGACAGTGATCTTACTGTGCACCTATCAGGCGTTTGGACTCCAATACTACAAGTACACCTATGACGGTATCAACATCATCTTCATCAACCTGCTTTCGCTCGTCTTCTTTGTCATCTTTGACGAATACATTCTCAAGAAGCACTGGCCCGATGCCCCCATCACATCCCCTGCGGTTGTGTTTGCTCTCTCGCTAGGCTCCGTCATCCCTCTCTCCTACTTCATTGGCATGGGTGTCAGCTCAGTGTCTGCACAGAGCAGTATGGGGGTTGGTGCAGTAATCAACGCAACCTTTGGTAGCATCATCGAAATCATCCTCTATGCCGTCGCTCTCATGAGAGGCAAGAGCTCACTTGTAGAAGGCTCTCTGATCGGAAGTATCCTTGCCGGTGTGCTTCTGATGCCTGGATGCTCTATGATCAGTGCTGGTGTTAAAAGAAAGGAACAAAGATTTAATGCAAAGAGTGCTGGTAATATATATATATATATATATATTCTTTTTCTTTTTTATTGTATTATCTTACGATGAGATACATCAAGAAGCTTATTTTATTTTAATTTATATTAATTTAGGTGTCACATCTACCATGTTGATTATGGCCATCATCGGTGCTCTTTCTCCTACTCTGTTCTACCAAATGTTTGGTTCGGTAAGCCTTAATAGAATTCTCTTTCTATTTTATCTTAAAGAAGAAGAGCTTATTAATGTTGAATTGACCTATTATAAATACATATATAAAAGTATGAATTACTCTGTACAGGATGTCCAGAAAATGACACATCAGGACAGTTGGGATGTTCTCGATGCTATTTCGATCAAATGAACCCTCTAAAGGACCCTGTATATGAAAACAGTGTAAAGCCTTTTATGTGGATCTGTGCAGCTATCTTGCCATCTGTAAGGGTCGACGGCTTTATTGTGCAGAACAAACAAGACAAACTCACTAATCTATTTCTCTTTAATTAATATATATTTTTTATTATTATAATTATTATTCATTAGGCTTACTTGATCGGACTCGTCTTCAGCTTACATACTCACGTAGACATGGTGTGGAAAACTACCCCAAGTCACTCACAGAGCCAGAGTTACTACCAAAAATTACTTCCCGCCCATATGCTTTCCCAGACCTTACACCCTCAAACTCACACTCCTGGCCCTGCGTCAGAGTCCCAGCATGCAACAACCGGTAAGCACAGCAATAGAACAACAACATGGAAGGCTCTTTGTTTGCATTCATTTGTTTTTTTTTTCTTTTAAAGAAAGACATTAAATTAAAATAAATTAAATTAAATTAAATTAAATTGACTTGTAACTTGTTTTTTTTTCTTCGTATTTGACATTATATTAATTTACTGTAAATATGTTATTGTTACTGATGTTACTGGAAATATAGAGCACCAGATTCCAGGTACACATTCCATTCGAGCTGTCCCGCCTGTGGCATTTATCCATGCAAAGGAGCCAGAAGAGGAAGAGGAAGAGGAGGAAGCTGCAGGCCATGATTCACCCAATTGGAGTAAAGCCAAAAGTTTTACTGTATTGTTTGCCTGTACTCTACTGTACTCTATTATTGCCGAGATTCTTGTCGACACGGTCGATCTAGTGATGTCTAGTGTTGCAATTGACGAGAAATTTCTTGGTTTGACCCTCTTTGCATTGGTTAGTATTATGCTTAGTAATAATAGTTGTATCTGTAGCTGTAGTATATACACATACACATACATATACACATACACATACATATAAGTGATAACAAGAGAGAGAAAGAGAGACAGACAGACAGAGGGGTTATGCAGAGGTCTGATGTGCTTCTCTAGGTACCCAACATTACAGAGTTTATGAATGCAATTTCATTCGCACTCAATGGAAATATCGTTTTAAGGTAAACAAAGACTAACCCAAATAAATCAAGTCCAATTTAGTTTAAAGACACAAATAAATGAAGAACAAGAGAAGAAGAGAGAAGATATATAGATAGACAAAAGCTCAGAGGCAAACTAAGCGAGACAAAGAGAGAAAGGAAGAAAGAAAGAGAAAGACGGCTTACTTTGCTGTTATTGTTGTTATTGTTATTGTTGTCTTAATTTTTTTTATACCTCCTTTTTTTTGCTCTTGCTCTTATACCCCTTTAATTTCCTGAATGATTATATAGTATGGAGATCGGTTCTGCCTACGCTCTTCAAGTCTGTCTTCTTCAGATTCCAGCCATGGTTGCGTTTTCGCTGTGGTTCAACTGGGGCAAGGAGGAACTTGGACGCTTCACATTCAGGTAAGAAATTGGCAGTGTATTCATAAATGTATACATATATATACATTCAAAGATGATGATTTACTAAAGGAGAATATATATATATATACTGTCTTAAAAAACAACCAATTATAGCCTCATTTTTCCCCGTTGGGATGTGATTTCAGTAATATTTTCTGTCTTCTTACTGACCTATACCTACCAAGAAGGAAAAGCCAACTACTTCAAGGGATCTATCTTGATTCTCAGTTACTTTGTTCTTGTCGCCGGATTTTACTACATCCCTCCTTTCTCCAATACCAGCATCCTAGTTGGTTATAACCCTCTTGCCCATTCTTCTCTTGTATAAATACACGCACACACGCACACACACACACACACACACACACACACACGCACGCACACACGCACGCAAAAACACATATATTCATAAAATACGAAGGAGCCCTTTTTCTTTTTCTTTTTCCTCTTCTTCCTCTTCTTCTTTTACAAACCAAACAGGGGGTAATTAATATTAATATTACTGATGATAATAATTATAATAAAGATAGTCATAATACTAGAAAAAGAAAAGGCAAAAGCAAAGGCAAAAGCAAAAAGACCAAAGGCAACAAACCACCCAATGAATATCTTCTCGGCGTCTACTCTGTTAATGAGCCTGATCTTAAAGCTCGTCCTCCTGCATTAATCCAGAACCTCAAAAAAAAAGAAAAAGAGATAATATACAGACACAGAAAATACCCCTTTACGATAAAACTCCCTATCTATCTATATTTACAAATACGTCTGTAGCTTTAACCTTCTCTTTCTTTTTACTGTCTCTCGTTTTCTTGTTCTATATTATGATTTAAGGACCTTAATAATCGTATCTCAAAAGAAAGAAAGAAAAAACCACCAACGCTCATCAACGTCGAAACATCATCGTCTACGCTGAACATTTTCTTCAGAGAAAATAATAATAGAAGAAACAAAAAGTACATCTGTCCCTTCCTCTTCTTCCTCTTCTTCCTCTTCTTCTTTTAGCAAGACGACTTTATCCTTTTCTTTATATTCTATTCCTATTGTTGTTTTTTCTTCCCTTATTTCCCTTATTTCTCTCTCTCTTTCTATTTCTTTATTATATACTTCCTCTCTTGCAACCTCTCTTGAATCAAAAAAGGAAAACAACACAAAAAAACACAAAAAACCAGAAAGTACAACTCTTATCATAATACATGTCTGTCAATAATCTGGCTCAGCTTCCTGACGATGCATTGTTGGAGGACACAAATGAAGAAGTCTGCCAGCTACTGCATGATCGTTTTAAGCAAGACAAACCTTACACCCTTCTTGGAAACCACAGACTCATTGTCGTCAACCCTTACAAACCTCTCGATCTACTCAACGATGTTACTCTCCAAGCATACGCTAACCATGGCTACAAGGATCTTTTAGCAGCCACTGATGGGTTTGCAGCCCCAGAACCTCATGTTTATGAACTCGCCACACGTGTATATTTTATAATGCGTCGAAGAGGAAAAGACCAGGGAATTGTATTAAGGTAGGGAAACCTTGCATGGACAAAAAAGGAAGCAGTCCACAAGCCAGTTATTATTAGTCTTAACGTGTCCATCGATTCTTATTTAATTTTACTGGCTTTCTTACCTTACACTTTACTTAACAACTATTCTTCTGCTTCTTTCCTACTTTCCTTTCTGGCCCTTGCATTGGCTTTGTATTTTATTTTATTTTACTTTTCTTAGTGGTGTTTCTGGCTCTGGAAAATCAACAACTCATCGACACATCCTCAACGAACTCTTATTACTCTCTACTCACACACGACGCGAAGACAAAGTACGACAGCAGATCGTGAGTGTCAATACAATCGTGGATGCTTTTACCACCGCAGCCACAACAGACACCACCACAGCCTCCCGAATTGGAAAATTTCAGTCACTTCAATTCAATGAGCGTGGTAGGATCGTCGGCTCGCATCTGGCTGTCTATTTACTCGACAAGTTCCGGGTCACCCGCGCACAGACCGCCGCTAACTACCATGTATTTCATCAGCTGTTGGCTGGCACAAGCATGGATGAAAAGGTAGCCTTTCACATCCACCACACCGCAGATCACTTTGCATATCTCAAGCATGCATTCGGAACCGTTCCAGACTCAGCCCGTGATGAATTCGCGTTTGGGGATCTCAAGGCAGCCCTCAAGACCTGTGGCTTCAAAACCAAAACGGTTGCCCACATGTGCCAACTTTTGGCCGCAATCCTTCACCTAGGAAATGTTCAATTCGTCGATGCCAATAAACACCACTTTGGAGGCGGGACTTCATCGTCCTTTTCATCACAGGAATCATGTAGAGTCAAGAACAAAGATACCCTCTCACTTGTCGCAGCGGCCCTGGGAGTAGCTACAGCAAAACTCGAAAACACATTGACCCACAAACTCAAATTGATCGGCAAGGAGTTCTGTACGGCTTTCCTGACTGTCGAGACCGCAACCGAGCAGCGAGACTCCTTAGCCCGAGCTCTTTACACCGTGCTTGTGCTCTGGATCGTCGACACTCTCAACCAAAAACTGAGTACGCTCACATACACTAGCAACATCAGCATTCTAGATCCTATTGGAATCCGAACAACACATCCTACTGCCTGCTCACTTCACGACCTTTGTTTGACCTTTGCAGCCGAACGAATCCACCATTATCTCTTACAGCGTACGTTTGATCCCACCAGTTTACCAAATCAGTCTCGCCACGATGACGGTCTCGAACTACCGCCTCCACTTCCTGACACATTTTTTGATTCATCTCTTCCCTTGTTCTTGGGAACACACGCAAACAAATACGCACTCGTGCCACTCATGAACCGTGAATCCCAGCGGTTCCAAGCATACGCCCTCGACGCCACAGACTCGCACATGCTCTCGACTCTCTTTCAAAAAAAGAAGGCATCTGCCAACAAGACAGACGAAGAAAACGATTATCGTGCCTTGAAACAGCCCTCGACACCTTCTTACAGTTTTGCCATTCAACATTTCGGAAGTCATGTGGTCGACTACTCAGTGGATGGCTTTCTGGAGAGTAATCTTGACGCTCTCTCGCCAGACTTTATTCATCTGTTTCGGTACAGTTGCACAAACACCTTTGTCCACGACTTGTTTGCAAGTACTGTTTTGGCTACCGAGGTTCATCCCCGGGATGAGAGGACAATCATCAAGGCCCAGCTGCCAACCCAGCCCAAGGACGGCCAATGGCTGGCCCCAAAGGTTGCAAATACTCCGAAAGAAGACATTGCCATGGCAACAGTATTGGACCAAGTTGTATTGAGTACAGAGCGATTGATCGAGGTACTGTCGACCATGCGCCTATTCGAAGTACTCCACATTCGACCAAACGACCAACAGCGACCCGATTTCTTTGATCATGTGGTCGTCCAAGACCAGTTGAGAACCCTCAAGGTTCTTGCATACGGGCAGCACAGTGTCAACTACGACACCTTGTACAATTACAGTTTTACTGACTTTTTGAACCGATATCGTCATTTGATACATGCCCTTCCCTTTGACGAGCGCCAAGAAGAAGACCGAGAAACCGTAGTCCGGCTGATGTCTATGATGCACTGGACTGACCGGCAAGCCCTACTCGGGCACCGCCACATCTGGCTCTCCTTCGACGTCTGGCGTGATCTCGAAAATCACCTAAGAGCGCTCGAGAAAGAAGCCAGAGTGAGAGAAAAGGAACGATTGGCGGCAATTGAAGCCGAGCGCGAGGCGGCTGCCATGGCTGCTGCCGCGGCCGTTGCAGCAGCAGCAGCAGAGGCCGAAGCAGAGGCCGAGGCTGAGGCCAAAGAAGCAGCCGCACTTGCTGCTGCTGCTGCTGCAGCAGAGGCAGTAGCGGCCGCAGAAGCTATGGCTGCTACAGAGAGGTGGTCGAGTGAACAACACAAACACGACAATCCATTTGAGGATGACGCTCGCTCAGATCTTTATTCAGCAAACGATTTTTACGATGACCGGACAGATTCTGAAGAGCATCCTGATGGCGAATACGGCAACAAGGGACCCGAAAGCCAATGGGGAGAAGAAGACGATGGTCGAGGACTAGCTGATGGGTAAGATAATTTTCTTTGAAGAGAGAAAGAGGGGAAGGGAAGGGAAGGGAAGGGAAGGGGAGGGGGGATGTTTGTACACCTACCCACATGCATATGTATACACACACACATATACATACATAACATATTAAGGGACAAGTCTAAAGACTATATTTTTTGGGGGAAATAAGAGAATAAAGAAAGGAAAAGAAAGGAAACTTAATTTGGATGATTATAACCAAGGTATGGACCGAATATGGACATGAGTAAAATGGTGGAAGACTATCGAGTTCAGCCAGAAGAGCAAGTTGAAGAAGTACCAATCACCCGGGTTCGAAGATATTGGTCTCGCTTTGTCTGGATAGCAACCTGGTGGATTCCTTCATGGTCTTTGCGTTGGATAGGTAGAATGCACCGACAGGACGTGCGAATGGCCTGGCGAGAAAAAGTGACACTTTGTCTGCTCATATTTCTTTTGTCTGGAAGCATAATCTTTTTTATTGTTGGACTGGGTGAGGTGATCTGTCAAGGCACAAAAGAGATTTACTCTGCAGAAGATGTGACAAACCACCAGACAATAAATGACTATTGGGTGAGTATACATGGCAAGGTCTTTGACATGACCAAGTTTGTAGCAACCGACCATGGGTCATCCTCATACATGGCTGGTAAAATCAATATGGAACCCTTGGCCGGCCGTGATCTTTCGCACACATTTCCTACACCACTAACCACAGCCTGCGCTGGACTGGTTACGGATGATAGTGTGATCGTGACGCCCAACGAGACAATTGTCCTGGGCGCCTTTGTACACTACTCAAGTGCACAACAGCCTGATAAAAATCTCGAGAAACTTAGGGATCCCAATTGGACAACACGCTATTTTAATCCGATGATGAACCAGTACAAAAAGGGTGATCTTGTCATCCCTATGAAGCAGATCAAGAGCGACTATAGTAGTTGGGGTCGATTGATTGCCGTCATGGACCAAAAAGTGTACGACATCACCGACTACATGGCAACAGCCCACCAATATCCCATCGATAGTCCAGGCGTACCAAACTACCATTATCTTGATTCGTCTCTGGAGATGGTATTCAAAAAATACGGCGGTAGCGACATAACCGAACAGTGGAAAAAAGTCAGTGCTTTCATGAACGATTCTACTCGAGCACAGAACCAGGCCTGCTTAGATAATGCATTTTATATCGGGCGCCTAGACTATCGAGACTCACTCAGGTGCACCTTTGTGAACTATCTTTTACTAAGTTTTGCAGTGGTCATGTCACTCGTCATTCTTGTCAAATTTTTAGCCGCACTGCAATTTGGCGGTGCGCCTACACCTGAAGACCACGACAAATTTGTGATCTGCCAAGTCCCGTGTTACACCGAAGACGAAGAGTCCCTGCGCAAGACCATTGATTCTCTTACTGCAATGACATATGACGATAAACGAAAGTTGATGTTCCTAATTGCAGATGGTATGATTATAGGTGGAGGAAACGACAAACCGACACCCCAGATCTTGTTGGCCATTCTTGGACACACCACAGATGGGCCCGATGTTGAGCCTCTGATGTTCAAGTCTATTGGCGAAGGCAGTAAACAGCTAAACTATGGTAAGGTTTACTCGGGTCTTTATGAGAACGAAGGTCATGTTGTGCCGTATATTGTGGTTGTCAAGGTTGGAAAGGCGACAGAGCGCACAAAGCCCGGTAACAGAGGAAAGCGAGACTCCCAAATTATTTGTATGAACTTTCTGAACAAGGTTCATTTTGATTCTGAAATGACACCACTGGAGCTGGAGATATACTACCACATTAAACAGATTATTGGTGTTGACCCATCGTTGTACGAGTATATTCTTATGGTTGATTCTGACACCGAAGTATATCCAGACGCACTTAACCGAATGATTGCATGCATGCTCCACGACAGCCGGATTATTGGTCTATGCGGGGAGACTGAATTGGGAAATGAGGACAGGTCTTGGACTACAATGATTCAGGTTTACGAGTACTACATCTCCCATCATCTTGTCAAGGCGTTCGAATCCTTATTTGGGTCAGTTACCTGTCTGCCCGGCTGCTTTTGCATGTATCGTATCCGCACTGCTAACAAGAGACAGCCTTTGATTGTTGCTCCTGCTGTAATCCACGGCTATTCGGACAACCAAGTTGATACGCTACACAAAAAGAACCTGTTGCATTTGGGAGAAGATCGTTATCTGACCACTCTCATGATGAAGAATTTTCCGCAGTATAAGATGATGTTTACACCATATGCAAAATGCCGCACGGTTGCTCCTGATGAATGGAGTGTGTTATTATCCCAGCGACGGCGCTGGATTAACTCTACCATTCATAACTTACTCGAGCTTATTCTGCTCCAAGAATTGTGCGGATTTTGCTGTTTCTCCATGCGGTTTGTGGTGATTATTGATCTTATCGGTACCATAACTCTACCTTCAAGTGTCATTTACCTCGCATATCTAATCTACATTGCTACGTCTGGCACCGGGCCAATTCCTGTCATCGCGCTCGGAATGTTGGCGGGAGTGTATGGGCTCCAGGCTCTAATCTTTATTATCAAACGACAGTGGCAGCACATTGGATGGATGGTTATTTATATTGCCGCAATTCCCATCTTCAGCTTCTTTATTCCTCTGTATTCGTTCTGGCACTTTGATGACTTTTCATGGGGAAACACTCGTGTGGTTGTTGGAGACAAGACTAAACAGATTATTGTGACTGACGACGAGAAGTTTGATGAACGTATGATTCCGTTGAAGACCTGGGCGGTTTACGAGCAAGAGCAGTGGGAGAGTAAGTCGACTGTATCTGAGGAGACAAAGGCAACGGTGTGCTCGTATGAGACCCAAGAGACCCAGACCAATACTACAAGGTCTCGCAGAAAATCAGCTTCGTTCTGTCAAGACACGGATTCTATTGTGACCCGAAGTAGTGGATCAGCCAGATCAGGCGTGAGTGCGGAAGACCGGCCGCCATTTTTACCACCACTGATCACAGGCTTATCTGAACAACGCCTGTCAGAGTTTTCTGTCGACCTCTCGGCTGTTCTGCATTCGGCTACTCATGGCAAGGAGCGGAGAGGAGAGGAAGAAGGCGAAGGCAAGACAGTGAGTCTTCCAGAGGATGAAGATATGGAACGTGAGATCCATCGCATTCTTGCTACAGCTAATTTGATGACATTAACCAAAAAACAAGGTAAGGAATGATTTCAAAATGATCTGTAGTCTTGATCTTCTCCTTCACCTTCTCCTCCAAATGCTTAAACGTCTTCTATTCTTTCTAGTACGAGATCAACTCTCAAGCCTGTTTGGAGTGGACTTGACTATTAAAAAAGGATTTATCAACGCAACCATAGAGCGAATATTAGAAAATGACATTTAAATGACACTCTATTCACACCAACTTTTCTATATCTCTTTTTGCAATCTCTCTACTATTGTGATGAAGAGAACATTTCTATACATATTATACAGTCAAATTTTTCCCATCCTTCCTTTTTCTCTTTCTTTAATATTTCTTACTATTTTCATTATATTTTTTTTTATTTAAAAAAAAAAAGAAAACACACACACACACAAAACTTTAATGCTGGATGACGCCAGAAATCGTTACTTGTTTTGGATATAATAATGCATTAAAAAAAAAGTAAAGTAAAGTAAAGAAAGGAAAGGAAAGGAAAAAGACTCTTTCTTTTCTTTACTCTTCTTCTTCCTATTCTTCTTCTTGTTCGTTTCCACATACAAAAATGTCTGCTTCCATTGAACCCACACCCAACTCTGCGCTAGAGACTGATGACTCAAATAATATGTATGGCCCTGTTCACTCGGTGGCCATTCATGGTCAGTCTGTCAGTCCAAATATCCTTGTAGCCCTTCTAAATCGACCTCGCGAAATGCAAGATCTAGCCGTACGGAATTCCTTCTTCTACGAAGCCATCGAGAATTACATACGAGATACCCAGGGAGATTCTTCATGGGATTCTTTCCAGCACATTGTTTATGCCCCTCGAGAAGAAATGTCGGACCGGGTCTGGATGGCAAGTATCACAGACTATCTTGGTCACCATCCTGCCTTTCTCGGAAAATTCAAAGAAAGTGTAGGCTATCAATCATCTTCTTCGGAAGATGAAGACGAGGAAGATGGTGATGATGAAACAGAAGACGACGATGAAGATGATGAAGTAGTTGAGACACGTAAAAGAGCCCCAAAGCTTACCCTTCAACCTTATCCCCGGCGCCACTCTCACAACCACGTGCACTACCACCCAATGCAAAGTGAACCTCATCCAAGCATTACCTCGCCTACATTACGTGAAGAAGAAGAATCGCGTGGGTCAGAAGAAGGTGGTTTGGTGGCTGGACTGGTGGCTCTTAGAGCACATCCTGACATCCAAGTACAGCTTCCAGAACGCTATCCAGCCTTTTTCCAAAGGGCCCGCAGGTGCATGGGCTCATGCATCATGTCAATGGATACTCCCAGATTTCAAACTGCAGATACATCTGAAGACTCATTCGAGCCCTTTATCACCCTGATTTCTACCACTCGCCGCCAGCAGCCAGATGATGGCGCTTGGATGGAGTCTATTTTGGAGATTCTCAAATGTTGGCCAGAATTGATTGACGAGTTATCAGATATCATTGATGACTCTCTACCCCGTCGTCGCCACTAGCCCAACCCACGATATTTGATCTTGACAATAAATAAATATCTTTAAATTATTACATTTGATCCGTCCCTTCTTCTTCCAACCTCTTTATAGTCCTTTTTTCTTTTTGTTCAATATATCAAGAAAGAATGGTCACCAATAGACACATGATCGTTAGTTTGGCGTTGGTTGTAAACTGTCTCAATTACCGGACCGCCATAATTCCCACCATTTTCTGTGTACCCTAACCTCTTGCATAATGTGCTTACATACACAAGAAACAAGATGCATGCAAATCAAATATAGGAAAGAAGTATTCTTTATTATCACATCCCCCAAAGTTCGCTCTATTTTTAATTAAGTGTCATTCCATTGTGCTTCTTCTGTCTAGTCCGCCTGTGCAACTGTGGTTCGATTTTTTGCATAAAGAGTGCTCCCAACTAACAATAAAAATAATAGTAAGATGACTGGTTAGATTGAACATATTCAGAATCATGTGATCCAAACTACATATCTTCTTTTGCTTTCTATATCTTCTAGGCTATATACTCAACAATAATTGGTCTAGGATTCGAAGATAAGAATGTGTTGTCATAGCTGTAGGCGGCTATACTATTATTATTCATGTCTCCAGTGAATTGAATCGTTCCGCCTGCGGATGTGTCTACCCTGTACATTTGTCCATAGCCTTCTGCTGGTCTTAGTTTGATCTAAAGAAGGGCCATAAGCAAATCAATTACTTTGCTATATTTAAATCGATTTTGATAGCCTACTCCAAAAGTGACCATCGCAGTTTGCTCTCCATGAAGATTACAGTCCTTGTTAGTATAATGACAACAGGCACTATCCCCGGGTTGTAAACCTTCAACCGAAAAAGGCCTATTTCAAGTATAAGCGTTCAGAATGTCATGTAAAAAGGAAAGGTGTTGTAATAAAGCTATACTTACTCTGCAAAGGCCCATACCTCGGACTCTTGTTTAACATCCACTAGAGTCCCATCAGTGTAAAAATTGTATATACAAAAACAGTAGGAAAACGGTACAAACGATACGATGGCTATAGCAACAGTAAGATAATAGAACATTCTATAAAGTAACTGTCTGGTATAATCTAATCTTCTGCAAAATGTCTTTTTATATATTCTTTTGACAAAGAAATACAAATAATAATTTTACTGTTCATTCATTCATTCTTTTTTTTTATAGCCTGGACATATGTAGTTAACAAAATGCTATATTTGCACCATATATGTATAAAGCAGTATATCCAGAAATTTGGATCAAGTGATACATTACGGGCAGGTGTTAATAATTGACTCTATTCTTTATTCTTTGGTATTATTATTATTATTATTTTCATCTTAATAGGTTTGTCTTATTGTAATTATATGCAAGGTAATATCAAAATAATAATCTTAGGCCAGTTATAACCACCCTGATTGGCCCAAAGTCTCTATAGAGATATTTGATGTAACTTTTTCATATAATATCTTGGTTCAGCTTCTTTCTTGACCTAGAGGGTAAACCTTGGGTCGAATAGCTATATACAATGTTCTTTAGATTCTGGGTCAGGATAATCAAGTATGTCGCTACTTGTCCTTTTATAAAAAAAACATATCGGGTTATTTTCCTCCTTGTTGATTAATTTAAAGTCTGATACATGTATCAATATGTAATATTAAACCTTTAACAAGTATATGTATATGTGGTATTTTTTCTTAAACAATCATGCTAGAATTGGCTATTATTTCTGAGGCTTTTTGTTTGTGTATATTATATGACACTAGCTAGAGGTATCAATAGCCCTCCTGCTTTCTTGATGATAATACAATACTAATAATAGTTTGCAGGAGATATAATACTACCATAATTCCATGGTTTATTTATTAGGTCTCTGGCCTTCTATTAATACATGTACTTGTAATACCATTTACCAATGAAGATTCCCAATCTAACGCCAAGATAAATATACCCGAGAACATACATACTGAAATCCAAGGTTTATCGAGCCTACAATATAGGACCTTAAAAATTGACATTAAGTATTACCAGATTTTAAACAATAATTTCTATATCGTCTCTCTCTTTGTTCTTGTCAACCAATTCAGTGATTCATTACAAATATTGGTTTATTATATTAATTGGCTTTCTATGGGTCAGAATTGGGATCATATAGCACAACGTCTTGCATTTTGATTCTTGAATTCAATTTTAACTGAACCCAGGTTATTGATGTGAATAATACTAATAGTAAAATTTGATAAAAGCAATATATGTGCCGACCTTTGGATAGACTGTTTTGTTTTATTGAATTATTGTTTTTTTTTTGCGTAAATCTCGGCAAGACGATAAAACAGGTGGTCAATGTACAAAAAGAAATAAATGTGACATTTGATGAAGAAGCTTTGATTAGATTCCGATTCCAATTGGGAAATCTCACTTTGGCCAATATGTCAATTAAAGCACCTAAGGCTAAAAAAAAAGAAGAAGAAAAGAAATAGTAGAAAATATACTATGGATATTTGTATTTTGGTTTCCTTGCTTTTTTCTACGAATGTTTGGCTTTATAATTGAATAAGTTCTCCAATTCGTTTGTTATATTGGTACGCTAAAATTTTGAAGGCACGTTTGGTCCGGAAGTGCCGCATTGGAGTACAAGCTTGGCTAACTTTGGATGAACAGCATGCTTAGTTTGAGCTTTCCAGGGATGACCGCTTCAATCGGAACAATTGTCGATATTGACAGCCATGTGCTTTAGTCGATTGTATATAAATATACTTATTGTTTCTTGTAATAAGCATTAGAGAGCATTGGATACTAATTAATATTTTTTGGCTGACTAGTTAGCAATGTTTAATTGATAATTAATAATAATATATTAAGAAATTTATTAAGAGTTCTATGGTATAGATATTCTGGCCATTCGGGTTTCTAGACAGATATAGCTTTTTTCTTCTTATATATTTATTTTAAAGTGTGTATTACCTTTTGGCTGTAACTTACACCTGTTTCTCTCCAAATACACTGACATGGATGTAGTCTGTACCACGTCACTGAAGATCGTCGTACAACCAGGTGGATCAGTACTATTGTGGATATAAATACAGTAGAACGCTACACAGTGAAACAAGTTTACTAGCAATACTGAGCTAATCATAAATAAATACACGAGAATTACCGAGGAACTACATGAAAATAAGTCCAAAAAGCCAACATTATAAAGTGGCTTAAAAGGCAGTATGGCTTGTAAGGATATTTTGCCATACAAAGTTGCCCATCTTCATACTTTCGGATAATCAAATCATACAACCTCCGTTTAACTTCTTCTGTTCCTGGTTGAATGTAAAAGAGAGAGAAAAGATCTACAGCAGGCTATGAAGAATCGATATGCTCTTGGTAACACTTATCGCTGTCGGTGTATAGTTCAGCGTTGGATTAATGTCGCACGGACAGATAGAAACGTCGTAACCTTCGATTCAAGATATTTACATCAAATGTCTTTAATTAAACCCTATGAATAAACTACTTATATTCGCCACTAATCTCTAACAAGACATCTCTCTTTTCGCTATCGCTTTATATTCACAGGACTGCCTAGGTTCATTGGCTTCTTGCTCTCTTCCCACCATGGCTATATTTCAAGCGCGGTCCTTGAAGCGAGACCGAATAATCCGCAAACTGTGCATTATCATTGTTCTTTCTGTTACTCTTTATATATTTTTAACCAAAATATCATGGATCACAAACGGCAAGGAGACTAATTTAGATACTCCACAAAAAGACGACGGAATTTTTCCCGATTTTCACCACGCAAATAACCACCAATATCATGGAAAACCTCCATCTGGAAAGCATGGTTCTTCTGATATTGACGTTGCCTTGCCAAAGAATGCAATCCTTGAAGCCTTGCGTAAATCTCAGCTCTCGGATAAATCAGAGTTGCAAAAGCTAGGAAGTAACAATCCAGTTATGTTAGAGCAGCTCAACCAGAACAGCGGCAAAAACAAGGACACAAGATCCGGTCAGAACACACTCAACAATCAAGAAACTCCACAATTCGATAACCCACCAAAAACAATGACTCTTGGAGAAAGCAGCGTTTATTCTATGTCATCAGACGATGAATATCTACCCTCGACAGACCCTAAAGACCCCAATGAAAAATTCATTTCCTATCTTCCTCACTCGGGTTTCCACAACCAACGCACTGCCCTTGTCAATGCACTGTTTGTTGCGAAGAATTTGGGCCGAACACTGTTAGTCCCACCTGTTGTTCTTGGAGACTCTGTTGGCTGGAAGGAATTTGATGAGTTGCTGGCCACTTACCAAAACACAGACAAATCCGAGCTTAGTGAGTGCAAAGAACACCTGCAAACCTATTATAGCGGAGAGCAGGAACGTGAAAATCTGCCGGATAAATGTCAGGCTTCATACAAGTACACCTCACTGCGATGGGATCGGATGTTCAACATGACCAGAATCAAGCAAACGATCGCTGTACGTTACCGAGACGATTACAAGGATAGCACTCTTGAGAATGCCTTTGGGATTAGCTCCAGTGACACATATTTTGTTAAAGATAGTGTCTTGTACGACTATAGTATAACTGACAAGCCAGACTGGCCACTTCCTCAAAAGTACCAACGAACAATATATCTTGGCGATCTTGGCAGTCGACGCGAGCGTCTTATCAGTTTTGGCTCGATGTTTGGCAGCGGACGGGTCCAGGTGTCTAATCCCGAGAGTATTTCACTGCAGCAGTTCTTGGCAAACCAGTTCATCCTCTCACGAGAAACACTCCCTGAGTTGTTTCAAGAGGCAGACGCGATCATTAGACAGCTAGGGGGTCCAAAGACCTACATGTCTATTCATGCTCGCGTGGGGGAAAGTATATTTGAGCACATGTCTTCGCAGACCATGACAAAATTGTGGAAAGATTTGCAGAAATATGCACCATTTGTGCAGAGTCGTGCACCTCGAGATGAACCCATTATTCCAGGCACAAGTTTTTTGGACCGCACTACTTGTTTTGCTCCGCCTACCGATCCCTCCGCTATGGCTGTTGATTGGTCGACAAGACAGGTTGCTTCTGGCCGTCCTCTGGTGTTCTTTATGGCTACTGATGCAACAGATCCTCGTCACCACCCTCTCTTCCAGTCTATCTACAATGGGTTTACGTGTGTGGTGACATTAGCAGATGTTTTTGATTACCGTACATCTTCATTGCATAATTTGGTAAATCCATTCGATGGACTGCGTTATGGCAGGTTCCTTGTACCTCTCCTGGATGGTCTGGTAGCCAGTCGCGCACAAGAATTCACGGGTTCATCCTGGAGTACTTTTGGATTCTACATTCGTTTCTTACACGACACATTCATTCTTTCACAAGTCTCTTAATTACTTCTTCTTTTTCTTTAATACTTTTTTTTTAAAATAGTTCTTCTTTATTTGTTTTTCATTCTTTTTCTTTTGTTATTTTATTGCTGTAAATTACATTTCTATTATAAATGGTCTTGATATACATAGACCACCTTGTCATTCTCTTCTTTTACATTTTCACGTTTTTTTTTTCTTTTAATCTAAAAATAATTTATTTATCTGTAAATTGGCTTGATAATTCGTTTTTTCTTATTTTGCATCTTCTTGAGCAAGGGACTTGTAGTATTAAAGCCATTGTCTTGCCTAAATGACTGACTAGCTGACTGTGATTATCAAGACTATATTGAATTAGAGTCAATCTTGGCAGTTTGATGCCAAATTGCAAGTATATGAAATAATACAGAATATTTCAGTGCAACCATCTCGCAACATATCGGCCTGAGTGACCCTCCCTATTTGATTATATTTTAAATATACATTTTGTATTTTATAAAGTAAAGTAGAAATAGAGTAAATATACACCCCCATTTACCTCTCTCTCTCTCTCTTTTGGGATCAAGTATAATTCTTTTGGATGAGCTCAAGGTTAGGGCTTAATGAGGGAGGGAGGGGGGTGGTTTTGTGCAAAAGCGGGGTATTGATTGATCCTCTACCCTTTGAACCCCCATATACTAATAATAATAATAATAATAATAATAAAGGTATCTTTTTAAGAGTTTACTATTGATTTCCAGTTTATCGTCTTTGGCACGGACGGTGGTAAATATAAAGTGAGGGGGTTGAAGTGAGGGGAGGATGGAACCTAAAAAGAAAGAAAGAGAAAGGAAACATAGTACATCATTTGTACAACTTTGTAAATTTAATACTTTTTTTTGGTTTTCTTTTGGTTGTTGATCTTCAAGCTCAGTGTATACAGCACTCGAAACACTTTTTGACAATAAGAGTTCCCCCCCAGTTTGCGTAACCATTCGATCCATTTATGTACACTTTGAAGTGATCATGGCGTGCCATACTAAACAGCACCCGAGGTCTATCATGAGGTTAGAATGGAATGGAATGAAATTCAGTAGCACTTTTATGTACATCTTTGTGTGTGAGATAGAAAGAGTGATTTGTAAACCAAAGTTAATGAATTGAAGAAGTACTTGGATGTAAGGGAGAATAATTGTTAATGATCATATATGTATAGATACATAATCATATAATCTGCAACTGAACTTCCTCATCTAGTTGAGCCTCACCCCCCCCAAACACCCACACACTCCCCCCTCTTTCTATTTTGCTGCAGACAAAAATGTAGTAGTCTTGTTTCGTACTGTCCTTAACAAGTAGTCCTTCTCTCTCTCTCTTTCTTTCTTTCTTTCTTTCTTTATTTCTCTCTCACTTTTTTTTTTTCGGCACTAACTTTTGTACTGATTCTCGGTCATTCTCCAAGAAATCTATACTCATTCGAAATGGGGAATTCCAGCAGTAATCCAGACTTGAATGGCAATCAAGGTAGCCTTTTATATTCAATTTAATGTCATGGTTTCTTATCGAATCTTGCTTTTATTTTTATTTTTTATTATTTTATTAATATTGTCGTTATTCCCGCAGTAAATCTTGCTCAATTCGAATCAATAAGAATGATCGGAAAAGGCTCTTTTGGCAAAGTAATATTTAAAAGCCCTATATCTACAATATACACACACACAGAGAGAACTGACTTTATTAACCTCAGGTCCGAATGGTCCGTCATGTCGAACGCAGAGACGAATGCTATGCTATGAAATGTATATCTAAAGAACACTGTATCAAACTCAATGCTGTCCGAAACATTATTCGAGAACGAACTATTCTGGAGCAGTTAGCGCACCCTCTTGTGTGTAACATGCGATTTGCGTTCCATGACGCGAGTACGATGTATATGGTTATGGATTTGATGTAAGTATTACTGTTTACCTTCACACGATACTCGCACAATACTGACACCATTTTTAAAAGGCTTGGTGGAGATATGCGCTTTCATATATCGCGACAGCGACATCCTGAGAATGTGATTCGATTTTGGATGGCTGAACTCATATGTGCTGTCAAGTACTTGCATTTTCAGGGCTTTGTGCACAGGTGAGCAACAATAACAATAAAGTCTCAAGGGGATTTTGGCAATGCTAAATAGCAAAAAAAAAAACAAAAAACAAAAAACAAAAAAAAGGGGGGGAGTCAACTGTTCACTGACAGCTTCAAAGGGATATCAAACCAGACAACATACTTTTGGATCAAGAAGGCCACATACATTTGACCGACTTTAATATTGCCTGCTCAATCCCAAGGAAGCCTCAATCACTTCTTCGTTCACGGTCTGGGACAATAGTTTATTTTGGTAAGTTTTGAAATGTGAATTAGGCAGTCATGTGTATCTATATATGTACCTATGTACCCATGTACCTATGTATCTATGTATCTATGTTTGTATGTATGTATGTATTTATTTATTTAGTTTTTTTGTTATGCATTAGCTCCCGAAGTATTCAAGGGGCACGGCTACAACGAAGACGTAGACTGGTGGAGTGTGGGGATCACTTTTTACGAGTGCATTTATGGAAAGGTAAGGTGCCGTTTAAATACTACCTCGGTCCCATTTATATATCAATATGACATCTTAATAGAGACCATGGCCAGGCAATGAAACTGCTGAAGAACTTGCCCAGACCGTACTTAGGGGCACAATTTGCTATCCCAGCACCGAAGGGCGATCTGTGTCACCAAGCTGTGTATCTGCCATTCAAGGCGTAGGTTTTTCATTTTTTTCTGTTTGTTTGTTTGTTTGTTTGATTTCATAAATCGCAATTGTATATCTATATACTGATATTTATATTATAATTTATTTTAGTTCTTGGAATACGAACCTAACAATAGACTTGGACACGGTACTTCTGGCTGGAATCGGTTGGTTCAACACCCTTTCTTCCACTCTGTCAATTGGAATGCCATTGACACCAAACAGACCACACCCCCATTTCGCCCTTCGTCTTCGCAGGGCAATTTTGATGCCATATATGATATCGAAGATCTCTTGGTGCATTCTTCTGGTTCGATATCACCGCGTGCGGCTAATTGGTTCTTCCGGTCAAGTCAACCCTCTGAGTTGGATGAACGGCGAGTGCGGCTACTCAAGGAAATTGACGAAAAATTCAAGCCGTTTGACTACACCATCTATGACAAATATGAAGGCTTCCTAGATCCTAATCTTATGACAGTTGGCCCTCCACCAACATGGGTAAAACCCGCATTTGGAGAAGATATGACGGAGATAGGAAGATTATCTATGCCACTAGACCTTTCCCAAACCTCGGATAGCGTATTCTTTCTTCAGAATCCTCTATCTCAACCATGTCGAAATATCCTAATTGACGTACATCAAGAAGTCAAGGGTAACAATAGATCTGACGACTGTTTTCGAAAATCAAGTCGGACCGACAGTGGATGTACATTCTCATCTAGTATGGAAGAACTGAAAAACAAGCGTCGAACAAGCGCCCAGAGCTTCAAAGAAAGACGGGAACGTGATAGAAGGCGAAGTGCGGGAAAGATCCGCCAGGAAAGCAACGGGGCACTCATAGCAACGACAGATTGATTTCTCAAGCTTATTTAAATTCATGTATAATTTGCATATATATTTTTCTTTTATTCATTCATTCGACTCCATATTGTCAAAACTTCATAATTTACTAGCATTCTATCTATTCCACATTTTGTATATCTTTTTTGTTTTTTTTTGTATTGATTTAATCCACTTTTTCTATTTATTTATTATACATGCATATTACATATAATTTATTTATTTATTTTTTTTATTTTTTCTCACACGCAACACGCATATGCACACACGCACAAAAAGGCTTAGAAAGTTCATTTATAGCTTAGCTCTGGTGAGATAATAACGGTCTAGCATTGTAATTACAGCCTGTGATATGCTTTCTACCAAAGCTTGACGGCCAGTAGGAGAAAAACGAGCTTTTTGAGGCATCTCGATCTGAATTGCATCAAGACCAATTCGTTGGTTTTTACTGCGATGTCTTTCTACAGTATACCCTCCATGAAAATATAAAGCATCTGAAACAGGCAAAGGATTTTTGGGTGAAGGAACGACTCCCAAAGAATCTATCTGAGCTTGTTGCAATGCTTCCCCAAACGAATGGTTACCGAATAGTAAGTCTGAGGGATGAATGCGACTCTTGTGTCTTTGAGCAAGGGATTGAATTGATGACTGATTAAGTACACGCTCATCAAGTCCTTTGGCCTCATGTATATCTGCTGTGTTTAGCAAATATCCCAATTCAATCATACCATGTGTGTGCGTATGCCCTTTTATAAATGAAAACAAAAAGATAATAAAAAGAAAAGGAATTAAAAGGAAAACAAAACAGAAAAAAAAGGAGATATTGTTTTTTTTTTATTTTACCATGAAGGTCGATTAGTAGCCCATGTGGATATTCCTTCAATAGATTATTGGCAGCTGCCTCTATAGTACCATGGTATTCCTAATAAGACCATTGATCAGTACAACTTTGGTCTCAAATAGTTTAATGAGATTTATTTCTTTTCTAACCTTCCACAAAAGTCTTCCTTTATCGGACTCGACCCCTTGATCTTCGCATCGGTTGACATCTACCTTTCTTCGTCGAACCTGAAAGATAAGATGTGGTCGAGAATTGTAATGAGCAGTGATCCGATCTGCAATGTCCAATGCAATGTTTTTTGTAAAGGCATCGGCTAGTAATAAACTGCCTTTTGCTGTACGATCAGGAATGTCACTAGGCTCCCACAAACCTCCGTGTGGAACTGTAATAATAAGAGGAAGTTTTCCCGGAGAATATGCTATCGGGCTGTCTTTTGTGAATGGAATTTGAAGCGATGTTGCCATGGTACCCAACACCATAGTACCCAACACCAACCAAAAGATGAGCATGGAGAAGGCGGGGCGTAGGCGGTCATTCAATTGGCCTTAAAGGCTTGAGCTGCGTATCAGATGATCAGGAGAACACGCAGTTTTCAAGTGCCAAAAGCAGAGATGACCCAAGCGAAATATAGAGACAGAGCAAGAAGAGCCGATAACGTTCATGTGAGATGAGAGTGCGTCATCAAAGAGACAAGAAACTCTTTCCTCTCCAACTTGCAAAAAAAAGGGGAAAAAAGAAAAAGAAAAAGAAAAAAGCCAAAAAGGCTGCTTCTCTTACTTTTCACCTAACTCCCTTTTCTAACCAGCTCGAGTACAACTCCTTTTCTATTGTCTTTGACCACAATGCATCCTGCCTTAATTTTTGGCCTTGTTGTGTGTGGAACGATTGTGATTTATGAAGGTGTTAAGTTGACGAATCATCTTTACGAAAGATATTCAGAGCAAAGCGATTACTACGAGCACGTTAGAACCTTCAATGAAAAAAGAAGAAGCGGCAGACCTCATTCGCCACCTTATGATGACAATGATGATGACGAGGACGATGAAGTACTTCAATCTGCCTGGAATAGGGCTTACAGTGGTCTCAGATTGAGACGTTCTGCACACAGCGATTCAAGACTGTCAGAGGTAAAAGAAAGAAGAAGAGTAGTAGACTTTTTTATATATATATTTTATATACATTCGTTGACAGCCATATCTTGCAGGATGGCCACTCTGACTATGAACTATCGGAGATTGAAAGAAGCATTCTTGATCGAAAGAAGGCATTGCAAAGAGAGCAGGCACTCTTGGATGATGCAGAGCAAGAGCTTCACAGACGCAAGCAGTCACTGAGCTCAAGAGGAAACAGCCTTCTCGGATTGGATACCACCCACTGTGATAATGAAATTACGCACAACCCCTTTGGTGATGATTTCGGGCGTCTTACCGACAACACATCAAGCCAAAGCACCCTGTCTCCCTTTGCTGACCCTCCTTTTATTCTCCCACCCCTTGACACTGTCTCTACGGACCCATTAAACGTCTCTATTTCCAGCACTCCCGAATCTCCCAGACAGCAGTCCACTATATCCTCAATTCCTATCGATCGAGAAGAGCTTTGGGCAGCCGATAGTGACGATAACCAAGAAATGGAGTTTCCGCTCGTACTTGGTCAAGGTGTATCTGACTCTGAAGAAAGTTGGTCAGAGGTCGGAAGAGAATTGGGTATGACAACTCGACGACAGAGTCAAGGCTCAATTGGAAGCCATGATTCGAATTCATCGGGTTCATTGGGTTCGCAAACCCAGCATTCGGAAGATGGAAACATGTCGTTTGACATGATGAGTGTATCAGACAATGGGCTCTAGAGCCTTCAATTCTTATGATTTTCTTGGCATTTTTTTTGTTAAAATAAATTGTAAACACAAGCTTTTTTTTCTCACTCTCATTCTTATATTACAAAAAAGCAACAAAATACTGCGAGACACACTATCATAAATTATTTATATATTCTATTTCGTACCTAACACAATTGGTGTTGGCTCCTTTATGACTACAAATATGGTATAGACTCTCCAAGTTGCGCATTGTGAATCAAATGAATATCAATGAATTCTCGTCTGAACAAATCTTTGGGATTAATAAGCTCAGACAGTATATATATATAACAAAGACAAAGATATTACGAAAGGAGATAATATCCCAGAAGAAGTCCCTTCAAATATTTTGACTAGACTTTGAAAAAAAAAGTTTCAAGTCGAATACTAATAAATTCATCAAAGACATCCTCTGGTTTGATAGTAGAAAGTGTAGATTTGGTAGTAGAGAAATTCAAGATCTCTGATGTGATCGAGATAGCATCAACGCCGAACAAAGATTACGTATCCTAATTCTTTATAGTTCGGGAAGCAAACAAGTACAAACCCATTCTAGGCTACAAGAGGATCAACCAATTTATCTAAGTGGTATGACTTTGAGATAAAAAGTGAAGAAAATCATCCTACTAGCCCCGAATTGGCCAGTCTAATTTGGGTGGCCGATACTTCCACGGATGGGCATCACTCCACCAATGCTCTTTCCCATAAATCAGGCATGGACTCTAAGCGCATGGTTGCTATCTACAATAAGCAGGAGACAGGGAGATTAGGCAAAGACATGACCAATTCATTTTCTCGGTCTACCAAAAGTAAAACTTTGGAAATATATGGTAGTAAATGGAAGGGATAGGAAGAGCAGTGTAAACAAAAAAAATCATTCACAAGCTTGTCTACCATGCTAGCTATAAGACAAAAGTCTAGCTGTAGCTGACTCCTTTCTTAGAGATTTCTTTATACTGGTCAGGTCAATACAATTTATTAAGGTACTGAATTAGCTGCTTATGGTTATCCAATAAAGTCGTTTAATTAACAGATGGCAAAACACTCTTCTTTATCAAATACTTGAGCTAATATGCTCTTGAAAATTGATCATCTCTAGTAGGTCATTTTCGTACCAATGATATACTCCCCCCATAGAGAGGATAATAGGATTTATTGATGACATGAGTGATTTAGTTGTAAGAAAGGGCTATGCAAAAGGAAAGGAAATAAGGTGCGGTCAAAAGAATGGTATATTTACTGGAAAATGACGATGTTTCATCATGATGGAAATGTGTGCCTTATCTTCTCAAAGGGAAATCGTATTACTACAGATAATGCACCCATCTATAAATAAGATAACATTAGAAGATTCATCGAAAAGCATGAGTATATAGGCGTATAACTTCTGTCGTATTCTCCTGACATAAACCCAATCGACCAATTTTGGTCAATTGTAAAGATTAAATCAAAACGAGAAAAGCACTTGTAAATTGAGACTTAATATTATAGAGTTACTAAATCACACCAAAGTATCCTCATAAGCTACTTGAAATGATACTGTCTCTATTCAGCTTCGAAGTTTGAAACTCGTTTTAACAAAGAACCTCTACAGTAAGTTTTGCACATATTTGGGGTGGACAGACTGAAAAGTTAAAAAAATAAGTTTAGCATTTTTTTTAAAAACGACTCTGCCCGGCTAGTCTTCTTCCATTGCCAATTAGATTAAAAATAAGCCTTTTTGGCTGAGGAGATTTGCCATATGATGAGAGACCTAGAAAAGTATTCAATAAGAGATTCTCACATAATGGAAGAGATAATATTATGAGCACTTGATTTTATCTAATATGCATTTGAACTAATTTTGAACTTTTCAGTCTGTCCACACTAATTACCCCTTCATATTTAGGGGAAAGGTTACTTTTTTTTTCAATGATTCTTCAGCTCTCATTGGGTCGCTTAAATGCCACAGTGCACAAGACCTGGAAAAACCTGCAATAAAATATTTTCCCTTTTACACTAATTGTGTAAAAAAAACCGAAAAAATAAAATATAAATCAAATAATTGATGAAAATAGTACTTACTTTAGCTTGTTTTTTTTTTTTTTGTATATCTATTCTTTATTAAAAGTCGATAATCTTTGGCTTTGTCAGCAATGAATAGATCGTTAAAACGGGCACTGAGATTTATATAACCGGTTGAGCCGATTAAACTAACGGAATCTAGAGATTTCTGAAGATTATGGCAAATAAACACAGCAAGGTGCTAACAAAATACTATATTCGCTTACAGTCAATAGAATTACAGACAATACCAGTCGAATTACAAAGTTTAAATTTGATGTTAGAGTATGTTTCTTTAATAATTAAAGTAATTTCAATAATGAGCATATTTCGATTCAAAAATCAACGAAGACTAGCTTGAATATTGCAGTTGTTATAATGTTATATGTTTATTCTAGAAAGATTAAAATGTTCTACTGTATATAGTGTATTATATAATATGATTATTGAAGTATATATATTTGGGCTGAATGCTTATAAATCAACTTTTTTTCAACAATAACGACACATTTCGCATTATGAAGCTCATTTTTCTTTTCTTGATTATGTGAAATAAGAATCCGAGTCCATAAATTGGCTTTTGTACTTACCCAAAAAAAATAAATAAATTATATATCGATAGATTTGTATCAGTACTGCATCGAAATATGTTAATTCTGATGAATTTTTTTTTTCCAATTTTTTTTTTACTTTCAACAGCTGTGAAACTCCTTCAGTGTTTTGTATTTGACTTGGTTTTCCGCTTATAAACTTCTCAAATAAATATAGAGCAAATCGCTACTTCATTTGGGATATTCAAATCCAAGGGTCCCTTTTATATATATATATATATATATATATTAATAATCCCAGTGTCTCACATCGTATTTATCAGTATGAACATGTTTTACTTGCGTATATATTTTCTAGACAGAGGTTACCAACTAAGAATAACAGTACCAGGACACGCATGAAGGATCTGCATGCATATAGTCAGTGCTTTGAATTCTTGTTCACCTGCGTACATAATTAATTGGTACTATAATCATCTTTCTTAATTCTTTATTATAATAATACCATCTGTGGATTAAATATGATCGTACAACATTTGAAAATAAAAAATAAAATTTGAATCGATTTTTATATGTATATTTTTATATTTATTCTTTGAAAATTAAACAGGTCCTATATACATATATTATTAATATTAATATTACCGTCTTATAATGTTTCAAAAATAAAAGACCCTATTGACTTTAACTATTTTACTACTGATCTCAATAACCCTTCCTCCTTCCCCTCCCAAAAGGCATATGTAGTCCAAATCCAATTATCATAATCAGAACAGATCTTTTGTCTTTTATTGTATATATATATATATTTTTAAGAAAAAAAAAACTAAATTATAATAAAACCATGAGGGGTATGTACCTTCTAATTGGGTGCAACATATAGTGTTGATGTTTTTTTTTTTAATATTCAATTTAACGGACCTTGACATTTACACTCATGTTTATAATGCAAAGAAGTGTTTTTTCTTTAAAAAAAGAAAAAAAAGGCACGGCTCAAATGAATATTATTATGAAAGAAACTTCAGAACCTTATTTATTAAAATATATAGTATAATCTTTTAATCGTCATTGAGCTACATAGGCAATCATCTGGCAAGATTTGACAGCTTTAATTTTTTTTTAATATATATATGTATAACCCTCTTTTAGCGGAGTCTGTATAGGTAATGTCGCTGTTTCACAGGAGTCCAAAGCTATTGCACGTTTTTTTTTTATACTGTTCACCAAGGAGTATATAGGAAGAATTGGTTTTTAGACCTTGTCTTGCTTCGGTTTATGGTTCGATGCGGACTTGCCTTGCTGTTCCTAATATAATCTAAAGAACTTACTGGACTGCATAACTGTGGAATAATTATTTCCAGGTGCCGATTTCTTGCAATATTGACGTTTTCTCTCCGATGAAAAGTATATATAAAAGGCTTGTTATTTTTTGTAAATATTATCCTTTATCAATTTCATTTCATTTCATTTCATTTAATTTTCAATAATGGGATACACTATCAAGGCCATCGCTTCCACTGAGAACCCCGAGGAATATGTTGAAACTACCTATGAAGCTCCTTCTCTCGGAGAGGCCGATGTCTACATCAAGATGAAGGCCTGTGGTGTATGCCACACTGATTATATCTTCCAGAGCATGGTTCCTCCCGGAACTGTCCTTGGTCACGAACCCATCGGTGTTATTGAAGAGCTCGGCTCCAAGGTTACCAAATTCGAGAAGGGCGATCTTGTTGGGTAAGTTAGGGATTCCTAATGATTACATTTATCCGTCAATCTAATCAATCCAAATACACACATCTATATAATTACATTAGATTCTCTTTCCTCAAGAACTGCTGTCTCGACTGCCCCGAGTGCAATTCTGGTGATGACTACTTGTGCCGTAAGCGTGTGATGTTCCCTGAGGGTGGAAACAACGGCTTTGCTGAAGCTGCTGTTGTTAACTCTCGGTAAGTACAATAATAAAGGTGTACATGATTCATATATTAATCACCATATCAGATTTGTTTACAAGATCCCTAAGGGTCTCGAGGCAAAGGATGCCGCACCCTTGATGTGCGCTGGTGTCACTGTTTTCTCGGCCCTGATCCAATCTGGCGTAACCCCTACCGGTCGTATCGGTGTGGTAGGCATTGGTGGTCTCGGCCACCTTGCTCTCCAATTCTCTCGTGCATGGGGCTGCCATGTAACTGCCATTTCCACCAGTCCTGTAAGTCTAATTTTTTTCAATTAAATAATAATAATAATAATATATATTTATATTTATATTATACAACATTCAATTAAACATTTTCCCCGATTATAGTCCAAGAAGGAAGAGGCTCTTGGTTTCGGTGCCCATGACTACATTAGCTCTAGAGACTTTGGAGAGGACTTTGTTATCGCTGACGAGGACAAGTACGATGTTATTCTTAACACCGTCAGCGCCAAACTTAACTGGGATGAGTACCTCACCCTCCTTAAGCCGTAAGTGCAACATATATAGCTATACAATCATTACTGGTATATCTTGGAGATATGTACTCATTCATAAACTCTTTATTATTTCTTAGTGCTGGAAAATTCATGATGATCGGTATTCCCGATGGATCTATCGAGGTCAAGGATGTTGTTGGTATGATTATGGATCGTCGTGCCGTAGTCGGTACCATCCTCGGTGGTCGCTCCATGGTCACCTCAATGCTCGAGTTTGCCACTAGACATAACATCAAGCCTGCTGTTGAAGAATATCCCTTTGTAAGTTTCAAAGCATTGTACAATAGATAGAGGTTTTATGTGTAATTAAAAAATTCTAAACATCCTGTTTGTTTATAGACCGCCACTGGACTTGCTGATGCCATTATTAGCTGCCACACTAACAAGGCCAGATACAGAGGTGTCCTTGTTGCTGAGGACCAATAGATAACTCCTCTTGTTTAAATTTGTAAAACTGTCCTTGATTTTATTTCATACTTTTTCCCTTGCATATACATTTTACATCCACCATTGAATAAAGCGACATACTTTTTTTTTTATATTTATATCTTTATACATTTATAAGCAGCCATATAATTTATTTATTTTTATGTATAACGTGTGCGAACCAAGTTGTATGTTGAGTATCTGTAAACAAGAGAGAGAGAGAGAGAAAGCCTTATCCTTATCATTATCCTTATCACCGCCATCGTCATCGTCATCGTCATCGGCGTCGGCATCCTCCTTATCAATAACAATATCACTCAAAGCAACCCTCGACGTCTATCTCTTTTCCCTTTGTATTGCTCTTCAATTTAAACATCTCAATTAACTGTTCTCCTACACTTGTCTCCAGCTCTGTGCCGTCCACCGATTCCTTCACTAACGTCATATTCCATGGATTAAAAAAATCCGGAGACTTTCTGAACGGGATACGGCATCTAAATTATCGAACGACACTTTGATAAATAAGAACTATCTTTTTTTTATATATATATTATTCTACGGATAAAGGCGGATCTAGGCAACTATCATACCTTACTATCCATTCCAATGCAAACACAAAGTTCCATGGTCTTGGGTGTCTTATCTGGCCTAGAGGTTCAATGGGTCCTTTTGACTGAACTTCATCAGGAGCTTCTTTTGATTTTGATTTAAGCTGTGCTTTTTGTTTGTTCTTTCCAGATCGTTTGCGCTTTTTATATTCATTTTTGAAGGGTGTATTGACCAGTCCATACTGTCTTCCATACTTCCGGCACTCTAAAATGTCAATTACAGGGCTAATCATTCTAAACAGTGCAATAAGTAAAGTAAATATACATATAGATTATATATATATATATATATATCTTTGGATAATCATTCATCGCTTACTGCGCACAGCCACAGTACTCGCCACTTCCTGTGATACTAAAGATCAAATAAACTTTTGGCGTGTTCTATTCAAAAATTTAAATAAATGGAAACTGATACATAAAAATAAAATAAAAGAAAGAATAAAATGAGTTTAGGTAACTTGCCTCAAAGACAATATTCAAATGTTCCATTTTTGGACGGGACACAGACCAATAGCCAGTTTGAAAGCTAAACTTCAAATCCTGTGGTGCCCATGGTTTCAATATAAAATACCGAGCATATGGTGTGTACCAAGGTACACTGGGTACGTAAAAATATGGATTGATATTTGGATAGGGGATCAATGTAGCTGTAGGCGAGTATTCAGTATAATACTCGTTTTCTTGTCCAGAACGGTAGCAATATGAAAATTCAGTGTAACCTATTGATGTCATTGGCGTTTGATATAATTCTGCCACATCATTGTTCATGTCACAAAGTAATGGAGGGTAAACGAAAGGTAGACTTTGGTGATCCGTTGGTGATTCCAGCTGTGTATATTTGGTTGCACCTTTTTGTTTAGTGGATATTTGATATTTACATCTTTAAATGCTTACCCCTATAGGATAGCATTGCAGAATAACGCCATGAAATACTAAGCATATATGTATACATATATGTGTGTGTGTATATTTATATTTATATTTATATGTGTGTGAATAGAAAAATAACAGCAAACAAATAGCCTCAAACTATACATTTCTAATTTACCAGTATTGTCAAACCGCTGAATATTTATAAACAGTGCCTCGTCGCTGCCGTAAGTTACATGGGCAAAATGTTCAATACGTCGATATTTTATGTGCTAGATTACAAAATACATATACACGTTCTATTAGCACAGATCCTACAAAATCTGGTTAGTAACACTTGCCAGTACATCGGGACTATAGAGTAATCTTTGTAGATCTTTAAAAGACACAGTCTTGGGTAGGAACCCGATCCACATGATTGCTGAATTATAGTCATTGATTGGAGAGAACGATTCAACCTCCTCAGCAGCACAGTCTTGGTCCTTATTGTCTACTGTAAAAGGCTCTGTAGAGGAAGATATACGAGAGCCAGGCTGTGATTGAACTTGGCTAGATGTGGTTTTTAAAAAGATGTTAAAGGCAACATTCTTCCAGTCTAGACATCCTTTTGGATTGGTTCGATCATGAGTATTGTCAATCACAACATTTGACTGCTGATCAATCGTCTTGATTTCCGTTGTCGTTGAGGTAGTATTGTCACTTGACAATGTACTTTGTGCACACCATGTGTCTGGTCTGTAGATGAATATACTCTCAGAGGGAGATGAAGTCTCAGACAGATTATAGTTATCTATGTGAACAGAAGTTGGACTAGAGATGGCAAGTTCTTGCATATCGTGTTCAATGGTAGACAAATGCATGTCCTGTACCACCGAACTAAGGTTGGGAGAGAATCGTGCGCCGTCGATTGTAGTATCTTCTGATACTATGTTTTGAGCGCTTTCTAGGCTAATGACACTCGAATGGCTACTGATATTAGACGCATCTAATGCTTCATCTACTGAGGTATTATGGGACAAGTCACTACGGATCACCATGTCCCACTCCAGGTGGTTTGGATCTTCTTGACTCATGGAAGTTGATTGTAAAGGAATATTTAGTGACATGAATTTTCTTTGTTTTTTTTTGTTTTTTGTTTTGTTTTGTTTTGTTTTGCTTATATCAACTAAGGGAGGGCAAACTAAAATAAGGGTGTAATAAATCATCAGGTAGAGATGTATAATTAATATCTACGCGTCGTTGACCTAAGCAAGTTCCTTTTCGGCTGGGCAATCAAGAGAGATAGCGAGAGATTCTTTCACAAGATCTAGAAATCGAATTTCATGAACAACCATATCACTTACATGGGCCAGGTTTTACAGTGTACTCTAAAAAGATAAAAGAAGAGAAAGTTATTAAAGTTAATACAAGTGGAGTATTTAAGCTCATACTATCAATCAAAAGAGGTGACGCTTCACCTGCGCTGTGTACCAGAAAGGCACGTGGGTATGCCATTGACACCCTCCACCCTATATCTCTTTCTTTTTTCCTCCATTCATTCATCAGCCGACCTTGCTCTTCTTAATCAAATAAGCACTTTCTGTTTTCAGCATTACGCATTCATTTTGTGATTTGATGCCAGAGATCTGTATTCAGCCACGCGATGTCTATGAGCATCATATCAACATCAGCAATAATGGTACATGTCTTCACTGGGAATTTTCTACAAAGAAGAAGAACATAGCTTTTGGCTTGATTTACTATCCCCACCCTTCCTCTTCTCCAAATATCTCTCAAAGGGAGGAAAACGAGGAGGATGATGAGAAGGATAATTCTAGGTCCGCTCTAGCCCTACCAGACCATCTTCACATAAGAATACCCAAAGATATTCATGAAATATCCTATCGAAATTCGCTTCCAGTAGCAGATAAACAATCTGTTACCATATTACCCCTCAGCCATGTAAATTCCTCGGCACAGACAATCACTGGAAGCCACACAGTCACTGAGCCAGGCGACTATGTGCTTATATTTGGTACTTGTATTGTGAGAACATTGGAGAAAAGACTGATAATTGAACAGACAATACATTTTCCTTCCATGCCTCAAAGGTCCTATCCTTTACGGTCACAAGTGATGAAGACGAGCCACCAGCGAGCATAATTAGCGGAATGACAGGGTGGCTACTCAAAAAACGCAGAAAACGTATGCAGGGTAAGCAAAGCAAAAGCAAGAGCCGACATTAAACAAGTTCCTCAGTCTCTCTGTTAATTCATGTCGTGTTTTAAGGATGGGCCAAGCGGTGGTTTGAATTATCGTCCACAGGTGTTCTATCGTACTCAATTGACGAAAAGAGTATTAAAAGAGGCTCTATACATGTCAATCTATCTACCCTGGCCATTTATCCAAAGCAACGAACGCTTCACATCGATTCAGGCACTGTGATCTACCATCTAAAGGCGCTTACGGCAGAGAGTTTTGAAGCCTGGATAGAAGCCTTTAGAGCATCTAGAGCTATTTGTACTAGTCCCTCAAAAGCACCTGGAATTCTCGTCGATGGGAGTTGGTTACTCGCAGATGGTCACATTAGCCACTCTCCTGCCGCTCCCTCCTTTGCAAACACTTCCCAAGTTCAGTTGAATAAAAGTATTGCCGAGATCTCGGACGAGATTAAATCTTTGGAACAAGTGATCTTGGACTTTAAGAACATCTTGGACAAGAGTGCAGCCGCGAGTACAATTGAGGTTGTGCCAAGTACACCACCACCTACAATCAAGAAACGTTTTCCTTTTCGACGTGGCAGTAGCGGTTCTTCTGTTCTCCCTTTTAAGATCGCCTGCCCCAGCTTAGATATTATCGCGCAGCAGGGAATTTTGGAACGCCTAACTCAGTCGGTCAAGGCTTTGGTTGTTTCAAGAGATGCAATGCTTGCGGCGCTGGAGGAACAACAGACTCTGTGGGATAATTCCGTTCAGCGTTCTATTCCAGATGGTAATAATTGCGTCTATCTATGGCTGGACTGCGCTTACACCTATGTCTATTTATCTATCTATCTGTTCACTTGTATGATTAGATCCCCGATTATTGATGCCTCAGGAGCAATATCCCGGTAATCGTGCACCTAGTTTTTACTCGTATCAGACATCGATTCGATCAGAATTGTTTTATGATGCACAAGATGACTTTGTACTATCCGAAGATGAAGAAGAGGATGCAGTAGTAACACACGGTAGCTCAGATTCGGAAGAAGAGGGTTGCAATACAACAGGTAAGCTTAAAAGTAGTTTTTAAAATAAATAAATAAGAAGATTGGCTAAAGTTTTTTTTTCTTTAAAAAAAAAGATATAGATACACTAGAAGAAACAGATAAAATTACAAATGCTTTTGTAGAGCTTAGTCAACCTGATGTACAGGTGGTGAGACGCACAAGACTCCCATCTACTGTGGTTGGTAATGTCTCGCTTTTAGCCATTCTTCGTAAGAATATTGGAAAAGATCTCTCTACAATTTCTATGCCAGTTGGTATAAATGAGCCCTTGAATTTACTCCAAAGGCTCTGTGAAGAGCTGGAGTACTCTGAATTACTTGAAAAAGCATCTGCACAAACTGAGTCTATTGATCGCTTGATGTATGTTGCTGTGTTTGCTGTATCTGGATATTCGGCTACAAATTACAGACTTGGTCGCAAATTGTTTAATCCACTTATGAGCGAAACATTTGAGTGCATACGACCTGACAAAGGGTTTCGATTCATTTCTGAAAAAGTTTCCCATTCCCCAGCTGTTATGGCCGTAAGTAATGACAATAAACCTTAATTATAAATCTAACGGTTTTTTTTTATTCTGATAGTGCCATGCAGAGTCGAAGAGCTTTCAATTCTGGCAGACTTCTCTTGGAAAAACCAAATTCTGGGGTAACTTGATATATATATATATATATTTCCAACGAAGATAACAATAATAAAATATATGAATACGCGCTAACTAAACTGTAAATATTATCTAGGAAAGTCTATGGTAAGTGTAATTAAGCTCTTATTGTCTTGTTCTTAACAAAAATTTTAGGAGCTTATATTCAAAGGAGCAGTTCATGTTACACTGACCGGGCACTCGGATGGCGTGTTTAGTTACACTAAACCTTCTAGTTGGTTACGCAACATGATGGCTGGATGCAAGTACCTTGAGCATGTAGGCGAAATGCGTGTCCAAAATGAGGTCACAGGCGAATACGCTATTGTTACATTCAAAGGTGCCACTGGTGGCGGATTCTTTGGTGGTCTTCCGACTGATAGAAACTCGGTGGTGATTAGTTGCCATGGTTCCGATGGCCAAAAGTTGCGGGAGGTACAAGGAAAATGGAGTGAGGAATTATGGCAAATGACTGGAGAGACAAAGTCCAGATTATGGAAGTCACAGCCCCCTCCTTTTGAAGACAATCTATCGTATTACGGATTTACGCAATTTGCTATGGAGCTCAATGAGATATCTTCACTTGAAGATGCTATCCCTCCTACCGATACACGTCTTAGACCAGATCAACGCTTATTCGAGCAAGGTATGAAGAGTATGGAAAAATACTGGACTTTGATTTATTAACACTTTTATGGAATCGCTTATTTGTTTGACTGTTGCTTTTTTTTTTAGGTCAGGTTGATGAAGCCGATGATGTAAAACTTAGGATTGAACAACAGCAAAGAGAGCGAAGAAAGGACATGGAGCTTCAAGGAGAACAGTGGAATCCATTGTGGTTTGAAAGCCACCAGGATCCTAACGATCCTCTTGGGGAGACTTGGAAATATAAAGGTGGCTACTGGGAAGCAAGACGTAGCAAGAAATGGCCATCAGATATGCTGACTCTATGGTAGTAATAGTAAACAAGAGAAATACTTGGTACTATTACCATTACCACTACTATTATTACCATTATTACCATTGTTACAACTATCACTACTACTCTTATTACTACTATTACTACTATTACTATTATTATTATTATTATTATTAAATCTGTATATTTATATAAGGAAGAACAATACTATACAACATGTTAAAAACAAACAAAAAAACCATTTTTGCAAGATTTTCTGAGGTTTAATGATGGTTTCAAGGATGGCTTTTGATTAAGCACTACTTTTTCTTCTTTCTTTTGCTATGAATGTAGCTCAAAAATAAGATCACATATTAAACATCCCACCTTTACCCCCCCTCCCTCATATTTTCTCAATCAACAAAAAAATTGTAATAAAATAATTCACTAAAAAGTATTTTAAAGAATGCAATAGCTTACCAAAAGGCCGTTTTGAAAATCCCGTGGTGATAGCCAGGCCGAAATATTTACCTGCTTTGTTTTTTTTTCTCAGGCTCTGTCTCACGAATACGCCCCTCTGGACCATCTTCTGCTGGTCTTATAGTACTTTCTGACTTGAATTGTGCGGGTGAGCCTATAAGAAGCAAGTACCGTTATATCTCAATTGGTTAAATATATTCCTAAGATACAAAACAGCTGCGAAATCTTGAGTCCACAAACGATACTTGGAAGCGTAACAGAGCCATGTCCTCCAGGCAATTTGTATTGAGAAATCTGAAATGATTTGTAAGGATAATATAAAAATAGGGATTGGATATAGTATATAACTTGGAAGGCTATGACAGGATAAATTTGATGTTTGAGTGCAGCGATATGGGCGAGGGTTGGAGGTTAATTTAACATGTGAAGGGAAGGTTGGGAGCACGAAGAACAGTGCTTGGAAGTACCGAATTCGTCAATCAATCAAACAAGCATGTAATCCATAGTTGCAAAGTGGCTTTCTCATTCTTGCACCCTTGATTGGTCCATGGTGTCGGTTGTGAGTTCAGACTATTTTCTTATGACCAAGATAGAACATAGACCAAATTCAGCGCTAATATTGCTTGCTAGATGTTAATTGGCTTGGAATTGATTGATGTACGAGCAGAGACGAAGCTTGCGAAACAAAGACTGCTAACTAGTTTGACTTTTGAATTTAGTGCTTCAAACTTTGAGCAGCAATTAATAGGGATAGAGTACTTTTCCTTGCATATATACAGTCTACCTTGAAGAGTAGTAGATATGATCTATCTTGCCTACAATACTTCCTCAAGCCTTTTATTATGAAAGTTGTTTTTTCTTTTAAAAAAACATCAAAGACAATGACCAGTTCAAGGATTAACTGTGAACTTTTAGTTTGTAAATATAAAAAGGAGAACATTATTTTTCTTTATTTGTTACTCGAGATATTTTGGGTAGTTTTATTTTTTATATATATCCTATGTATCACCCAAATACAAAAGGGACCTTCTCTAGATTAACCTTTTTATATAAGTCCAATATCATCATATAGTGATGTTACTGCAAGAAGCGTACTGTAAAAGTGTAATATTTTAAGAAGAAAAAATTGTTAGACTTGGCACAAGAAATAAAAAAAAATCAGTAACAGACTCCCTGAATCCAGTTTTAATTTTACTTTATACAAATACCATATTACATAAAATAAGTTCTCATTATAGATCGTACTAATAGTCGATAATTCTATAGTTATCTCATTACTACCATCCATACAAGAGTTACCCATTACATGACAGATAATATATTATTAGTAAATCATACCAAAGATGTAACAAAGAAGAATATTCTTACAAATTCAAGACAAAATCTTGATTAAGTAACCAAAGATGAGGAAGTATTCACTTCATACTTTTACGTAGTTTCTCAACAATTACTTGGCATTTAATTTTTCTGTCAAGGTCTTAACTTCTGAGTGTAGGTTGATATTTCCATGAAGGGTATACTTTTATTTGTTAAATGTGGCAATCATTAAAGAAGATGATATTGCTTTAACAGTTTTTACAAAATTAAGCTGTCTATATCAAGCAATATGTATCTCTATACACTATTAAAGAAGGTGAGAATTACATGGTAAGTACAACCGAACAGAATGTTTGTTACAAAAACATACGAGATATTAAAACATTTTTCCCATAAAAGTAAAAAGGTTCAACCAGGGGGGGGGTACAAACGAAAAGCGCAGCCTAGAATCGCCTCTGAAACCACTCTCAAAATCACCCTTTTTTCTCCCATAGTGTGTATATACAGTTAAATATATACATTTTTTTAATAATAATAATAATAAAGACCATCTTTGATTAGCGATAAACATATTTCTTTAAAGAACTATGGTGAATGTGCCTTAAAACCAATTATTTGAATATGAAACAAAAACTGTAGTGCCAATCAAAGCTAAAACAAAAATTTTGTAATAAGCCCATTCATTTATCGAGTTCGAGTCTGGTATTTAAATAGAACCAATAATCTGGCAGAAGTACTGTGGACGTAGTAGAGTTGATACACCATTCCACTTGGTTTTGGTGTAGTCTTTAACCTTAATATACAAATGTCACTACACAGACCTTCTTTTTTTTTCTTTTTAATATTATTCCAAATCAACAATTATATGCTCTGTACACAGATGATGAATTCGGACAAGCTATAATATGTAATAAGTTTACCTTCATTTTGGGTTTGTGAGAACATTTAGATATTTCTTAGTTTCCGATAGTCTAAGATCATCAAGAATACGTCAGTTTGATGGTAGACACACTTTACCTACACACGTTCAATGGCAAGTGATTTCTTACTTTTTCGGTCAAGTGCAATAACCACTGAAACTGTTCGCTTAAGATAATTAGGACCTGTAAGCCAAACTATCAGTGCCAGTCTAAATAAAGTAGTATGTAAATCGTCAATGTTTTAATTTTTATGATACATGTCGAATCCATTGATCTCCTGAAAACGGGCTTACTGAACCGAGTAGACAGATGAAATACGTCAGAAAATGAACCGAGAAAAGACTACTGAAAATGCGTCATGTCAAATCCACTTTCAGATTTAGGGGTACATTCGGAGCTCTTAATTCAAATACAGCGACGATCGCCTTAACTTGATCGAGGCACAAGTTATCTGTTTTATACCAGGCAAACGTAGAGTGGGAATGACAAGACAGCCAAATGAGACAACGGCCAATAGTGTCACTTTCCGCTATGTACTTTTGTTAGTTAGACTACAAAAAATATGTCTCGAAAATGGCGTAGAAATCTCATCATTTAGGCTATTTACCATTACCTTCCTCGAAAATGACTCGCCCTAGACTAATTTAGGAACCAGGCCAGCTTTTACCTTCAATGATAGTATGACCCAAAGTGCCAAGTGAGACCTTAACATTTAACACATAGATTTTTCTTTGAATGAAATCATAGCCATAATAAACTTCTTGCAAATATCATTTCTATATAAAAGCAACCACAAAACCACCTTTCTTTTCTTTTCTCATTATTGTATATTTTATAACTTTACCATACCTAATATGTCTATTTCTCCTCGCCACAAGTCTACCTCTTCTCACTCTAGCCCTCAGAGAAGCTCAATGGAGACCTATCACACCCCAATGGAAATCAACCGAACACTTGAATCATCTCAAGGAGGAGATCCAGGACAACTTCGTGTCTCAACTCAAGCTCAAAACCCCCCTCCCGCCTCACATAGCCCAACAAGTGGCGCAAAAGAAAGGGCACGCACAGACACTCTCAAAATGATCGGAATTGTCCAAAATATGCGTCAAGGAAGACTTCCTCACAACACCGAAATCGACTCCTTCCTTGAACGTCTAATCAACAGCCCTTCAATTCATTCCCGCCAACATCTTATGTCTCCCGATGGAAAGAGACTTTTACGAGACTTCCAAGAGCTAGTAACCACCATCCGAAAGGCGGTGGCTGTCAAGAACAAGAATGAACTTTTCCAGTCATTCGTTTATCACCTTCATGCTATGGATAACCCAGTTACTAAAGGTAAATACATCATACAAAACACAAATCAAGTTCTTTTTCTTAATACCTTTCAATCGTATTAGATCAACTCAGTATCAACAGACCTAATGGTACCGAGAACCAGACTTTCAAGAACGAAGCAAAGCAAGGTAAATCAAAATAATACTCTAAAAAAAGGTGTCACTTTTACTAACCACAAGTGTGTTATCAGGTGCAAACGCTACCATCCGAATTGCTAAGCTTGTCTTGCTCAACGGAGAGTTCAGAGATGTTCTCAACGAACTTATTGCTATCGTCCAAGAGGTGTTTGGTGATGCTGCCAACAAGGCAAGCGAGTCTCTTCAACAGGCCGGTAACAACCTCAACTCCCAGGCTCAGCATCTAGGAGACCGTGCCCAAGAGATGGCTGATCCTGATCGTCAGAACCGTGTAATCAACAAGGCCATGACAAACCTCGACAACCACCTGGAGCCAAACACTCGTTATGACCAAAACGAGTACTCAAGAAACAATGATTACTCAGATAACAACAACAACAGAAACTTTGGTCAAAACAACCGTGATTATGATCAGAACAACCAGCGTTACCTTACCAAGGAGAACGAACCCAGCGTTGGCAGACATAGTCACCACAACACAATCGATGGAAATGGTGCCAATGGAGCTCTTAATCAGGATTACCCTCGCCATGAGAACTCTATCAGCAAGAACGTTGCCGCAGCAGTCCTCGGAGAAGGAAATCACCACAACCACAACAACCACAACCTTGACCATGACCATGATCACAGCCTCACCCACAACCATCATCATGACGGTCTCCATCAAAACCTCTCTCCTCGCTACGATGATAACGACAGCATCTATGGCAACAGCAACAACATCAACAGTGGAACTCGTAACTTTGATAATGATTCCGAGCGGGCAATCTACAACGGAAAGCAGTACAAGAACAACCTTAAGCAGCAAACTAGCCAGAAGGGAAGACAGTACCAGCAGCAAGCACTTGAGCAAGCTCGTCTTCATCACGAAAGATCCAAGCAGTACGCGCGTGATAAGTTCCCCCCTGAGAAGGTTGATGATATCATTCGCCGCCTCAAGGTCGTTTTGGCTGAAGTCCAGAGAAACCCTGACTACCAGTATGCTATCAACACCATCCTTCGTCTCTTCTCTACCTGGAGCCACCGTGCTATGGATATGTCTCAAGAGACTGCCAAGACAACTGCCGGAACTGGTCAGACTTTCCGTTCCGATAAGAACTGGTCTCAGGCTGAGCAGGAAATCAAGACCATTATCGAAGCATGGGCTCAAGGAAAGTCTCTTGACCATCTGGTCCATTCCGTCAGAGATATAATCAGTGACATCAAGAATGATCCTGCATTGAGAAAATACTATGATGAGGTAAGGCAGAAAAATAATTATAGCATTCGATTACTTTGTACTAATTCATTTTTTTATATATTCGTTTAGGTTATTTTCTACATCCACCGCCTTCTCAAGGAACCCGCCTATGTCGTCGAAGACCGATCCACTGAAGATGGCAGAGCGCTCATCGAGACTGGTCGTAACTTCACTCAGCACCGCTACAGAAACCACACCAATGCCCTTATGGATGAGATCCGCTCGTACACCAGAGCCATGGCTAAGGATCCTATTTCCATGGAGCTCCACTTGCGTACCAAGGCTATCCACCAGGACCTCTGGTTCGATGAGCAAGGAAACCCTGCTTTCAAGCCTCAGTTGATTAATGACATGCGCCTTACTCTTCTCCCAGCTCTCTTTGAGCAGATCAAGTATGTTCCTATTCCTCGCATCGAGTACAGCGACAAGCAATTCGATGTTGTAGTTGAGAATGTCATCTTGGCTGGTGATACTTTGCTTCCCAACTTCTTTGACGTAAAGGTAAGAATATAATCATTTTTATTTTCATTTTTTAATATCCAATATTTACTTATTTTTTTTAAAAAAAAAAGCTTGAAAGCTACAGTAAGTTTAGCCCAAGTGAAGATACCAAAGATACTGGTCGCCAGTCTGTATTTATCAAGATGAGCGAGATTCAAGCTGTAATTGAAGATGTTGTATTTTCTTACAACAAGAAGTCTGGCTTCCCCAAGCTTTCTGATCGTGGTATTGCCGCTCTTGAGATCGGCGGCAAGGGTATCGATGTCTCTCTCAAGCTTACTAGCACAAATGACCCCAAGCATATGTACAAGGTTAACAGCTGCAGATGTCGCATTGACAATCTCAAGGTTACCGTCAAGGACAGCAATCATGAGTAAGTCATACAACATACTTTATATAAAGCTACAGTAAAACTCATCATACTCTTCTTTCTTTTTGTTTAGCTTGATGTACAAGGCTATGCATCCCATGGTTATTGGAATTGTCCGAAAGCAGATTGCTCGTGCTATTGAAAACAAGATTATCGAGCTTCTTGAACTCGGAGACCAAAAGTTGACTGCAAGCATCTGGCGCGTACACAATGAAATCGAGGCCAAGAATGCCGAGCTGGCCAGAGAGACTGCCAGACGTAATGGTGTTGCTCCAAAGCCTATTGCTCGTACCACCACTCGCCCTGGCCTGTTTGCTACCTTGGTTGCTTCCGTAAACAAGAACATCAAGACCAGGTCTTATGAGCGCTCCAACCGTAAGAGAGAGAAGAAGCTTGCTAGAGTATCCCTGAGTTCCGACTCTTCAAGCGAGTCTAGCCTTGGTGAAATTGACGGTACCCATCACGCTCACCGCAGCCATTCTTACATGCATCCCTCAATTCACCCTGATTCCAAGTCTTCTCACTTTGATCATGGCCTTCACGACACCAACGCCCATACTGGTATTAACAACCATGAACATGGCCTTGGAAAGCACCACAACCATATCGGCCCTGATGAGTACCGCAATTCCAACAAGGATATCGGACGCGGATATGATAGCAACAATGATTCCTACCCTCGTGGCTACAATGACAATGGCCGTTACAACAATGATGACACCTACAACACTCGAGGATTGAACGACAACGACCGTCGTCACAACCATGACCATCATTCTCGTGGTATTGATAATGTACTCGACTCTGCCCGTGGCTATAACGGCAATGGTCACTACAACAATGATGATGACCGTTTCTACAACGATGGACGTCAGTCTCGTGGTATTGATCGCAAGTTTGGTTCTTCCCGTGGTCTCAATGATAACCGTGGCTACAATGACGACATCCGCCATACTAACAGCCTGAATGATCATAACCGTGGCTATAACAATGGTCGCCAGTCCCATGGCTTTGATCGTGCTTTGGATTCTATCCGAGGACGTGATGACAATGATCGCCGTTACAACAATGACAACCGTGACTATGACAATGGTAGAAACTTTGGCAATGACAACCGTGGTTACAACAACAGCAACAACGGCCGTGGGTACAACGACGATCGTGGCTACAACAGTGATAATGGCCGTGGCTTCAATGATACCCGTGGCTTCAACAATACCCGTGGTTACAATGGTGATAACCGCAACTCTAATGGACTTGGAAATGTTATTGACTCCTTCCGTGACCACAATGACAACCGTGGCTACAACAACGATAATGGTCGTGGTCTTACTGGAAACCATGGTTTCAACAACAACAGCCGCGGATACAACGATGACAGCCGTGGATACAATGATGGTAACCGTGGCTACAACAGCGATAATGGTCGTGGCCTTACTGGTAACCATGGATTTAACAACAACAACAACCGTGAGTACAATGATGAAAACCACAATTCTCATGGTCTTGGAAACGTTATCGACTCTGTCCGTGGCCGAAATGATAACCGTGAATACAACACCGACAATGGTCGTGGGTATCAAGGAAATGACTTTCGCGGCCAAAGAGGTGTCTCCGGATCTGCTCCAAACTCTGGCGTCATTGTCTAAACCAACTGTCCTTATGCCATAAAATCCCATTACAATTCCTTTTATTATCTTTTCTACCTTCTATTGATAAATATTTTAACCCCCTATATAAATATACAAATATACAAATATATAATAATTTCAATCCTTTTAACAAATAAAAATATACATATGTCTTATCCTCTACTTAAAAAAAGGTACTCTCTCACAGTACTATTTCAGACTTTACAATGTGTATTGATTATAAGTTTATATACACAGATACACATTCTACATCAAAGTTCTCATGATTTGGTTTTAGCTTTAGGCCTTCGAATATAATAGATATTTTGTAAAGGTGATTTTTTTTAAAACATTAGATATATTTCTGTCATTTAAAATAGTAAATAGCAAGTCTTTTTTGTGGTGATAATATCCTATTGTCTATAAGCAATTCTTTATTACTATTACTGCTCTAATTATTTTGAGAATAAGAAGAATAAAAACAGAGTATATTAAAAGTTGATACAGTGAATGTTGGAAGTACTTTGAGATAAGCAGATAAAGTCAAACTTATAGCTTGAACCAAAATATCTTACACTATATAAAAAAAATTGACAGCATTAGTTTTTTCTCTCTCTCACACACTAACCAGAGGTATATCATATATCCATGGTGAAGAAGCATAGAGTTCTATTCAGGACATATCAGCCAATCAAATTCCATAATATAAATATCTGGAAAACCAAAATAAAATAAAATAAAATAAAATAGAGAGAGCCAAAGTATATAGGTGGTTCCCTAATTTATAAATAATATTTGCTTAACTTGGCCATGATTGATATAACTATCATTTCACACTGTTACAGATACTACGATTAAGTGTTGGGACCGATGTCCTAAATATTTAAAGAAAGGTCTCATAAATCTACCCATATCCTTGGAGGACTAGGCCATATATCAGTGGTATCTTAAAAAAATAGCATATAAAAAATAAAATAAAAAAAGGTACTTCTTTACGTTAAATAGCTTAGAAATCACAATATATTCATATTCTCAAAACGAAATGTAATATTACTTTAGAAGGTTAGATGTGTGTATTTGTGGTTTTATTAACAATAAAACAAAATTTAAAGAAAATGTGTTGAAATGGTATTACATACTAAAAGTAAAAGGCGAAATAGTAATTTTACTACCCTTGATTAAATAATAGAAACAACGTACATCTTCAAGGTAACTTGCAAACCATTTTCCCTTTGTTTAAGTCATGTATATATATAAGCAGTGCTAAATATTACCTCATTTTTATTTCCGTTTTATTGAAAGGAGCTGTTGGGTCTAGCTTCAGATAATAAACTATCATCATTTTTGATACTTTTTTTTACTGATAATATACTACTAATGCTTGAGTTATTTAAAAAGAGTTCCTTTTCTTTTATATCATTATAAAGCTCAAAATAATTTGCTACCAAAGTTTTCCCTCTCACTATCAATATTTTAGTTCAACTTTTAGTTAGACTAAAAGTGAATAAGACTGATAGATGTTAAAGGAGCTTGTATACATCTTTAAGTAGAAAACATTATAAAATTTTTCTTTGATTCAAACTACACCTTTTCTCCGCAGTGAAAAAATAATAATAATAAGGTGCAAATAGCCTACACACTAGCGGCTGACATTGATTCTTTTTTTCTTCTTTTTTTTTCTCTTCTCCTTGTACCCAGCAAGAAACTATTGAGTTTGTCATATATATATTTGTTTGCTTCTTTTGTTCACAACCATGTCTACAGCTCCATCAGTTGCTGTACCAGTCACAGAAATTCCACAGCCCACAGAGGCTGACAGCACAACTACCAAAGACAAAGCTAAAGTGTTGGCTGACAAGGCTAAGAAAAAGAAGAGAGAAAAAGCAAAAAAGAAGGCAAAACGCGCATCTCGAAAAAATGTGTTAAAGACAAAGGTTATTGTAAGAAGATTGCCACCCAATCTTCCCGAAGAGATTTTTATGAACACCGTTAAACCCTGGACATCAGAAGAGAATGTGGATTACAAGTACTATGTTCTTGGAAAGCTTAGTAAAAGGTCAGATGACGGAACACTGTTTTCAATTTTGTGGTTTTCTGATTGTATATGTATATAACAGCAAGGCAAAGGAGCACGTGTTTTCGAGAGCTTATTTTCATTTCAAGACAATGGAGGCAGTCATTGCATTCCACCAAGGGTTTGATGGACACATATTTGTAGATAGTCGTGGTAAGGCGATGAGTAATGACAAAGGAGAGGATCGGCTGTTGATAAAACGATTATATAATAGGAAATGAAAGCCGAGCTGTTGTTGAGTTTGCTCCTTATCAAAAGATTCCAAAGGAACAAAAGACAACAGACGCGCGTGCAGGAACTATTGACTCGGGTAAACTATTATTATAATTAGTATTTTCTTGCTATGCTGGTCCAAAACTATATATATATATATAATATATTAGAGAGAGAAAGAGAAGTGTACATCTGTGTGTGTGGTAGATAATGTATAATGAGTCGTGCATAACTAATACCGTCAACAATGTAGATCCTGATTATTACAAGTTCTTGCTGATGCTAAAGGCAGAAGAGAATAAGTCACCAGAGGTTAAAAAGGGAAGTGATGGCTTATCGCAAATCGAAAGATTGGAAAATAGACTTGCACTTGTGTCGGGTAAGGATTTTATAAAATATATATATATAATTAGCAGGTCTTGGATACAGTAGTTCTTGTTGGACTGAAAATCTGCACTAGCCCAAACAATTGCTGCCGAGCAGGCCAACAAGCCAAAGACAACACCCCTTCTTGAGCATCTCCGAGCACAAAAGGCTGCAAAGGATTCTGCAAAGGCCAAGCTCCAAGCTCAGAAAAATGCTTCGAGGAACACTGCAAAGAAGAGCGCAGCAACATCATCATCGGCAGGATCGACTCCAACCCAAAACGGCTCTCAGGGTGGACAGGGCGGAGCACAAACATCCGCAGATGCTAAGAAGCCTGGTCGCCGTGAACGTGGAAAGAAGAAGAAGGATGACAAGAAGCCAAATGGGACAGCAGAGAAATCTGGAAACTCTAATGACAAGCAATCATCTTCTGAAAGACGTAACAATAATGGATCAGGAAAGACAGCGGGAAATCAGTCAGAAAAGACCGGAAACGGAAACGGAAACGGAAATGGAGGTGGAGGTGGAGGTGGAGGTGGTGACAAACCACCAGGCACTGGACGCAGCAGAGAAGGTAGATCGAGAAGAAAACCTGCTGCTACAAATGGAGGCCAACCGGAGAAGCAGCCAGTAATCAAGGTTCTCAACCGTCAATCAGGCGAAGATAAGACGAAGAGTGGCAATAATAGTAGCCCTACACCAAAGCGGTCAGGTTAAGTCATGTGCGGCTATTATTTTTTTATATTTTTTTATTTTTTGCATGGAATGTCCTGTAAGCCAAGACAAAGAACGCGGTGTTGTGCGGTTGTGAGGCTGTGTCGGTTTGAATATTGGAACGAGAAAGAAAGAATTCAGCAACAACAGTCTCTCCACCCCCTCCATCTCTACCTCTATCTCTCTATCTCTGTGCGCCTATTGACCAAAAACAAAACAAAACAACGGAAGCTTGGAAGAAGAAAAAAATATCTGGTTAGTTAGTTTATACATATGCACGGTTCGTTTGGTCTTGGATACCCCACGTTGAAGCTTCCCCCACTCCCTCTCTTTTTTTCTCTCTCTCTCTCTTTTTACCAAAAGCCCGTTGCTTTTGACTACATTTCTCTCTATTGTTTTCTTTTAAACATCTTCATTTGTCTTTTTATCCTTTGAACTCAATTAAAGTACATCTACACATCCAATAATAAAAAAAAAAAAAAGTCGGAAAGTGGAAAAGGGGGTTTGTATTATACATGTAAGGGAAACAAGATGGTCTAATTGAATTTGTTGCCATGCGATGTACTACGGTGTACTGTAAAGAAAATCATCAAACAATACACACATTATATATAAATAATCCTAGAAAACATCTACTATCACGAGCATTAATAGGAAATTTAATACATTTTCGGTTTTACGACCATAGTCCATTGTTGATTGTATTACAACTCGTATAGTTTAATGGAAAAAAATTAAAGCTTTAATAATGAATTGTCTATATATAATATATATCGATACTTATTATCCAGTAAATCCATATACTAAATTACTGGCGTATATAGTAGTAGTGATAGTGATAGTAATAGTAAGAATAGTGGTTGAAAATTAACAGTTAATTTTTTATTTTTTATTATTTATAACTCTCCTTCAAATATATACTTTATAGTAAGCACAGAATTTGCTTTTATTGTCATTAATGATGTTAGCAAAAAAAAAAGATTCAAGCTAAAAGTAGCTCTTTTAGAGCACATTCGATATATACATGAGATTCTATCCAATATCTAAAGAAGTTCTATATATGAATATATAATAAAATGTCTATTTTAAAAAATATGAGAATAAAACCAAAGGAATCTAAATGTCAAAAATTCAAGTGAAAGCAATCTGTTCTAGTGGGATGAATGTAACAATTCAACTCCGATTTCATGATGACGCCGTTTGAATCTACCGCTTCGTAAGTGGGCGTTGGCCAAAAATCGAGCACTCTCTCTCGACTTCCTCGATCATATCACTATGGTAGGTGTCGCCTTGTCCAGGGCATATAAATGAAAATAAGAAGGAAACAGAGAGTGGGAAATGCAAACAGTCAAAGATGGCAAAACACAAACAATTGAAGATGGATTGAATCAATAAAGATATTTGGATGGATGGATTTGAGAAGGATGGATTGAATCGACTATCAAACTTTCTTCAAAGAGGATAAAATGGACGCTACAACAAAACCTACACTACAAATATCTTCAACAGAATACTCCAAAATCCAAAACCAAAAAAAAAAGAGAAACCCAAAGACTATAGAATACGCCAAGAAATATCGATGAAGAAGTGAAAAAAAAAGTAGAAGATATTGATTTTTTATTTCAATTTTGGAAACAAATAATAGACCTGCAAGAGAAGAAACAACGGACGTAACAAGCACGGCCGTGGTCATGTCAAGTTTGTGCGCTGCATTAACTGCTCCAAGTGCTGCCCCAAGGATAAGGCTATCAAGCGTTTCACCATCCGTAACATGGTCGAGGCTGCTGCCGTCCGTGATCTTCAGGAGGCCTCCATTTACGAGGAGTACACCATCCCCAAGTTGTACGTCAAGTTGCACTACTGCATCTCGTGCGCTATCCACGCTCGTGTTGTCCGTGTTCGTTCCGTCAAGGACCGCAAGAACCGTGCTCCTCCCCCGAGATTCAGATTCGCTAAGGTATAAAAGTGTTCTTTTATTTTCTATTTTTGCATTTCCAAAGAAAGTAAATGTCTTGAAGATTGTAAGAGCTAATGAGTAAATAATTTATTTGTGTTAATAGACTGCTGCTCCCAAGGCATAAATTTTGTCCCTTTCAGCTTTCTTTTTGAATTTTGCAACTAAAATAAAATTAAAATAATTAAAAAAAACACACGATTCTTTTGAGCAATGTGCATGGGTTGTGTGAACTTTTACTGTGTAATTAATAATCCATTTGCGAGGTGTATTTGTATGTTTCATTCAAAATATCAAAAGATGGTTAGCTTATAGGTTAAGTTTTTATTTCTATGTGTTTTTTACTTGAGAGATAAGATCTTAAGGATATCATATGCTATGATACGATGTACTTGTTACTTGTTACTTGTTACTTGATATAATTATTTGAAATGGCTGTCGTGTAACATGCGGCACTCAAAAAATAGGAACTTTTACGTTTAAAGTGAAATGTAGGTAAAGAAGTATAATTTCGAGCATAAGGATACACTTTTTGAAAAAGATTGGCCGTGTAAGAATTAAGATTAAAATATGTTAAAAGGAATGGCCATCAACGGTAAATAATGATATTACTGATTGAGTTTTTAGAGCAGTGAGAATTTAGGTAGGGTGAGATCCTGCCGTTGCTATTTAATGTTCTGGCTACAGAAAGCTTATCCCCTGGAGACAGCAAATACTGATGGTCGATGGAGGATTATGATAAAAAGTGGGTGTAAGTAGGCAATAGCTTATAGGTAAAAGTCATTTTGCTAACTATACTGTTAACCACTTTTAAAATCTTCTCTCTGTATACTCTATGCAAGAATATAAAAAAGTTAAAATCAAGAGGAAGAGAGGAAGTGTATGTATATGTATGTACTTTTGATGAAATGGAATACATTTGGTGTTAAAGGGTTTATCTTATTCTGAATAAAAACTTTCGAGATTAACATTATCACGTAATGATATATTGTAAGCTTTTGAGAGGGGGGGTTTTTTTTTATCAAAAAGTAGTTGAGGTGGATTTGATATCTATTAAGACGCTTTTAAAGACGTATGAAATCATCTTTAAAACGCCTCAATGTGATGATGACAGCTAACATTCCGATTTAACTTGTTCGACTAATGTACTATATGGTCTATTCTATATAATATGTATTATTAAAGATAAATTCAAAGATATACAAACTTTAATAAAATAATGAGCAGTATTCCCAATCTACTTATAAAGTGTAGTCGCTTGGCTTATGCGATAGACCTCATTCCTAAAGCCAAAAATTAAAATGGGATTACATGACTGTCAAAAGTGAATTGGGTGACTTGTGTCCGGCGGCATTGTTGTGTGTGGGACTGGTTCTGTGCTTGGAAAAAAAATTTATAGAATTCAAAAAAAAAATTATTTTAAACGAAAATTAAACTATAAAAAGGCTTAGGATTGTGTTCCAAATTATATTCCTTACTTCTTTCCCTTCTCCCCTCTTCTATGAGAGCATAACATAACTGGTAAGCATCACTACTCCTACTCTATTTCCCTACTCCTTTATATACTTTTTATGTATCAATATTGTTGGCAAAGTTTGGTTATTTTTTTCTTTTACCATGATGATCAACCATATATTGCTACTAAACCCAGCTCATTTTGATATTCTATGAAAGCAAAACTTCTATCAACTGAAAAAGAAAAAAAAAATACTTTACCACTTTTCCCAATTCTTATTACTACTTTATATTGTTACAAATGGGATGAAAGTAATAATTGAAACTAATTATTTGTAACAGTTTTTTAGATTGAATCTCTTCATGCTGCTCATTTATGACTTTAAGATAGAACTTTTTATCATTTTAATAAAAACAAAATTTCAATACATGTTATTACACGTCTTTATGAGAGAAATCTATTGTGTTCGTTTTAAATGCTGGAAGAATGAAATGTCTTGATATGTTATTTTGTTACATAGGATAAGCTGCATATTTAGTAACGTAGTTTAAGAATATTCAAATGATAATATCAAAAATACATATACTTGGGGTTTTGCAGCTTTGACTTTCGGCTACATATTTATTTTATTGTTTTTATATTCAAAATTTATTTTACCCTTCAAAACTAAAGCGGTGTCGCTTTCAAATATGTATATTTATTTATTTCTTCTGTCCATACCCTTCATTGTTTTGCCTTATAGATAACTTTTTCTTAATACTAAATCGAGTGCGTTTAGAATGCTTTACAAGTAAAGGCAAAGAATTAATGTGGTCAATAAGCAATTCTCAATATCACAAAGCCTAGATCCTTCAGAAGTGAAAGATACTTGACACAGAAACTCTCCATACTTTTTTGTAAGTGACTAAAAATTGTATAAACACTCCTGGTTCAGGTATACGCGTTTTATACGGGACCCTTTATAACCTCATTTTCTTTTTTCACATTGGTTCCTTTTTATTTATGCTTATGTACTGAGCTATGAACATGGACCTCTTTGAGAGACATGAATATAAATTGAATAAACTATGATATTAATGTACATTTTGGATTAGTTCAACGCGTATTTACAGTGTTTTAATAGCTTTTGTTGAATCTCTTTACTTCTTTTTTATTATTTAATTTGAACTTGAATATAGTTAAAACACGAAAGAGAATTATTGTAATTTCAAATATTTTGATCCTTTTTTTTGCATTATTTTTTAATATTTTTAAAATAATAACTTTTTCTATCAATTATTCTAGGAATGTTCCTCTTATTTACATAGATCTATTGATAGGTTCAAATTTATATAAAGTCTTTGAATATATATATATATATGTTAGAGAATATGTGTACACTAAATTAGCCTAACATGAGGAAAGGTTAATTACTATTTTCTATATTGATTATTATTGGCCAAGTATTTAGACGCAGACGAAATAAAATAAAATAAAATCTTAAACAGATTCATAATGAAATTCCCTAGAAAAATGTATTTTTTATTTTGAAGATCAAACGGACAAATCTTCTCAATAACTGTAGCGAAAGAACTTATGATCCCAATGAAAGGTCGTTTTACAGAAATTCACAGATCCAAGCTTTTCATTGGATAAACATATACTCACTTTAACCAAAAACAAATCAACTGAAATGTTACGAGAACCACAACACTTTATGATTCTATGGATCAAACTAAATAAATTAAACTTGTGAGCATCTCTTTCCTCTTACTGTGTTTTATCCACTTCAAGTATTTGACCGACAATGTGGGTTTTGTCTTTGGTCTTTGGCCTTTTTGCCTTTACCAATAAAATCAAATCTTCTTGCGTCTTTTGACAATTTGATATTATTATTATTATTATTAATATTCTGTAACTGACAATATCCATCAGCCGGACTACAATACTTTTTTTTTAACAAATGAATGACGCAAGACGCAAGAACTAGGGCGGATCTCTAAACGTGTGTGAACAACAGTTGCGCATTGATTTCCTCTCCAGCCAAGAAAAACACTATAGAAACCCGCCCCTTTGTTCTTCCGCCCTTCCCACCTTATCTTTATTCCCTGCTTGTCCTTTACAACTTTTTATGGATCCCGCTTTCTCTTTTTCCCAAGTGGACGAGTTCCCTTCACAAACAGATGAATACACACAAATTCTGACAGAACTTCACACCGAATACTGCCGTGACCAGCCTCTTGATGTTCTCCAATATTGTGCAAACTTCTTTAACCAAAGACTCCAAGAACAACGTGCTTCTTTACGACAGCGACTTCCTCGTGGCTTTGAAGGTAAAAAACAAAAACAAAAACAAAAAAACAAACAAACAAAAGTAACTTCAATATATATATATATATATATAAAACAGTAGTTAATCTATCTTTTTTTTTTCTTTTGTAGCCAATGAACTTCATCCTCTTTCCGGTCAACATCAGGAATTCCCTGGTCAGATTTCTGATAATGATGATGACAAAGATAATGATTTTGAGACTCTTGATGATTCTGATGATGAAGAGCGTGATGAATTCTCGGGTGAACTTATTCCTATGATGCCTCCCTCTTATGGCCGTGACCGTCGCACTTCCGTCAGTGCCGAGTCAATGGCACCTACTCAGGGACGCGATTTTGTCAAGACGGTGATTCCAAAAAGTCCTGAGCAGTGTGCCAGAATTCGCGAAAGTGTTGAAAACAATTTCCTATTCCGCAATCTCGATGAGGAACAATACCAGGACGTAGTGGATGCCATGGCCGAGAAACGCTTGCCATCCAAGGAGCACGTGATTGAACAGGGTGCAGTGGGAGACTACTTTTATGTGGTAGAACAGGGAACTCTGGATTGTTACATCGCAAAGGGAGACGCTGAGCCAGTAAAGGTGACAAATTACGAGGCAGGCGGAAGTTTCGGTGAGCTTGCCTTGATGTACAATGCACCCAGAGCTGCGACGATTATCGCAACTTCGGATGTCGTACTCTGGGCATTAGACCGAGTCACCTTTAGAACCATTTTGATGGAAAACACATCGAGAAAGAGACGCATGTACGAAACCTTCCTCGAAGAAATTGACTTGCTCAAGTCGCTCGAATCTTATGAGCGCTACAAGATTGCTGATGCGCTAGAGTCAGTGTACTTTGAGGAAGGTCAACAGGTTGTTGTTCAGGGTGATGTGGGCGATCAATTTTATCTCATCGAGACAGGTGAAGCAGTATTCTACAAAACAGACTCACAAGGAAACACACGTGAAGTCAATCGTTATGGAAGAGGGTGTTTCTTTGGAGGTGCGTATCCACATAGTCTAGGCCAATTATTTTCTTTCTTTTACTGGCAACCGTCACAAATACGTGAACGAAAGAAATCAAAGAGAAAAAGGGAAAGAGAAAGAGAGAAAGAAAAACTAATATTTCTATTATGTTAATCAATCAATCAATTGATCGATTTTAGAACTCGCTCTTTTGAACGACAGTCCGCGTGCTGTGACCGTAGTAGCAAACTCACGTTTGAAATGCGCTACCCTTGGTAAAAAAGCATTCACGCGCCTGCTTGGTCCTGTACTTGATATCCTGAAGCGCAACTCTGAAAACTACCATACCATCATCAACAAACAATCCCAGTAGTAATATCCATTGCATAATATTTTAATGCTCTCTCAATTAGATGACTTTCCTCCCTATCTCTCTCTCTCTCTTTCGTGTGATAGTCAATACTCGTCCATTATTTCTGGGTGGTGAAGAATGAGGATAAATAGTCCTCTTGCTTCTTATCATAAACCAATATGCCCACCTTTTTCTTGTCAAATATATCTCTATTTTTGTTCTTTACAATGCAGGCCGTGCGCAGACTTTTACATAAGTAAAAAAAAACAAAACCCTATTGATAAAAATGCAAACACCTGCTTTTTTGTCTTCTTTTGTTTTTAAAGTAGTAACCATTACATTCAAGTAAGAACAAAATAGACGTGATCAGAACTGGGAGGCGGGTGAAATGAGGGGGTGGAATATTGAGGGATAAGCAACAGCAATTGTGCAAGTAAGAGGCATCCGCACAATAAGTACTCTTACCATCATAAGCATTTGTCAAAGAAAGAAAAAATAAGGGATAATTTACTATCTGTTTCTTGGTGTTTGAATGTGTCCCAATATCGGTGAGCTCAGGGACAAAGAAAAAAGAAAAAAAAAGAGAAAAAAAAGAAATATAGGCTTATTTGGTATATGATTCCCCTCCACCCTGCTCTCCTCTTTTCTCTTTCTCTCTTTCAATCTCTTTAAATCTCTTTCAACCTACTTCTTTTTTATTTTTTATTTTATATATTTAAATCATTCTTCACCATTTGTAAAATAATAATAGCACATAAAAAATGATGACCAGTACTTCCTCGCCTTATGAAGTCGTATCTGCGGCACCTTCTCCCATAACATCTGCAGGAACCGGTATTGCCAATTTGCCCAATCAACGCCATAAAATTGTGGCCAAGAACGGCGCAAACTTCACTGTCATGGTCTGTGGTAAGAACACTCTTTTATTCCATTATATCCCCTTTCTCTTTTTCTTTCTCCTTTTGTAATCACTATCCTTTTTTTTTGGTTCCCTAATCACATACACAATTGACCCCTCTAGGTGAGTCTGGCGTTGGCAAGACAACTTTTGTCAATACGCTTTTTACATCCACAATCAAGGAACCCAAGAATGTCACCCGAAGACGGTTTAGCAAGACTCCTCCCAAGACTGTCCAAATCCAAATCACAAAAGCAGGCAAGTATTTGAGAATTAATATGTATATCTAAAGCATCTAATAATTTATTGCTTTTAAAATGAATGGTGGTCTATAGAAATTGAAGAGAAAATGTTCAAGGTCAAATTGACTATTATCGACACACCGGGATTTGGAGACTATGTGAACAATCGCCACGGCTGGATCCCGATTGTCGACTTTTTGGACGACCAACACGAGAAGTACATGCGACAAGAACAACAGCCGTGCCGTAAAGGGGCCATTGATATGCGCGTACATGTCTGTCTCTACTTTATCAAACCAACCGGGCACACGTATGTCTACAGATTTCAATTTTATTTTATAGCATTCTTTACCAAATTTATAGAATATTTATTTCTCTCTCTGTGTGTGTGTGAATGTAGATTATTGCCCTTGGACGTTGAATGTATGAAGAAACTGGGATCGCGTGTGAATTTGATTCCGGTTATTGCAAAGGCAGATACCTTGACACCTTCTGATCTTGCAAAATTTAAACAAAATGTAAGCATTTGTAACCTCCCCTGCATTTTCTGTACCCTAAAAAAAACAAAAAACAAAAAACAAAAAGCAAAGCAAAGCAAAGCAAAGCAAGGCAAAGAAAATAATAAGCATATGTACATAATGTTATAAATTAAGGGGAAAATTAGGAGGAAAGGAGAAAAAATAACCACTCAATTTTCAACTAAACATGTACTAAAATTCAAAAAAAAAATTCCCGCATAGATTCGAGATGTGATTTATGCACAGAATATTAAAGTATACTCTTGTCCTATTGAGAGTGATGATGAATCCACTACACAACGCAATGCCAATATTATGGCCGCACTTCCATTTGCTGTCATTGGATCCACTCAGGATATCCTTACACCTGACGGCCGCAAGGTCAAGGGCCGTGAATACTCTTGGGGTGTAGCTGAGGTGGAGAATGACGAGCATTGTGATTTTAGAAAGCTTCGTAGTCTCTTGATCCGTACCCACATGCTGGACCTGATCACCACAACAGAGGAAACCCACTATGAAAACTACCGTCAGTCTCAGATGGAGACCAGAAATTTTGGTGACTCTCGGTAAATACTTTATAATATTTTATTTTTCATCTCAACTAATAATTGTACTATCTCTATATTTTTTTGTTATGATTAATCTGTAGCTCTCAACCTAATGAGAATGCCAAATTCAAGGAAGAAGAAGACGCTCTTCGTAAGCGATTTACTGAACAAGTAAAGGGAGAAGAATCACGATTCCGTGCATGGGAGCAGCAGCTATTAAGTGAGAGAGATCGCCTACACAAGGAACTCGAGGCACAAAGTGAGCGTGTCAAGGAAATGCAGGCAGATATCGATGCATTTTATTACCAGCGTGATTCTCCCAAGGTTATCCGGAAGTAAAACAAGAATAGTAGTAACAATGATAGCTTGTTACTATGTTACCATATTATCGTTATTATATCTTGCCTGAATTTATCTCGACCTTCTTTATTACAATTTTTCTTATTGTTCTTTAATATATCCTACCGTTATAGCTTAGTTCTTTAAATACCCCTCCCTCTTTTTATTTTATTTTATTATTTATTTATTTTTATTATTTATTATTCTATAAACATTTTCTAAAACATGCTGTACCAGATGTAAACCAATAATGCTGCTACAAACACTCGGACTCCATATTCCACATTATCATAGCGATGATGGGTTACTCGACCTCCAGTCACCAGTTCTTCGAGAATGTCTTCGAGCTGATCTGCAAAGGCCTCGAGGGAAAATGTGTCCAAGACATGTCGACGGCCAGCCTCTCCCATGGCCTTGACATCATACTTTTCTGTTATCAGGTCCCTAATTCCATTGGCCCACAGTTCTGGTGTGGGAGGAATCAAGAGACCTGTCAGGGTATCCTTGACAGATTCCAGGGGACCTCCATTATTACAGGCAATGACAGGCACAGAACAATACATGCCTTCAACAGGTGTGATTCCAAAATGCTCATTTGAAGGCGTATAAAGCAACATCAAGGCATTGGCCAGTAAATAGGTTCGCTGGGCATCATTAAAAGAACACACAAATACCACCTGAGCATCTTCTGGAGGCTTTTGATCAGAAGAAGGGTGGATAACAAATGTCTTTAGGCCGAATTGTGTTGCAAGATCATTGAGACTTTCCAAATATTCTACGTTCTCGGCCACACGACGATCATACCCACCTAAATTATTATGATCATTATTATTAGTATTAATATTCCCACCATCACAAATAACATTAACGTAAATAAATAAATAAATAAATAAATACATATAAGTATTTATTTGTTAAAGTATAAAGGGAAACATGCTTTACCTGCTAAGACCAAACGATATGTTCCAAATGTAGTTGGATCGATGAGGCTATCTGTTTTCAGAGCAGCAAAGGCACGAAGGGCAAGTTCAACATTTTTCTTGCGTTCAAATCGATTAATAGATAGGATGATTTTGTGGTTTCTGTTAGTAAGAAGAAGAAGAGAAAAATGTTAAGTTTGATAAAGATATTCAAATGGTTTTCTTGATTATTATATTTCTTTAAAAAGAAAGGAATATAGCATTACGTTTCCAGTAGCTGGACCGAAGGATCACTGGTATCTACAGCACGATCATACGCCTGGGTGTTGATAGGAGGGTAGAGTATACGGGGTGTTTTGAATATCGAGGGGAAAGATCGTCTAAAGATGCCAGCTGTAAATCCACTGTTTACAACTACTGTGTCTGCCATGCCTACAAAAAATATATATCCTCTTAAAGGTGAGTATTTCTACAGCAACGCTATATTCTTTGCTATTTGGGCTTCTGTTTTATTAGCTTATTTTTTTTTTGCTTAACCTGTCGTCCACTCCTCAAGCTTATCCAAAGGAACTCGGTACAGCTGTTTAAGTGTAGATTCTCGGCTTGTAAGTAACTTGTCAGGGAAATGACAATAGAACATGATCTATAAAGGAAAAAAAAAACTTTATCTTTTAATAAATAATATCCATATATGTATATATATTGTATAGAGATATGTGATTTTTGATATTAAAATTCCAATTAAGCTTACTTTTGCACTACTAAACCAGGTCAAAAGTGGGAGACAAGCACTCAATTGATCTACCACCATAACATCATAAGAATCCTTCTCCCAGAGTAAGATATATAATGTCAGGACCAATTGGCGTAATATGGCGCACACTATATAGAAACGGCCAAATATACTCCGGGGTAAACTATTGCCGTGAACAGACACACGAAGAGTACCTATAAATTCATATTATTGAGTTGAATGTTGTAGAATTTTGAAATTTACCATCACGCGTTTCCTCAAAGCAGTGTTTGGGGTCATGATGACTAGTATAAATAACTGTGTGATGACCCTTTGACTGGATTCCTGTGGCTGCATCAACTACTAGTCTTTCGGCACCACCTGTTTTTGTTTTGGTATTATTGTAGAATGAGTTTATTGATTCCGAGTAAAGTCAGCATTATTTACCTATGCCCAAGTCAGGATGTAAGAATGCTACCCTGAGACGAGGTTTTGTCTCCATATTATCGGTCGCCATTAGTTTATCTTTTTTTTTCTTTTCTTTTCTTTTTCTTTTTGTTCTTCCTTTCTTGGAAAGTAAGCTCATTCATTAAAAGTCACGGCTAAGAATTAAATGAATTGTACTCTGTATGAGGAGCCAATGAGATTCGAGATTTTAGGCTTATTTGCTTTAGAATCAAAATATGGGGGTCATTGAGACTCTGATTCAATAAATTAAATATATATATATATATTATTCTGACACTAACACAAAGTAGGACCTTCCATATATTGCATTTTGGAATAAAGGGGTAAATTTATATTAAGATTTATACACAATATGATCTTTACACTTTGTATATTTGGAATCATTTCCAAAAGAGAGAGAGAGAAACAAAAAAAGGATAGTCAGATTCATTAATGATAGTATGGTCATTATGGATTTTTGATTCTTTAATCTTTCTATTAAATTTTGAGCATTTTATTTGTAGCTTCCATACCATTTGAAGAACTACAAGCACAGCCCTTTATGTAATTATTCCACAGATCCACTCCAAAAAAAAAACAAAAAGAAAAACAAAAGAAATTCAAAGAGTAAGAGCGATTATGTCATTAATACTGGTTGACTTTGTTCATTCTTGTAAGAAAAAAACATATATATTGCTTTTGGGATCCAATAAAGAATTCTCTAGGTGAACAAGTATTTATTGTCACATTCTGGAGTACATCCAATATTTTGTGATTTGTACACAAGTTCGCTGTTGTCAAAGTTCAATTTCACACACATTAGCTGGGTTGAAAACCTGCAAACAAGTGTAACCTCCCCGAGACTTTGACTCGCTTTGTAGACTTTGCACCCAATTCAAAACGTCATGTTCCCTCTTCTCTTTATATACATATATACATTTTCTCCCTTCTTCAAGAATAAGCGCATAAACGCACGTGATTCATAAAGACCAGGAAATTATGATCTAAGCATTGCTACAAGTTCGACTACAGACTCTTCTTGTTCTTTTATTATTATAATTAATATTAATATTATTCTTACTCTTATTATTATCTTTCTTTCTGGTAATTTAATTTAATTTAATTTAGTATATATATATTATATATAAATATATATATATATATATATACATACATATATACATATATACATACATATATTTCATTATGGCTGCCAGTTTGGTCCCAGTAACACGTCTTGCGGACTACTTTTTTGTTGCCGGACTTCACGACGACAAGCTTATATCAACTTACGAGGATGCCAAAAAGGGTGAGCCTACAGGAGCCGATGATGTTTATTACGATCAGCAGAAGCAGGCTGCTGCTACAGACACAAACCCTGCCTTTCTTTCCAGCTCCCCTCCACCCCAAGCACATGTTCGACCGCGTGGGATGAGCTCTCCATTAGAGTATAATGATCCCAATGATTCATTTTATGACGTACTGGACCATGTCCAGTCAGTCATTGACACATTCGGCAAAGACAGAGACTCTGCCCGTGATGTGATTGCAGTCAAAAAGGGAGCTACCCACAGAAGCGAAACTGCCCCCATAGTATCACGCCACAGTTCAGGTGTACGGCGTCAGTCGGCTAGACAGCGATCTTTGCGTTACTCAAAAACATGGCGTAGTATATCAGAGGCAAATACAAAAGGTAAAATATGATGATAATAAACTACAAGTGTTAGATGTAGGTGTACCCCTTCTCTTTCTATTATTCTTTTTTCTTTTTATTAATTATTTGTCTTTATATATAAAAATAAATAACATGATTAGGTGATACTGGTTCAACTCGACCAAGATCTGTTTCTCTTCATCAAAATGCCATATCATCACCAGAGCAAGAACCGGTACCAAAACCGACGGAAACATCTAAGCCGATAATACCTAATTTGCTCGAGATCAAATATATACCCAATGTACTATCTCGTTACCCAAAACAAGATTATTCAGTCAACGAACAATTTCCAGCATATGTTGCAATGGTAAAATGTCTTTTTTTCTTTCTTCTTCTTCTTCTTCTTTTTTCCTTTTTCAGCAAGCTACTGCAAACTACTGCATGTTACTGCAATTGTTGTTGTAATCATAGCAATACAATATATATATATATTCTGATCCACAAAATTTTAGTTTTGTTTCCCCAAAGATATATCATTACACTATGGAAAAGATCCCCCGGCAGAGCAAACTCATTCATTTGTAAGTACGCTTGTGAAACTAATGGGAAATAAAGAGGGGTATTTTTATCCCGAGGCTCATGTGCGTGTGTATATATGTGTATATGTTTGGGCGATCAAAAGGCAATGACAGACGAGAATGGAAGGTCGATTTATGGAACATGCGTTGTGTTTTATGAGCCGCTATCTCCAAAACTATATGATCCTGTGAACAAAGCAATCCAGGAATGGATTCAAGTCAACATGGTAAATTAATCGAAAATCTATATACATACACCAGATCTCTTGGGTTTGTGTGTATGTGTATGTGTATGTGTACTGGTGATTGATACTGATACTGATACTAATGATTAAATGACCACCGTTAGTCCGCAAGTACAATAGAATACGCCCAGCACCTTCAGGGAAAGATCAACGACGAACAACATCAATTAGAAGAGCACGGAGCTATGTTGGCTACCCTTGCTACACTTACAACCACGCCCGAAGTTCAAGCAGAACGAGAGATTCTTGAGGAGAAAGTACGGACCTCCCAAGAGAATTTGGCACTCTACAGCGAACTATTGGTGCCGGTCAGAATGGGTATATGTGAGGCAAAACACATCTGGGTGCCAAAGTGTGTAGGTGTCTTGGGAGGGATGCCATGGATGGATCTCTTGGGAGATTGGATCCGAATCCTTGTAGATGCTGTAGTGGGTGTTCGTGGCCATAAGCATGAGAATTCGGCAATCAATATTGAGAGGTAAAAAGAAGAAGAAGAAGAAAGAAATAGAGATGAAAATTAGAGAATAATAGAAGATTATGAGCCCAGATCAGATATATGTGTGTATATATATGTCAAGATAAAGAGGGGGAGGCCAAGTCTAGAGCATATTTAAAAAAAAGAAACTGTTTTTATTAAAGAGAGTTTCTTTATTTTGTGGGAGGGTGTATTTAGTGCTATCTATAACTTAATAAGGGAAGTACCTCTACCTTCACCCGGTCGGTTCGAAACACGATTGGTAATTCATCACCGATCTCTCTTCTTCTCTCGTCCAGCGATCAACCAGGTCCCAGTACTGAAGAATGTAAGACAGCCACTTAGCCGCTCCCATATACTTAAGAAGAAGAAAGACAAAAGACAATATGAATATAGTCTAAACTTCCATAGTTTTCATTATTTCCACTATTTCGGGCTCTATCGCCTCATTTGATACTTGTGGTTATAGAGGTAAGCTTTTGTATTAAAATAGATCAATAAAAACATACGGAACGTTTTCCTGGTATATATATATTCATTATTATTATTCCTTATTATTATTCTAGACGCTTTTATCTGAAGGAAAGGTACTCTTCTTGTCAAAGTGTGCAGGCATGCTGTCATTAGCAGCAGAGTCGTTTCGATATCTACTGTTTCCGTTTTACTGGCAGTTCGTATTTATACCTGTCCTTCCCGAAAAGCTTTTGACATGTCTCCAAGTAAGTATGGCCTGAATATATGACTTTTGCTTTATTTTATTTAATAGACAGCAATTAAAGTGTGATTATGGCTAGGCACCTGTACCTTACATTATAGGATATCAGGGCGAAATTGATGAATTGGACGAGCACTTACCTGATGATGTAAGTGTACTGCAGCCCCAGATAGATATAAACAGCCTTTATACCAATATTCTTTTTTAAATAATAATGATAATATTGAAAAAGAGATATTAAATTCCGGTCGTTTAGGTCTGCATTGTCAATCTAGACACCAACACGATGCACCAATCCCAACCACCAATGCCACTCCCCACACGCGCTAGACGAAAGTTACAGTCATCTTTAGAACAATATGCACCTCTCCACACCAGGTTCAAAGTGCCTTACGGCGTCCCCCTACCTGTTCTTGAAACATTTCCCAACGGTCGGCTCTTACTCAATTGTGGGCGCTCTAAAACACAGGATGTATTTGTGAGCCCTGCACAGAGACGTGATTCTGAGAGCTCAGATGGTTATTCTCTCATGTCACATCCTGCGTCTACCAACTCTAAGCCAATTTCTGGGTTCTGGTCGAGCAACAACAGCACCCGTAGCTCCAATGACTCTGTAACGTCGCTCCCGCTTGGTATCGATATGCCGGCCCCAAGTCTTCCACAATTCCCAAATTTTGCAAAACTGGCCATCACGACCCAATCATCTACGTCTTCGCCGGCTCCTCACAGCTCAGTCGTATCTTCACCCCAGCTAGCACCCCAAAGAAGCACGCCGTCTCCGAGTAGATCTTCTTTACCCACACAGGGTGTATCTAACCCCCAGAAAGAGGCTGGGGAAGATAACAGACGGTCGGGACCTCCTCAATTCAAATCTAAAAACAATAACCAGAATTCTAACAGTAACCAGACAAAATATGCCGAGAGTATACAAGAGGTTTGTTATATAAATACAATACTTAATTCACACACTTTATATTGCAATCTTAATCATGTGTTTGTTTTTTTTTTAAAAAAAAATTAAAAGGGGAATGGTATTAGACGGTTATCTGCACTCATGTCAAAACCACGCGCTGTATTTCAGGTAATTCGAATCACAAGAGAGAAAAATATGATAATAAATTCTAATGATCTGATACATTGCCCTTTATAAGCAAACCCATCATGAAACAAGTGAACCTCCGTCTGCTTATGCTTCACCACATCTATTGGTTCCAAAGGAACTCGAGGCCTTTGGTAACTTGGATGGGACACAACAACAAAACCATGAAGTTTTGCGACGCGTTAAGCATATTGAAGGGCATACGATGGTTGAGATGCTACATCATGAACTTTCAAATTTCCATGGCCACAGGTGTGTATGTGGACAGCAGGTAGGAGAAGAAGGTATGGGAGTTCTCCAACGTCAGCCTGTTTTCATGTATTGTCAAGGTAAGAAAACAAACTATATTTATATATCATTGGAATTTGTTGTTTTAATAAAGAAGAGATAAAGATATATAGATAAATAGATAAAAGTATGTATGAATAGAGAGATATAGATAAATTTTAAAGGGGTTAAGGGGAGAGAAGGGTGAAGGTCTATTACAGAAAGAGGGATAGTGTTGTTGAATAAAAAAGATGTATATAATTGTATATAATTATTTTAGATTGTCATTTGGTTACCCATGCTGTCTGCACCAGTCAAATATTACACCCCTGCCTCCCGGCATGCTTTGATGAGGCCAAGATCCAAGCTTCCTTTTTGCGTATGTTCGCCTCACTCCTCTGCAACTATCGATCTGGAATTGTAGATGGCGTGCAGGAACATGGCGGAAATGGGTTCGCCGCCTCGTTTGCAGAGTATTCAGTCGATAAGAACGGGGTTCTTTTCTTCTCAAAAGACAAGTTTTTAAAGCAATCCGATAAAGACACACGGGTAAGAGAATCGATTAGTTTAGTTTAGTTTAGTTTAGTTTAGTTTAATGTGTCTTGGTTTGGTTTGGTTTAAGTTGTGGTTTTGAGAAGATCCTAAAAAGAATCAACGATGGTAACAACGAAATAATATTTTATACACTGTTCATTATAGATATTCCTGTCCAATCTAGCCAATTCCCAAATGTTCAATCAATTCATTACCGACAGACTAGCAAAGTCTTCCAAAGATCCTGAGATTCTTGTGTTTGATGAGTACATCAAATTGAAGCTGAACCGATCAAAGCTAAAGTTTGTCAAAGAAAGCACACCTTTTCTTAACGTGAGTTTTGTATAGCTATCATAAGTTCTGCTGTTCACTGACATGCCCTTATTCTGCGATTAGGATGACTCCTATCGTGTTTCCCAAACAGTTAGGGCTTCTTCTCCAGATGATATTAGACATGGTTGCCTATGTAAGTTTTCTTATTGGTTTTTATTGGCAAGCGATACATTTAACCTATATGAGACTAATTCAGCATGTGAAAATTCTAGATACAGGAAAACGCTTCCCTATTCATCTACAAATAATGGACGATTAAATATGTCCTGCAGTATTTCTTCTTCTCGTTATTTTCTTATACTCTAGATTACTTCCTTAGCCCCCTTCTATCTCTCTCTCTCTCTCTCTCTCTCTCTCTCTCTCTCTTTCTCTATATATCTTCATATGTCTTCCTTTTCTCGCCCCGTTAATAGTGGTAGTAATGATAATGATAATAATAATAACCATAGTAATTATAATAATAGTAGTAGCAACAACAACAACAACAATAATAATAATAATAACAATAATAACAATATATTCATACATTCATTCATATTAATTCATACATTCATACATGCATACATACATATAATAACAATAATAATAACAATATGTATAAATCCGTAAAAAAAAATTAATTAGTGACAAGTTTCCCGCTTTCTGGCTAAGGAGAGCTAAAATACACACACACACACATTATCCTTTCTTTCTTTTTTGTCTTTAAACAAGAATAGCCCTTGGTGGCTATTTTTGTCATGGAGCTGCAGTGTACCTTTTAGAACGAAATAGACATATATATGTGTGTGTATATATATGTATATATTTCCTTGAATGTTCAGAACTCAACGACTATGTGAATATGCAGGCCAAAACAAAAAGAAGAGAAAAAGAGAAAGAAAGAAAGAAAGAAAGAAAGAAAGAAAACCTTTAATAAAGATAAGTTGACAAGGCAATGCTGCATGTACAAAATGAAATAAAATGAAATAATATAATATATAATATATACAGTATGGGTATTGCTTATTATTATTAACCTGCATTGATCATCTACACAGCACATACTATTTTGTTTTTTGTTTTTGTTTAAATAATAGTAATAGTAATAATTTCACAATAAGGGTAAATTATGTAGTTTTATAATTAATTTTGAATCATAGCAACAAAGTGCCATACATGGTTATGTGCACAGGCAAACGGGTTTTTATTTATTTTATTGTATTCGTATTTTCTGTAAAGATGTAGAAACAAATAAAGAAACCGTGTAGCCCAGACTGCTTTCTAGTTGATAACACTGCCAAAGCTGGACCCTGGAAGGGCAAATGTCATCCCGGATTTTCCTACTTTTTTGTCTTGGTCTATGTACGCACATATACACATAGAAAGAGATATACACAAAAAAAAAAGAACATTAATAGCCAAATACTCAAATACTCAAATACTCAAATACTCAAATACCAAAATACCAAATACAAACACACATTAGGTCTGGTGATTTATGCAAAATACGGCTAGCTTTTTACGAAAAATAAATATGCTAAATCTGCAGGCTTATTTTGGGGTGATGGGACAAAAGGGTAAAATGAATTTTCATTTCAAGGGGAGGAGAGAGAGGGGGGGTTAAGATAAAGATAGAAAGAAAGAGAGAGATAGAAGGAGGGAGGGGGGTATAGGAAAGGAAAGGGCGGAAGGGCGGGATAGACAAGCGATCGTCTGTAGAAAGATCGTGGAACAGGACCTTATTGTCTATATTGTCCTTTTAATACTCTCATACACATTATATAAATAAGTATTGCTTATATTTGTCTCTTGTATTATTTTCCCTTTATCTTAATATGAAGGTTGTACAAGATACACATATAAATACTCTTATATGAAAATAAGAACGAAACCCTGCCGTTTTGAAATCCTACTGTCGATCTTTACAGCAAAATGAGGGATTCGAGTGCCATATCTGCATGTAAAGAAAATAATAATATAATATATATATATATAACTATTTATCTATTTTATCTATTGATACATTGATATACATATATAAATATATACATATAAGTATATATGTATATATGTATATATGTATATATGTATATATGTATATAGATATTAGTTGCCAGGGGAAGGGAGAAGGTCTAGCCTGTCGCCATCATCGAGAAAGCAACTGGATCGGGATACTTGTTGAATATTCTAGGACAGCTAGACCACGAAGAATCCCAAAGGCCCACGCTGGCTAAGGAAGAGGAGGGAAGAGTCTAAAGACTAGAGTATAAAGCATGAAGCATGAAGCATGAGGGTTTACTCGATAGATCCGAGTGCAAGAAAGAGGGCATGGAATGTGGCAATCTACGGGGAACAATAGGAGGACTGTGGGCTGAAAAGAGTAAATGACGGTGTGTGTGGTGTAGGGGATGACACGTTTCTGTCGCTCTAGCGAGAAGGAGTCTAGGCATTCAAACCAACTCGAACATTCATATTTCACACAACAGCCACTGTGTAGTAGAACGAGAAAGAAAGAGAGAAAAGAGATATCCTCAACCCCCTTGTCTGTATGTCTATTTTATTGCTCTCTTCTCTCCCATATCCCTCGTCCTCCTCCTCTCCTCCACCCCCTTCTATATCTAAATCTCCCCCGAAAATAGAAAGGTATAAAATAAAGTAAAGTAAAGTAAAGTAAAGTAAAGTAAAATAAGATAAAGGAATAATGTAATAGTGTAATAATGTAATAATGTAATAATGTAATAAGCAGATTTGCCACCCCTTCAAAGTTCTGTCTCTTGATCTATATATAAAGTAACCAGCTTTCCCATCATTGGATTCATTTCCTGTTTCCCTGCTTCCTCTTCAGTATCATATCCCCCTTGCATTGTATATATCACTGACTGTCCCCAAAATGGCCACAAAAGACTATCGCTTCCGGTAAATTATAAGATAAAGCCGAGTAAGGTCATCTTGAGACTCATCTTGTTGTGCATTCTAGGATTAAAATCAAAGAAAGACCTTTCAGTACACCCTTGCAACTCAGTGTATCCCAACAACAGCCACCACAACTGTACCAATTAATTCAAAAGATACAACAATTCCTGCAGGTAAGAACCAACAGTAACACCAGCATACAAAATATATTGACAGCCTCAGTAGGACTTGATTGTTGAAGACTACGCTATCATGATCGACAATCATCGTGACCAAGGCAAAAACGTGCTTTTGGCGGATGATTGTACCTTGCAGAATGCATTTAGTCTATTATCAGACCACGACCGTCTCGAGATCATGCTGTGCCGAAAAGCAAGTCCTGTGCTATCCGAACCAAAAGACCACCCCAAAGGTAATTACCACCTCTTTCTCTTTCTCGCTTAATTCAAAATCTCATTGTTCTTATAAAGACATAAACCTATTACAGCGCACCTCGAATGCCCTTGTTGACACAATGTCCATAATCAAACCTTCTGTACTCAGGTGGACTGCAGACTCCACAGAAAATCGTTTACAAATCTCAACCTTAACAACAACGACAGTAACAACAGTAACAACAACAGCAGCAACACCATCGGCATCAGCATCAGCATCAGAATCAACATCAACAACCAACGAAGAAAGTGTTCAAGGCATGCCACAGAACGCCTATGAATCAAAACACCTGTTGGATCGCAAGGATTCTGGAATCTCGCTTGACGAACCAGTCCACAAAAAGCAGCGACTCATGTCAACCCCGTCAAGGAAGCTCCCCGAGCTATCATCCCCTCTAATACCACACCATTCTAGTAGCTTCATCGAGCACAAATCTCCTATGATACATCCCCTCGACATTAGACGCACCTCCCTTTCCCCACCCTCTCCGCCACTACATGCCTGCGTACGTGGGATGTCTCCAAACCCTTCACCTGCAATCGTCCTCCCGGCAATCTCGTTTATCACCAGCGTCTCAGAACCACTCGACCTCCAGTTAGCCCCAATTCACCATTCTCGCTCGCATGACCCTGCACTTTCACCTGCTCGCTATCCTCTCTCGCCACCCACTTCTGTATCTTCTCCTGTCTCCCTCGCCCCTCTCCTCCCAATAAATACAGATCGTCAAACTGTTCAGTCTACCAACACATCTTTGGGACAATTTGTGTGTGATCGAGTCATCGACCTTGTAACTGGAAGGACTTGTAATCAAGCTTTTAGGCGGTCATATGATCTTACCCGGCATCAGACAACACACCTACAAGATAGACCATACCGTCACTGCGAACAATGTGGCAAGAAGTTTACGCGCTTAGATGCCCTTCGTCGCCACGAAAGAGTTCAGGGCCATCATCCCCCAAAGCATACCCAGAGTCTTTCATTTCATTCGACCCGACTGGACGAGGCAGTCAACCGATCTCAGCAGGCTAGAGCTCGATAGTTTTCCTTGTACAAAGTTGTTTATTTTCTGCACATAGTCCTTTCTCAATTCTTCTTTCTTTTTTTTTTTTTATAATAATCATCATCACTATCATCATCATCAGCTTCTTATTCTTTTTATCCTTTCCTTACATAATCTGCAAGTGTCCTACCATGGCCAATATCCACCCCCTCTTTTTTTTATAATACATATTCATCAAACATAATTTCACCACTTTGAATTCAAATTCGCCTCTTTTTTTTTTATATCTATTATGCTTCATAAATTAGCTTTATGCAGGCAGACACATAGAAAAACAGGATACAGTGCGTACCTCGATAAAGGAAAACAAGACTGTTGTGATCGATTCCAAAACGATGTAAATGCCTTTTCCACTAATCATCTGCACATTTTCCCTTCTCTTTCTTCCTTTTTTTTAATTGGATTTCTTTAAAGGTTCTTATCCAAGGAGGAAAAGTAAAGAGACCCTTAAATTTATATATATATACCCAAACCACAGACTTTCGCATCACTTCTTCTTTTTCTTTTGTCTTCACCCCTTTTACAATATACTCATATACTTCTTTTTTTCTTTAAAAAATCGTTACAGATGGCATCGCCCTTTGCAGGCAATAAACTAAAGTATAAGGACTATAAATGTGGTTATACTCTTTTCTTATTGTTTCTTTTCTTTTTTTAAATATATATCCACATCAAAATAAATTCCTTGGGCTCATTTCTTTTGCTGCTCTTTTTTTTTATGTATAAATGTGATTTGTGTACGTTCGTTTGTTGGTTTCCATTGTTATTTTTGTGTATATTTAACGACCACCTCTGCCTCTGCCTCTGCCTCTTCCACGGACCATAGCACGTCCGCGTCCACGACCTGCGGGTGCTATTAAATAATAATAATAATAATAATAATAATAATCCGATTAAGCATATGCACAAAATGAAAATAATAAAAAGAATAAAAAAACACAACTTCTCAAAAATACATACCCTCCTTCTTCTTTGCCTTTGATTTGGGAGTGTCATCAATCAACAATGTGTCGAGTGGCAAACTATCGGGGAGAATGACGCATCGAACATTGTTACCACGGATGCTCAATGAGTCCAAGCTGGCAGGGTCCTTGTGCTTAACTGTCATCTTGACAGTCTTAAGATGGATGTTCATGCTCATGTCCACACCTACAACTCCGTTAATATTTGTGCACCACAAACCATTTATCATCAAACAAATCTATAATGATTGCCCAACTTACCAGTGATCGTGCCTTGAATGGTTGTACCATTCTTCAACTCGACGGACACCGTCTCATTGTTCAATTTCATCAAAAATCTGTAGAGATGTGTATACGGTTAACATTCGTGTATTTTATTTTTATTGCTTTGATGTTGTTCTTTTTTTTGGTTCATTTGATAGGAAGAGACGCGCCAACGAAAGAAATTGAAAGAAAAATGATAACATATTCGAATTCATCATAAATCCCTTGTTTTTTTTTACGTGGCTCGTCAATTTGTTATTTTTTTTTCTTTTGCTTTTCTTCCTTTGGTTTTAGATTGGGTCTATGGTCATCATGTGATTCATAACGCGACATTTCCAATTTATTGTGCCTTTGTCTTTTTTTTCTGGGAGGCCTTGCATAACTTGCCTGACCAACTTCATCGTGCTAAAGGATCTGGACACTTGTAACCCTGTCCTGTTCTCTCGTTGCCACTCCCTTGAGTGGTCCGCCATCTTTTTGCTAAGCCGCCTTGGTGTGCATGACGTTTAAGATCACGTGATAAAGCTTTAATTGCGGACCTCTTCTCTTTATTCTTAGTTCTTTCTTTAATCTTCTCCTCTTTTTCTATCAACCTCAACTTTAAATATATATATATATATGATAATAGTAATAATGATAATAATATATACTTCTTTAATAGTTGATACGTAGAAATTTATAATGCTTCAATTTATGGAGATCTCTAATAATTGTTTTTTTTGGGAGATTTTGCTTTAAAAAAAAAGAAGATAAATTTTGAGGATTTTCTTTTGTCTTTCTTTTTATCTCAATTTTTAGAGGAAAAGAATGATTTATCCTTAATAATTATATTCTTACAGGCCTTGTATATATTTCTTCTGCTTATGCTGCCGGGGATTTCTTGTAGGCTTCCCATACTTCTTCTGAGTTACGCATCTGGCTTTTCAATCGTTCTTTTTCCTTTGCTCTCTGTCGAAGCATACGCTGTTGATCGAAATAGAAGCCTCAGCGTACTCCCTCTATCTCTTTTTCTTTTTTCTTTGTCTTTCTGTTAAAGCATAAAACTTTTGTAACTTACGTCTGCTACTTCACTGGATTTAGTCTTTGCTGACATGCAAAATTTAAAATCGTCCCAACGGACCGAGCAGTCTTTCTTCTCGCCATATCGATAGTAGTTTACAGCTTGCGAACCAAGAGCTAAAGAAAAAATAAAAAAAGAAGGATAAGAATGAGGCTAAAGGCTTATAATGCTGTCAAAAGGTCACTCACTATAACATTGCCAAACAGAATCGAACGCTTGAGACGCACTGCATGTCATGTAGTCCTTGTTAATGTCATCATCAACTTCTTTAAAGAACGCAGTTGTGTCTTCATCGTGATGCTCTACTGGTTTTTCGCTCATTGTAGATCTATTTTTTTTTGTATTCAAAATTATATATATGCGGAGAGGTTGGGGGGGAGGGGGGAGGGGTAGTCTTTCATTTTTCCCAGATTTGTCTTTTACGGCGTGACTGCTATAATTCCTTACGGAGAGACTGAGAAAGAAAGAATATAATAGGCGAGTTCAACAATCTTTAGATTTTTACTTAGAATCCTGAGCTCACATTGCAGAAATCATCAGTTCAAGCTACTCTAAATTATATCAGTCAAGTATATAAGTAACAGTAGAGAGGTTATTAAGTTATGGCAAATTATCCATTCCTATATTTGTCAAGTCTGTCTTTCTTGGTTTAAAATATTTGAATTTCAGAATATGTATTTTTTAAATTTGTCATCGATTACCCCTCCAAATTCCCGGTATTTACAATTTCCGATAAGTCTTAGACGTCCAAATTGCTTTATAAGGGCGTTTTAGAAATTGGCCTGAATATTATATAGCACTTTTACTGTATTTCAAAGCGGCGATTAAATAGATAAGCGCTCACGTATCAGACTAATTTTACTCAATTTTTGATGCAATGATCCGTTGTTTTTCGTAGAGGGCAATTGCACTAGGTAAATCCTATAGGATTCAGTCGATATACTTATGGTAGTTTTATAAAAGTAAGAGTTTTTTAAGAAAAGCTTTGTATGCTACTTTGAATAATGTACATAATACAACTTTAAATATCTTGATAACAAGCGTAAAAAAAAGTAGCACACCCATTAATGGAGTGCTTGAAGATATGTGTGTATAAACGACACGGTATAATTTTTCAATTGATAAAAAATGTACAAAAAAAAACCAAAATATGCTTTAAAAAACGGTGGGCCAAATGTTTGTATCAGAGGGTAAACAGATGAAGACTAAAAAAAAGGTCAAGCTAAAATATATCGAGGAGCCAAACAAGTATAGAAATTTAATCCACAATAAGTAACAGTACGTTATGCCATTGATTAAACTTAAAGTTTTACAAGTCTATAGATGCTTCTAAAGCTCATTCGTACACTTTAAAGAATATTGCTCATTTTCATTTTTCATTTTATACACTTGCTTTGTTTTCTAAGATTCTACAGGCGTATACAAAAAAAAACCAAGTACGAACTGCACTATATTTATCTCTTTTCTCTCTCTCTCTCTTGAACATAGAAACAATTTGCAAACAATTGTTGTGGACAGACTAAAAGTTCAAAAAAAGGGTAAAAAAAGGGTAAAACAACTTAATCCAGAACTTAGTCAATCAGACTAATTTATGACTGTCCACGCCTTTTTTTTAAAAAAAAAAAAGTTCAAAGTTAGTTCAAAATACATATTAGATAAAATTGTGCATATAATGCCGTCACTTTCATTAAGTGAGAACCTTTTATTGCGAGTTTTTTTAGACCTCTCATTGTATGGCACATCTTCTCCATAAAAAATGCTTCTCTTCTCAATCCTAGTGACAATGGAAGAAAACTAGCTAATTAGAGTCGATTAAAAATTTTGCCCTTTTTTTGCCCTGTTTTTGCCCTTTTAGTCTGTCCACACCAATAGTTTATTCAGAAATTAAACGAAAATAAATCCTATTTTGTACCAATAGATGAGAATTCTTTGTACTTGTGAATTTGGATTAACTATCGCCCTTTTTCTTTTAAGGGAAAAAAAAGAAACCTGAGCCTTTGGTGTTCATGACACCAATGATTACCTAATTGTACCATCATTGTTGTAAAATATAATATCAGTCTATTTCAAGAATAATTTATAGTACAGGGATTTGATCCAGATATTTGGTTTTTCTTCTTCTTCTTGCTAATGCATAATACAAAAATATCTGATTGAATTGAGACTTATTATTTGCAAGGTGAAAGTATTTACGTTATTTTGATGCTCTTTAATTCTAAGCATGTATAGATATATAGACATATATACACACACACATATATATATATATTTATTTATAAAAAAAAGTTCCTTTGAAATATCCTTTTGTAAAGGACTGTGAATATTTATTCAATCTCATTTACCTATTTTCATGTGATTATTAAAACTATCTTGTGTATCGATATGTTGAGTTTGTGAGAGTATGAAATCAAAACGATTATATTTCTCATAAATTGAGAGATAAATGCATATGTAGAAAAGAGACTTTTTTAGAATGGTGCTAGAGCCCTGGATATACATGATATATAATTAAATACATGCACAGTTAATGTTGTTTTAATTTTATCAAGTAAAGGGTCGTCTAGGTTACATGATCGAGATTGCGTTATATATTTATCTCTATGGTAATCTTTCTTTAATTTAATAACCAATAAATTTTAAGCCCTGTAGAATACCCACAAGCCCACACACTATATCTTCCTCTCTCTCTACGTGTGTTTATATGTAGGATCTTTTTAGTAGGAAAAAAAAACTTTGTGCTATATACTACTACAAAGTTAATACATAAATAAATAATATTACATGTGTATATTTTTAAAGTAATATTTAATAGTATAAAACTTGTGTCTATTAAAGGTATGGTATTTGATCTATGTACAATTGTTGGGGCATGATTAAATACAGCACTTCTTTATAAACGATTGACGATAGAGAGGGTCTAGAGCGTTCTTGGAGTATGTGTTGGATTATTTAAAAATCCCAAAAGGATACTGGCTCATCAACTTTAAATAAACTTCCCACGTGTCTTTTACCACTGGAAACGAGCATGTTTTATGGTAGACTATAATCTCAATAAAGATGTCTTTCTCCTATAAGATTTGTCTATAAAAAAACGTATTCTGTATTCTGATCATAGTATATAGCAAATATACCCTTTAATAGGTATATAAATACCCAAGACGTTATTCTAATAATTTATATGCTATGGAAATCCGTTACAATATCTATAAAGATTGTACTTCTTTAAATATATAAACAAAATTTGCCAAGCCCTTATGTTTTTTTTTTTCCTTTTTTTAAAAAAAAGAGATGTATAGAGGAAAAGCCACTACCCAATATCTCTACAGTCTATTACCAATTTGTGAATAAGAAAAAAAAAGCAAAAAAAAACATCTGATGCGTTCAGTGAACGAATGCACACACACATATATTTATTTACATTTATAGACGTGTGTATTTATCCATTTATTTTTCAATTTCATTTGTGTACCATAATTGTTGGTATCAAATATCTGTACACAAAAAAAATTAAAATAAATTGTGTTACTTTGTCTTTTTGGGTAAAGTCAAATTGGCGTTACTTAGAGTCATTGTCGGCTATGGTGTTAAGGATTTAATTATTTGTTCTCGCTCTTGTAACTAATTAGTATGATAAGCAACACATTTTTTATGAAGATGTACACGAGAATGTCTATAATGAAGAGGGAGAAAGAGTGTCCGATCCGATGAAAGGCGTGTTGGCCAAAGTCAGTGATCCAAACGAAGTAAAATTAAAGTAACAGAAGGGGGGCTGAGGTTCATAGGTTGTTCTCGGTTAAGATGAATTACTTTAATCGTTTAGGAGTTGGATTGAGAAACATAATTTGAAGCTGAACGCGAGAGTTTATATGAAAGAAAAGTATGAAAAGCAGTTCTGTTTGGCTTATACTTACTGAGGCGTTTGCACTGTAATTAAGGAGGGGCGAAGACAGGCTATAAATTTAGCTACTAGAGTTTACATGCTTAATTATGTTTTTCATTGCTTATAAGTATTATTGAATAATATATGTAGAAGCAAATTTTATATTCCTCTCCTATAGGATTATGTCCAAGGTATCCTTCAAAGATAAAATAAAATAAAACAAAACCTCTGTCAAAGGTGGTGTTCCTTATATACTTCTCTAAAATATTGAGTTCTTTAATAAAGTAATAGAGTCTGATGATATTCAGGAATAAGATGGATTAATAGTAAAATGTAATAAGATAAAGCACTATCACTTTCCCAGAACTACGCCGTTCTTTTAACCATATCTTACTTGCTTTTCCTTTGCAGGTACTTTTCTCACAGATCTATCACTGATTTTATCAAGGAATAAAAGAACCAGAAGTCTGTTTCATATAAAAGGGTTGTCAGATTTTGATCATAGCAGTTTTATTTCAAAATTTAGATATACGTATCTATGAGAAAACAAATATTTCTCTAATGAAGTTGAGTCTTTCTTGAAAGATATAGCATAAATACCAATTAACTGAAGTACAGATCGCAACAGCAGCATGACAGAAATTACAGCAGCCGAAACAGCAGCAGCTAGAGAGAAATTCTGGTTTTCTCACTGTTATCCAAATATTACACAATTTTTTTGTATATTGTAATGGTGAGTCTGTCATATTTTTTTAAAAAAAGTATTTGGGAATCGTGTTTGAAAAAGTGTATCTAGTCTCCAAAATATGTAACCTATATAGGCTGGAGAAGCAGCCTCCTTTGACCTGGAATGTAAAATGGGATAGGGATACCTTTGTTGTAAGTAAAAATTTAAAAAATCAGAGAATGAATGGCATTCTACGCAGAATTACTTAGGATACCCTGGTGATATTATTATTATTATAATTTGACATAACTTAAAGTTAATATCTTTTTAATAGATCGGAAGCTTCATTTAGAACCGTTGACTTGTTTTGGTAATTGATGTGTTAAGCACTCGCATATACAAGACATGTGTCTTACAACATAAAATGAACTTAAGAAGCTCATTTGGTGTACACCCACTCTTTTTAAGTATTGTGAAGCTTTACTGAGACAAATTAAAAAAGATCTAAAGCAGTATAAATATATTCATTTATTAGTAATAAAACCCACACAATGTTTTGATGGAAATAAAGGGAAACAGTTCCTATGTATATGCCTTTTCAAAGCAAGAAACCCACCAGCAATTTTATATCTTAAGTGCTTAAAAAGCCAAATATCCTTTTTGACGTTAGAGCGCTTCATTTTTTCTTTTAAAAGAGCCCGAAACTTCTCAACTAGGTTTAGCTATAGTGAATAAGAAGAAAAGCTCATTACTCTATAGCCTCTACTCCCAACTTCTTTTATATAACACTAGTACAGTGTAGCACCGATAATAGTGTGGGATGAAAAACGAGTTTTTTTTTCAGTTTTTTTTTACTGAGACAGATGTTCCTACAATCAACCTAGCCTAGTTGTTTCTCATGTTGATGTTAAACCAGTCCATTTACTAAAAACGCAGTTTCTAGTGTAATCCAACCCCGAGTTTTTTCACCTCATGAGCCACTCGTACCTCACTCGTAAATTATTATCAGAGTTCTTTACCTAGGGCCGAAGGTTGGCTTATTGATTGGAATGAGCATCCTGTTCCTCAAGTGGTGGTTCATTTGAGACTTTGAGATCTTGAAGTCCTCCAACTGCGATGTCACAGATTCAATGATGTCATCAGTACAAGAATGTCGATTTTTTGTTTTTCTATCATTTATTGAATGTGTTGCTCATGCTTAGGAGCAAATGAGTTAGGTCGACCAGGATTTCTTTCCGACTTTTTGTAAACTACCTCCTTGATTTCCGCGTAGTGCTGCCATACATGTAAAGCAGTGCGAGGGTTTATCCCAATATTCTCTGTATGCAAAGTTACTGTCCCTCTTTCCTTTGGGCCCTCTATCACTCGGTCAATATAAATATCTCTAGTCTAGTTTGGATATTACAATTTTTGTAGATGCTGCTATCGAATATTTTGGTCATTTTTATAGTTTTTTTTATTGTTTCATTTGTTGTATTTTCTCTCTCTGCCAGTTTGAGGCTCAAGTAGGACCTTTGACTCGTTATGGGTTCGAGTACTACATTTGGATCACTGACTTTGGTCAACACATCTTCCATCGGATCAAAAAACTCTTTCTCCCTTTTTATTATAGCCATTCTTGTTTCTTTCTTTATATACAAGATATTATCTTTATCATACTAATTAGCTATAAGAGCGAAAAGAAAGAATTAAACCCTTAACAGCATAGACAATAATAGCTGTCAGTAATGTCAATTAAACCTGGCCCAAAAAGACAAAGTAAGATTTCGAAAACGACAATCATTTGTTAACAAACGGGCAATCATTTTCCAGTCAGCGTCATCTAATTTTAGAGTAGAATACTGTAATGAGCTAGCTATCTGGGTTGATAATAAACATAAAAGAAGAGGGGGGGAAAACATTCCTCTTCAGTATACGTTCAAGTAGAGCGCTAGATATATATGTGAGTAAGAAGTATATCAACTAATGGTGAAATATCTTAATAGCATGGTCGTATCGAGAATAGTTGCTGCCTATATACGGAATGGCTTAGTCGGCCATAGAGTTTTGTAAGTACAAATAACGGTGTTTTATTTAGTCACACCACCGTTAAAGCTGCTTTCTCCAGTCTTAAAAAAGAAATAACGTAAAAATTCCCTCGTTCTTATTGATTTCTTTATTAAAGTAAATAATTCATCTTGGCAATAATATTACCTTTGACAGACCAAATATAATTAATTTTTTCTGATAAGGGTTAAAGAGAAAGTTACTAAAGAAAAAACAGGTGTAAAGTAGTATATATCAGTGTATATATATGTGTGTGTGTGTATACGCTAATATATCCCCAAATCTATTGTACATATATCGGTTAGTACTAATATTAACATTTAATAGACATTTCTTGAATATAATTACAGAAAAGCTAAAGCATTGACTTTCATTGCTTAATATTATTGATGCCATGTATTGGATATAAGTATAAGCGCTCTTTATGCCAAGCATTATTTTAATCTTAAATTATTAATAACGTATATATTTATAAAAATGTCTTTCTATTGACCAAGAGTAATTAAATAGAAGAAGAAGAAATAGAATGAAATCAGATTCAAGATTATTGTTGTGTTTCAAAAGGTGCCACACATATATAAGTTGCCTTGGAATACATTAGATACGACACATGTGTACAAAATTATATAAGGAACATATCACATAATCCAATAATCGTACAACTCCTACAGCACCATGTACAACCGTACAAGCCTTATTCCAATAGACCTTGAAAACATGATATAAACTATACAAATCTTCAAAAGAAATGTTATATAAATCAATGGGGTTTACATAACGGAGCACACAACTGAGAATGAACAGTCCTCAAGCACCGAGCCAAACACGAAAGTTTATTCAACAAAAAATAATAATATTTGTTTTCAGGAACAGTAAAGTGTGATCAATATGATCGTGGTAAGTCGTCTTTACCCTAACTTTATATTAAACATACCACAATATTCATTATAGCCCTTTAGCTGGCAGTAATACAAATTACTCGATTTATTTATTTATTGCTGTTCCCAACATCAGAGTAGGCTTTAAGGTGATTGAAATTGTTGAATTTGGTTCTAATTCATTGAATTCAACTCTTTTGATTTCAAATATAATTAAATTTTTGTCCCATTTTGTAGTAAAATTTTCCCGCCTAATTTTTTTTTGATTTTTTTTTTGATTTTTGATTTTAGTGAAACATGTCCATTCGTACGCTTCTTTGAACATTTTTCTACAAAGCCTATGTCCCTATCTTTGTATATGCTAATACTAATAGTTGTGGAGAAGGGTCTTATTCTCCGAAGGAAATGCGTACAAGCTTGGACACACAAGATCTATTGCACCCTTTTTTTATGCCAATGAAAATCCCCCCATTTTGTACCTTTTCGGACTAAACAAGAACATTTTCCAATTCTTTAACTTTTCGGACGAATATTCTACCGGGTTGGTTGGTTGGGTGTGGCTCTCTGTTTTTACCCCGCTGGCTACCATTTTTTTTTTATATTTTATATATGTATTTTTAACTAGCAAACATCCGACAGATAAGAAAACTACTTTCCGGGAGTTCTTTCCCGGTTCATTTTTATTACTTTCATTTTCTACCTTTTTTTTTATTTATTTTATATAATATTCTTATATTTGATTCTCTTTTGCTTTTGCTCTTCTTCTTTTTCTTTTTCTTTTTCTTTTTTCCTTTTTCTTCTCTTATATATATTTTTTTTACAATTTTTATTTTTTGATGGTACATGAGCCTATCCTCCTTTATGAGCACCATTGACGAAAACGAGAATACGAAGCAGAAACGCAATAGACCTTGTGAGTTAGATAGCTTAAACATAAACTCGAAAGAAAACAAGATAAAAATAAAAAGAGCTCTGTATGAATACCATAATCCATAATCTAACTCATATATCAAGGCGAAAACTGTCGTGCTCATCGCCGAAAGTGTATCGTATTGCAGGGAATGCAATGTGAACGCTGTCGAAAGATGAGTTCATGTTGTCTATTTAAATTTACGGCCAGGCCTCTAATGGCCAAGAGAGCAATACCTCTATCGAAAAAGAATCGAGTTTGGAACGAGATATGGGAGTTAGAGCAAGAAGCCGAGGATTTACAAGAGCAGCTCAGAGCTCTCCATATCACTGCCAAAGTAAACAAACGTCCTCGAAAACAACTATTGCCTACCAACAATTACAACACAGTGGAACAAAAAGTAGCACAGACAGAAAACACTGCCTGCGAATGTATCGATGCCTCAAAGTGCACCCACCTAAATCCCAAAAACTCCTATTCTGACCAATGGCAGCTCACACTATCTAAAACTACAAATGGAATCCAATTCCAAACCAATATAAATAATTTCTCTGACATGCTTGTATTTATCCGAGAAGCAGCACCATATCTATCTATATCACCGCAACATACACTTTCGTTTATTACTAAAAGATCAAAAGGCATGATCGTAACCAACTGTCTATTGAAGATTGAATCAGTAATCAGAAATACCTTCTCCACCACAGCTATTGAAAACGAAGAACCCAAAAACAGTATCATAGTTAAAAATCAAAATGAACGATATTTAGCAAAGCTTTTGTTTATCGACATATATTTCTCATGCTACGGAATGCTTAATCCTATCTTGATACACTATTATTATTACAACTATTTACGGTCAAATCCAGACTCTCTCCTTTCTACCTCAATCGCTGCCTTTGTTGGCTATTCGCAATGTAGACATGCTCCCAAGACCTTTGGAAGCTACACACGAGAAGAACTTTCAGAATCATTTAGAAAAGAAGCCCAGGAGCTCATGAGAGACGCATTGTTCGACAACCTCGACGGCCCAACTCTAGAGACAACCTTTTCTATAGCCCTCCTTTCTTTTGTATCTGTCTTGACGACAAATATGCAAGAAGCAAGATTGTACAGCTCGACTTCTTGGCGTATGGTCATCCAGCTCAAGGATACATACAGGCATATATTACACCTTCCTCTGTCAGAGGCTATCGAGAAAGTAGGTCCTCTTGGAATTATTAAAGCAGAGACATGGAGACGCATGTTCTATATTATCCGTTACGTCGAAACATACTTGTATATGATGCTCGACAACCTCAACGACTTTTCCGACATCTTATTCCCTATCGAAATTGGCCACCCGACACCTCTACCATACGAGATGGCTGACACAGCCATATACGAAGCCGTCAAAGTCTATTGCGACTATGTTCGACTTATTAGCATTTCTAAAGTATACGACAACGGAAAACACACCTCGGTTATATCATACCGTCTGCAGGCTGGTTCCTTAAAGGTCATTCCATCCAATGCTGTCGAGATGATCGAAAATCAGCTGTTTGAATTTTGGAATAGTCTACCGCCATCTCATCGAGTATCAGATCAGCCCATGAGCTATATTCAGACAGATCATATTCATCAGTGTGTCAATACACGTGTTCTCTACCTCAATGTTGTATATTATGTGAACTGGCTCAACCTACAAACCCGTATTATGGATCCACCAAAATATTGCGACCTCAGTGATGCATCTTTAGGATGTATCGATGGAAAACGAGCACTTATAATAGTATCCATGTCTTCTGATGCGATAGTGAAAATCCTACATGTTTTACATCTTCGTCTACCTTGTGCACTTGACCTACATCTGTTGATTCTCGCAATCGACGCCTTGGCTTTATTGAGATCATCGCCTAACCGAGATATTCGGGATCGAGCAGACCAGGGTCTTAAACAAGCCATCAAGGTTCTCCATGACCGTGCATCGCATGCCAGAAGTCCGCTTTCGTCTCCTAGCTTAGCAGAAAACAATTGCAATAGCCGTTCATGTAGTCCTGAAGCTATGCAAGAAGCAAATGAAATTAGTTGGAGTGTAAGCAGCTGTTCAAGTGTTTCTGGTCCACAGTCTCCTGGAAACACGGAAGATTACACGGAAACGATTCCTGTAAATTACGAAGGCGACAAGATACATTCGATTGGGTATCTTGGCTGGATGAAGAAACAACTAGGGTCGATCTCTAATGATACCCTTTAATGCTTTGGTTAATTTCTTTTCATCTAATTTCTATTGTGTATTTTGTTCTTTCTACCAAGTAGATGTTTTGTTTTGTACATAGTACTTTTCCTTTTCTTTTATTCTTTGAACTTACCCTACCCTACCACACATCGCCCTACACCTCTCTACCCTACCCTCTCATTCACTTTTCATCCCTCTTCAGCTCTTGCTCCTTAATTCATTCTTTTTTTTTACTTTATTTTATTTGGCCTTTCCACTCTCTTTAACTATCTCACTTTCTACTCTCTTTTATTCAAGGCCTATTAGTTCATTCATTCATTTTGTCTTCATGCTTACTCTTGTTCTATATTCCAATTATGAAAACATCATGTCATCATTAGTTCCTTTCTTTTTTTTTGAATTGATACCAAAGTATATGGCTTTATTATCCAAATACTAGACCGTTAACAAACCTTTAATGTGTATTAGCCCACATACACACACACACAAACTTTATTCTAAAAAAGTAAACTTACTCACATTAGCATATCTTCATAATTAATTAGAAATTTGTGGAATTAGAGTAGTTTCTGTGTGGTCTGTGTTTATTGAAAATAATACCTTCTGTACGAGGTATCATTTACCCCCTTTCTATTAATAATAATAATAATAATACGTGTATATAAATACTGCCCCAGGCGTCATTTATGTAGGCATTGTATCTCTTTAATTAATAATCTCTGATATATGTGGCGTACCAGTGCACATGGCGATTATTATGGTACCAGATTCTGTGTCTAGAGCGGAGGTCGCCTTTTAAGCCTCGTGGTTGAAATTGCTGCAACTAGATTTTTTTTTATTTTTTTTCCTTTTTTTGACTGCCCCCACACTCTGGAACATATTGCTATATAGATTAGATTCATCTAGAAACAAAAACCACGTTTTAAAAAGATAATCCCTCATCTGTGCTTTTCTCAGTCCACCCAGAAATATTATCTTTAAATATTTTATTTTTTCATTATTATCGGTTGTTTACTAGAAGATAAAGGTTATGTATCTGGATGTCACAGCATGTATATGTATATATATATATATATATATATATATTGTTTTGTTGTATTAGTTCTGATGAATATATACGAAGCCTAACTCTCTGTTCTTAACAAAGGCGGCTAGGATTGTCTATAAAGTGGTGTTAAATACAAAATGTATACATATAAAAGTGTCGTGCTGTCAGACTAAAGAAAAAGAAATGACAGAAATCTAATTTTGATTTCTCGTTGTCATAGTAATCGAATTCAATATGTAAAGCCAATATTCATCTTTTAAAAATAATAATTAATTAATTAATTAATAGCTGAAAATTATATGGTAATGTAGATCATCTCAATTATTCTACAAATGTGTATATTCAAAAGTTAAAAACACCATGACTTCAACTGTTAATAAGATGAGCCTGTTCAATATCAAGAGTATTATTAAAGATTCCAAAAAAAAAAAACACCCTCAAGTGGATACCCATTACCTACAGAAAATATTAAATGGACAGAGAGCAATGTGGGGCGAGAGGAATAGAGAGAGAAATTTTGTATAAATTATATAAATGGATCGATTTTTTCCCTACATGATCATTTGAGATTTGCATTATAGATGAAGATAATCCATTAAAGAAGAACTTTGATCATCTAGATCATTTGTTGGGGATTAGCTTGTGTATTGTAACTCGCAATGTGATGTTAAAAGAAGAAACAAGTAAAGACGATTAGAATTAACCTAGTAACATTAATCTAATTGATGAAAGAAAAAAAGAAGATCATTTTTTGGTTTTGTGAGTCTCATTTCATCTCAGTTTATTGTAGTGGATAAGTGGGTAGTGTGGAAAAGACTTGAGTATAGATTTGTGAGCGGCTCTACTGGAGGACTGTTGTTCCGGACATAAGATGAGCGAGGGTATTAAGCCTTGGTCAACACTCCAGATTTTAAGACCATTCAACATATTTGCTTGGATATTAAGATTTGTGAGTGAAGCAAGGGCCAACCAAAAGATAATAATCCAAAAATGTTTGCTGAGTCTTCGGTTCTATTATGGTTGAAATGAAGTATGTACGTATGTATGGTTTGTGCTTGATTTGGACCAAAGGCTTTAAAACTAATCATGCTTATACTGTATAGTATAGATGTATTGTTAGCAGATGTGTATGTGTGTATATCATTAAATCTTTATCAACTCTTTAGATATCACCAATAATTAATAATATCCTATTGATTTATTGTATGAACCGTTTTTATGATATGCATTTACATTATTTCTTAATGGTTTTCAAAGTATTTGGATATTTGATGTAAGAACTCACACTCTTTTAGTTTATTGATTTTTTTGTTGGGTAAGACACGCTAGGCTCCTTATGCTCTAGTCTCTTCGATCACTGATATCACCCTTAATGAATTCTTTTTGGCGTCTGCAAGAACATGAGTTGAATTAGGTCAACCGTCGATTATCATTTAAATTAATTGGCTATTTACTTGAACAGTCCTTTACAGCCTTTGCACCCGTACATAAGATGTAATGATCAATCAAAATGTTCTATATCCTCAAGCTGCCTTTCTCTTTTTGGTGCAGATGTACAGGGATATTAGATGTATTAGATATATTTAGATTTATATATGTATTTGTGTATGTGTATGTATGTGGGTGTAATGCAACACTATATACATATAAGGCTGGCTTACTTTTACTTTTACTTTTATTAGTTGCAGACAGTGGTTTGTGTGGCCATAATGTTTTCAAGCTTTTGTGATCACCAGTGCTTCCTTTATAGTTTTTATGAATGACAAGCAGATTTTGTTTGTTGCTTTTTGAGCTAATGTTTTCATGTCCAGAGTCATTTGATTGAATAAGACTTGAAATAGTGCACAACAAATACGTAACAAATGCCATGGACCAAAACAAAGCCAAAGCACAAATAATTTGCTAATCCCTTGATTCTTCTTCTTCTTTAAAAAAATAATTTATATATGATAAATCATCTATTCATTTTAGAGATGCTGTACTAGAAACATAGAAAAATGAAACCACCACCAAAAAATAAATAAAATAAATTGTTCCATAAATGTATCAATTTCTCGCCTTCTCTTTGGTCCAAAGACAATGTTTTATTTTTCTTTTTGTTCCTTTTGAAACCAAAGAAGAATAGGAAGCAAGTTTCTCCTCAAATGGGCAAGATTGGCTGTGTTCTATAGTAACTTCTCCGTTCTCTTTGATTTCAAAACATAGTGATTGAAAAACGACTTTGTTTCATTTATTCATTCATATCTTTTTAAATCAAATCAAATATATTGGATCAGTTTGTAGGTGACCAAACTATCTGGATTCTGTGGAAAAGCATGCCTTGAAAAAAAAACCAAGTTAAAGAATGGACGAATGAAAAGAGTTTGTTTTGAACAAATTAAGGAACAAAGGGGGGGTAAAGTCGGCTTGTTGATGCCGATCCAGCCATCCGTTTATGGCAAAACATTCATTTGTAAAAAGATCAATATTTGCACAAAATATTTAGCTTGAACTCATACACACACACACACACACACATACAGACATATGCGAATACATATAAGCTTACAGCAAAAATATAATATTTATAGTAAAAACAAAACCCAAAGCACAAAAACTCACTCTAGATAACTAGCCAAATGTATTCTAGTATCTGCCCTTGACTACTTGAGAAGTAGTGATGGTTAAAGTGCTTCAATACTTTTATATATATATATGAATTTGCCTACCAATATTTTTTTCTTTTTGCTACGAAAAAGTGGCGCATGCGCATTACATCTCCGACGCTGATTTTGAATCAGTAAATGTAGAATATCCGTATTGTAAAAACAGTGGCTGTGATTGGTGACCAGAGAAAAAATTTTCAACCCAATAAATAGGGTGCCTGATTGAATTATTGGGACCTGTAACATTTTTGTTCCCTCTTATCACCAACCCCCCCTTTGCGGATTCCCCCCTCTCGCTCGCTTCATATTATAAGAATGCCAGCCGCAGCCGCTAACAACAACACAAAGAGCACCATTGAGGTAAAGAAGTTTACCGCTTTGGCTGCCACCGCTTCCCCTTCCGAGGCTCAGTCTACCAAGGCTAAGGAGCTCCTCGCCAAGCTTGCTGGTGCCTCCGATGCCGACCGTGAGGCCCTTGCTGACGAGCTCGCTGCTCTCATCAACGCCAACGGTGTCCTGTCTCTCAAGCAGTTCAACGTTATCGAGGCCATCTCCAAGAACCTCGCCAACAAGAAGTCTCTTGCTGCCCGTCAGGCTGCTGTTGCCATCATCTCTGCCTTGACCACCAAGAGCATCAACGGTCAGGCCGAGCCCTACATCTTGCCTTTCCTCTCTACTCTCATGGAGCTCCAGGCCGACAAGTCTGCTGCCCTCAAGGTCGCTGCTGCCCAGGCCGCCAAGAACTTGGCCCTCAACGTAAACGCTAACGCTACCGCCGTCATGGTTCCCGTCATCCTCGAGGGTCTCGGAAACTCCTGCAAGTGGCAGACCAAGATGCTCTCTTTGAGCCTTTTGGATGAGCTTGCCAAGAAGAACGGTCCTCAGTTCTTCGTTGTCATCCCCGAAGTCATCCCCGTCGTCTCTGACTGCATGTGGGATACCAAGACCGATGTCAAGAAGGCCGCTACCTCCACCATGGGTAACATCTGTGCTCTCGTCGAGAACAAGGATATCGAGCGTTTCATTCCCGCCGTTATCAGCTGTATTAACCACCCCGAGAACGTTCCTGAGACCATCCACTTGTTGGGTGCCACCACTTTCGTCCAGGAGGTCGATTCCCCCACTCTCTCCATCATGGTTCCCCTTCTCAACCGTGGTTTGAACGAGCGTGCTACTCCCATCAAGCGTATGTCTGCCCTTATTGTTGACAACATGTGCAAGCTTGTCGACGATCCCGAAGTCGCCGCTCCCTTCTTGCCCTTGTTGTTGCCTTCCCTCGACAAGGTCCAGGAGATCGTTGCTGATCCCGAGTGCCGTGGTGTCGTCCAGAAGGCTCTTGCCACCCTCAAGCGTGTCGGTACCTCTGACCACGAGATCTTCTCCAAGGCCGAGAAAGCTTCCAAGGTCACCAAGACCTTCGAGGAGCTCTTGCCCGCCAAGCTCGATGCTTTCTACGCTCCTATCGTCAAGTACGTCGATGACATCGCTCTCGCTCTCTGCGTTGGACACCGTTTCTTCAAGAACGTCTGGCTCGAATCCGTTGCCCCTTACACCGCCGCTTTCTTGTCCAAGGAAGATGCTGAGAAGCTTGCCGTCAACGCTCTCGACAAGTGCGAGGAGGCCGTTTCTGCCAAGATCGTCGAGGAGGAGGATGATGAAGGTGAAGATCTCTGCAACTGCGATTTCTCCCTTGCCTATGGTGCCAAGATTCTTTTGAACCGTACCCATCTCCGTCTCAAGCGTGGTAGACGTTATGGTCTTTGCGGTGCCAACGGTTGCGGAAAGTCCACTCTCATGCGCGCCATTGCCAACGAGCAGGTCGAAGGTTTCCCTCCCAAGTCCGAGCTCAAGACCGTCTACGTCGAGCACGATATCGATGGTTCCGAGGCCGATACTCCCCTTGTTGACTTCGTCATTGCCTCCGAGGGTGTTGAGACCAAGGACCGTGTCCAGGTTGCCAAGATTCTCCGCGAGTATGGTTTCACTGAGGAGATGGTCACTACCATGCCCATTGGTGCTCTTTCCGGTGGATGGAAGATGAAGTTGGCTCTTGCCCGTGCCATGTTGATGAACGCCGACATTCTCTTGTTGGACGAACCCACTAACCATTTGGATGTTGTCAACGTCGCCTGGTTGGAGAACTACCTCTTGGGTCTCAAGACTGTCACCTCCATCATCGTCTCCCACGACTCTGGTTTCCTCGATCACGTCTGTTCCGATATCATCCATTATGAAGCCAACTACAAGCTCAAGCGTTATGGTGGTAACTTGTCTGAGTTCGTCAAGAAGGTCCCCAAGGCTGCTTCCTACTACTCTCTCGATGCTACCCAGATCCGTTTCGCTTTCCCCGAGCCCGGATACCTTGAGGGTATCAAGACCAAGGAGCGTGCCATTCTCAAGATGAAGAACGTTGACTTCCAGTACCCCAACACCGCCAAGAAGCAGTTGTATGACATTACCATGCAGTGCTCCCTCGCCTCCCGTGTTGCCGTCATTGGTCCCAACGGTGCCGGAAAGTCTACCCTCATCAAGTTGTTGACCGGTGAGATTGAGTCCGAAATCGGTACCGTCTGGAAGCATCCTAACTTGCGTATTGCCTACGTTGCCCAGCACGCTTTCCACCATATCGAGAGACACTTGGACAGCACCCCCAACGAGTACATCCAGTGGCGTTATGCCTCCGGTGAGGACAGAGAAGAGCTCGAGAAGAATGATCGCATGATCAACGAGGAGGAGCAGAAGGCTATGGCCCAGACCTTTGTCATCGATGGTGAGAAGCGCGTTGTTGAGGAGTTGGTCGGTCGTCGTAAGCTCAAGCAGTCCTACGAGTACGAAGTCTCCTGGATTGGCCGTTCTTCCGTCGATAACACCTGGATCTCCCGTCAGAAGCTCGAGGCCATGGGTTTCGGTAAGAAGATTGCTGAAGTCGATGCCAAGGAAGCCGCCAAGATGGGTCTCAACCGTCCTTTGACTGCCAAGGAAATCGAGAAGCACTTGACCGAGGTTGGTCTTGATCCCGAGTTCGCCACTCACTCCCGTATCCGTGGTCTCTCTGGTGGACAGAAGGTCAAGCTTGTCATTGGTGCTGCCATGTGGAACAAGCCTCACATGTTGGTTCTTGATGAGCCTACTAACTACTTGGATCGTGAGTCTCTTGGTGCCCTTGCTACTGCTATCAAGGAATACGGAGGTGGTGTCGTTATTGTTACTCACAACCGTGAGTTCTCTGAGGCCCTCTGTAACGAAGTCTGGAAGGTTGATGCCGGTCGTCTTGTTGCTTCCGGTCACAACTGGGTTACTGGTAACGGTGGTGCTGCTATCAAGGAGGAGGAAGCTGAGGACACCGTTGATGCTCAGGGTAACACTATTAAGGCCGTCAAGAAGAAGGAGAAGCTCTCTTCCAAGGAGCTCCGCAAGAAGAAGAAGGACAGAATGGAGCGTCGCAAGCGTGGCGAGGAGGTCTTCACTGATGAAGATGATATCTAAATCTTATAGACTCTGCTTTTTATTATCCCACACTTACTTTTATATATATATTTACTTTATATTTTCCACTACTTCTTTTTAATCTTCCACTAGAGTTGATTGTTTCAAAAAAATAAAATTGCATTTCGTGAAAATGATTCTCAAACACACCAAAAGTTTCAATATAAAAAAAATAAAATAATAAATTACATTGAAAAATAAGCCACACAATTTATATCTTATTTAATGTTTTTATTTATTTATATAATATATTCATGTATCAATGTATCAATGTATGTATACAAAAGTGAAGAAATTCAAACAAGGTAAAATGACGATAATGACAATCATAGTGATAGTGATAGTGATAATGAAATATCAAAAATTATAAGAATATGGGATTAATGCCATGATCCATTGATCCAAGGAATAGGCAAAGTTTTTTTTTTTACGATCTAGAACCGGAACTAATTGAGTCAAGAGTAACGGGACATACTTTACCAGGTTGATATCTTCCGTATTCAATGCCCAATCTCCATAATTACAACGCTTTTGCTGTCGTTAAAGATCTTTTACCATCAAGATCGAAAGTTCTGGTTACAGTTATTACTCACCTTCTTCTTCCCAACCAATTAACAATTTTGTATTTAATTTTTTAATTCAAATCTTCCATAGAGATTTGTACTCCGAGTAATAATGTGAGTCACACAAAAGCGACATTTTTTTTGATAATCCCCAACATACATAAATACTCCATCCTTTTTCTCGAAAAATAATAACGATACAATACCATCTTCTTCAAATCGTATTCAAAATGTCTCTTCATTCACTGGATACCAAGTCAGTTAACCCAGAAGATCCTGGAATCGATTATGGTAACCCACTCGATTATCCACCTCTTCCAAAGTTTCGCAAGGCTGTATACTTGTCAGCCATTGTAGCCGCCGTTGGTGGATTTGTGTGTGGCTATGATACCGGTGCCGTTTCTGGGATCCTGAGTATGGAGCCATTTCAAGCATACTTCTTTACTCCAGACAATCTTGTCTATCTCCAAGGATTGCTGCTTGCCTTGTTTTTGATGACTGCCGCACTAGGCGCTTTCTTCTCCGGGTTTTTCTGTGGTAGGTTACATTTTTTAAAAATGAAGATTTACAAATATCCCGCGATTACGCCAATATTAACTCATTACATATATATGTGTATTTTTGTGCACAGATCGATTCAGTCGAAAGTTTTCCATTATCGGTGCCTCCATCATCTTTTGTATTGGTATTCTCTTTCAGATCATCGGCCACAACTTTGGACTTCTCTTGACTGGTCGCTTGGTGGGCGGCTTTGGCGCTGGATTAATGACCAATGCTATTCCACTCTACCATTCTGAGATCGCTCCTCCGGATATTCGTGGCCGCCTTATCAGTTTCTTTACTCTCATGAGCACCTTTGGTCAGGTGGTTGGTTACTTCTTCACATTTGGTACTAGTTACCTCGCTTCTGATTGGAGCTGGAGAGCACCCTGGCTGTTTCACTTGGGCGTGTGCGCACTCTGTGGCCTAGTATTGACCTTCTTACCATTCTCCCCCCGCTGGCTCATTGATCACAATCGCCCCGAGGAAGCTTTGCAAGTCCTGGCCGATCTCTATGAAACCACAATTGATCACCCCGCTGTTCGTAAGGAGTATGAAGCCATCAGGTCTGAGATCGAGTTTGAAAAGTCTATGGGCAAGCGTACATATGCAGAGCTTTTCCAGGGTTCCAATCTCAAGCGTACTAGCATCGCATTCTTTATCTCTATCTCTACATCTTTCACCGGCAGTGTGGCTATTTGGTATTACGCTCCTCAGATCTTCCTCGATGCCGGCATGACTGATTCATCAAGCTCAATTGCTGCTACTGGTGGTACAGGAATATTTTCTTTCATTGCAGCCGCCGTATCACTCCAATGGTTTATTGATCGCTGGGGTCGTAAACCTGTCTTCTTGTCTGGCGCTGCTGTAATGGGAATCAGCATGTTTGTGGTCGGTGCTCTATTCCAGAAATTCGCCCTTGTTGATGTCGACACTGGCGTAGTAGCAGTGACCAACCCTCATGCCCGTAACACCATCATGGCGTTTATCTACATATTTGCTGGTACCTTTTCGTTCAGTTATGGAAGTGCTTCTTATGTATACCCTGCCGAGATTTTCAACATGCGTACCCGTGCCAAGGGTCTTGCCTTGACTTATGGTCTCAACTGGGGTTTTTCCATCTTGATCACTTACTGTGCGCCTCTTTTCCTTGCTCACACTGTCTCTGGTCTCTACTTCTTCTTCGGTGCCTGCTGTATCGTTTGCTTTGTCGGCTGCTGGTTTATTCCCGAGACCAAGGGCCGTACTCTTGAGGATATGGAGGTTCTCTTTGGCGCTGTTTCTTCTTAAATCCGTTCCGTTCCGCATTGTCCTGTTCTGTCCAGATCAAGCCTTTTTTGTTTCCGTCTTTTACTTTTTCCGTTTCCCCAGGCTATGGATTTTATGGTACTTGGTACTAGGTACACACTAACTGCATCTTTTTCTTTTTTTATTTCTCTTCTTCTACCTATTATCTTCTTTTTTTCTATATTATCTAGATCTGAATAAACTTCTACAGACGGAGGGACAGGGGAGAAAGAGAGCTTCGGCTCTTTTTCTTTCTTGGCCTTCTGTTCTTAATGAACGTCATGGCTCAAGGGGTGCTTCTCTGCATGGGAAGATTTGATCTTTCTGTGTGGATTTGCTGAGATAATACCCTCAATAGCGGATCAGGTTAATGCCTGCGTCGCGATGATGCCATGATGCTTCGGGAGGGAAGTCGAATGCCTTGTGCACAGGCGGAACTCTGCGAAGATGGGAGAGATGGAACGGCGGGGAAAAGAGGGGGTAAAGGGAGATAGCCGTGTGTACGTATGAAAAACGAGGTCTTGGTCAGAGCAAGTGAGAATGAGAGTGAAGATGGGAGTGAGCGTAAGTGGGAGAGTACAAATATGCGGGAGTGAGTAAGGAATATATTTATATATGTGTATATTGATATGTACATCAGTTAGTGAGTGTGTATACGCTTATGTGAGTGAGTGAGTGAGTGAGTGAGTGAATGTACGTTATGATATGTGAATGGTTGGAGTTGACTTGATTGGATCCAGTACTTTTGAGGCTATGGTTATATTGGTAGAAACTATTGTTATGTCTATTAAAATTTAATATCATTTATTCATTTGAAAAAACTTAATAAAAATACATATTCTACAATCCCCATTTTGTCCTTTTCAATTTTTTAATTTTTTAATTTTTTGGAAACAAAATGCTAGAAATCTCGAAATTATTATGATTACTATTATGAAATCCCATAATTCTGCTCGCAGATGTAAGATTCCAAAAAAAAAGCAAGAGTTACAGAATTATAGAATTACACCGACTTTTTAGAATTTAAATGGTACACAAAGTTCTGGTGATTCTGATCTCGTGTAACAAGACCATTGAACCTTAATGTTTCTTTTTTGGTCGATAAAAAAAAAGAAAAAGAAAACCACTTATTCAATTGACAAAGTGATGATAATAAAAAGGCACCACACGTGACATCAAATGGACAGTTTACGAAGTCTAACGAAGATTACGATAACCACAGACCCTTATGGACATGTGTGTAGAGTACAACCTAAAGTACTTGTGAAAAAAGAAAGCAGTTTTCGAAAGATATATAGTTTTAGTCATCTCCTGTATTCTTGGGTACTAGGCTTGTAATTTGTTTTTCAATTGAGTAAACAATGTCCCGGTGTATACACGGTCAAATAAACCTTGCCACGCCATTAGAGATATAATGTATGGGTGTGTGCAGGTCTATTATTTTAATGATAGTTCTCCGATATTAATTTGAATTGCCACAAGTATTAAAAATCGTTATACTAAGTGTACAGAACATTCATCTCGTGTTGTCTCAAATACCAGAGTAAAAAGACCATGCTAATATTCTTTAAGATTACTGGCTGGTCAAAGTGAATCAAAAGGCTGGATATTTTGTGCACAAAAAAAAAGGATAAATCCTGGGTTTTGCAGATTTCTATAATAGATTCAACTTTGCGATTGAATATATATTTTCCTTTTGATTTACGGATCAAATAATCTTTTTGTACGCCACCTGATGTACACTGTCAATCGCAATTACTGTGATCTTTAAATTACACAGTTCACCATTAATATCCAGTACTACCCTTTACAAAAGATTAAGCAGTAAGTATGCGACATGTGGGATCTGTAGCCCTAATCAGGAAATATACTAGAGTTGCAGAATTTGAGGAAGAAACTATTGATTTTTGTGCCTCTGTAGTTTATCTTAGCCAGTAAGCTACGATTTGAATACCCACGAGGAAAAGCGAGAGCTTGGACAGTTTGTAATTCTCAGTGAAGCTGTGTGAGTGGTGTGATTCTGTATCATTGCTTTAGTGACAGCCAACCAAAAGATTCATTATTATTATTTTATTTTTGTTCACATATACTAAAAACCTTGATTTCCGAGCATAATCAAGGCTGTAAGAAACCCAACCAATTCTTCTCAATAAAACAATCTTATATTATGATTATTACTATAATATAATTGTATTATAATCTTCAAGTACACAACCAAATATTCAAATCATCAATTGCTAAAAATCATGAATCATAAATCATAATTTTGAATAATAATTGATAGTTAATTCCAAATTATTGTATTCCAAATCAATTGCATTTTATACATTTATATCCGTTAAATAAAACGATAGGAAAATTCTAATCAAAAATGATTTGAATTCATATATTATCTATTGTACTCGAGTGTTTTTTTTTATTGAACCACTTTTAGTCCACAGAGTATCTACAAGCGGAATGTCAGAAGTCTCAGTTTTCTTGAGATTCTTTGTCAAGACAAACCTTTTGGATCAAGGTGAAAAGATAGGCAGGCGTGGACTAGCAAAACGATGTGATTGGTCAAAAAAAAATCTGCAAAACAAAAAACTCTACAGCGAATTATTTGAAACTAAATATTAATATTTTTTTGGTATATAAGAAAGCTGGTAGATCAAGAGAAGAAAAAGGAACCCATAAACTACTTTCAGGAAGAAAAATAAAGAACCATGCAGGTTCACGATTATACTTGGATTTTTGCAGTATCTATGATTGCCGCCTTTGGTGATGCCTTTGGTATTGGTGCCAACGACGTAGCAAATTCGTTTGCCACTTCCGTTTCTTCTGGTTCTCTCTCTCTTGCTCAGGCTTGTGTTATTGCATGCTTTACCGAATTTCTTGGTGCCGTCTTGCTCGGTGCAGGTACCTCAGAGACCATTAAGGGTGGCATTATTTCCGTTGCTCTCTTCGTCGATATTCCCGAAACCTTTATGCTTGCAATGACTTGTGCTATTATTGGTTCTGCATGTTGGGTTATTTTTGCTACCCACATGGAATGGCCCGTTAGTTCTACCCACTCTATCGTCGGTGCTATCATTGGTGTATGTATATGATTCTTTTAATATCTATATGTATATTTCAATCATTTTTACTGATTCTCTTCCTTTTGTTACTTATTAGGTTGGTATCGCAGGTTTTGGTGGCAATGCTGTTGACTGGTCTTGGGGTGGTGTGAGCAAGATCATTGCTTCTTGGTTCATTTCCCCTATCATTGCTGGTTGTGTTTCCGCTGTAATCTATCTCAGTGTCAAGTATACCGTTCTTCGCAGAGAAGACAGTTTCAAGTGGGGTCTCCGTTCTGTTCCTGTCTACTTTTTCATTACTACTGTCATCGAAGCCTTTTACATCATCTACAAGGGTGCACCAGGTACTGATGCCGCCAAGATGTCTACTGGAACTATTGTTGGAATTTCCTTCGCTGTTGGTACCTTCTTTGCCTTCTTTGCTTGGTTCTTTGTCTGCAACTGGCTCAAACGCCGCATTAAGGGCCACGAAGATTTGAAGTGGTACCATGTCTTTATCTCTCCTTTCCTCTCCAAGCGTCCCACTCTCCAACAAGCAGACCCCGAACTCCATGCCCCCACAACTACCGGAGCCGTCCCTCCCCAGATCGGAGAAGATGGCAATCCTATCAGTGAAGTTGCAACCACCGCAAGTGACTCCAAGGGAGCTGTTACCGAAAAAGAATTGGCCTTTGTCCAAGAAATCCCCGAGCCCAAGAACGACTTCAAATCCAAGATGGTTTCAATCAAGGACCGTGCTATTGGTTTGGCTCTTCATGGTGTCCGCAAAGATGTCCGTAATCTCGACAATGAACATCTCAAGAAAGTTCACGCAGCTGCCGAATTGTACGAAGATGATGCCGAATACATGTTCTCTTTCCTCCAGGTTTTGACTGCCTGTATGGCCTCATTTGCCCACGGTTCTAATGATGTATCCAATGCTGTTGGTCCCGTTGCAGCCGTTTTTGGTGTCTGGCAGACTGCTGCCGTCGATGTTGGAGGCAAGGTTCCAGTCCCTGTTTGGATTCTTGTTTACGGTGGCGTTGCTATCGATCTTGGTTTGGCTACCATGGGATACAAGATTATGCGTACCATGGGTAACAATATTACTTACTTCAGTCCCAGCCGTGGTTTCAGTGCCGAATTGGCTACTGCTCTCACTGTCCTCACCTGTTCAAAGCTTGGTCTTCCTGTCTCTACCACACATTGTATTACTGGTGCAACCGCTGCAATTGGTCTTTGCAATGGTAACCTCAGCGCCGTCAATTGGAAAATGCTTTCCTGGTGTTTTGCTTCATGGGTTATTACTCTTCCCTGCGCTGGTCTCGTTGCCGGTCTTCTATTCTCATTCGCTGCTTATGCCCCTGCTCTGGTCAAGTAAACACTACTTTACCTTTTCCAAAAAAAAAACAAACACATACACGCACACACAAAGAATATCTTTTTGTTACTTCCTCCCCTCCACTTTCCCTATCTTTCATAATATCCTAGCCTTCAATTATCTTATTTTTATTTATCTTGTATAATCTGTCTATCTCTCTATCCACATACATAGCTTCATTTAGCTAACTAGTAATACTTTTTCCTTTAAAAAAATCTTTATTTATTTATTTATTTTTTTACTTCTTTATATTAATGAAAACAAATAATAAAAATAATAAAAAAGCAGCAGCTTAATATTCCCAGTCAAACTAAAGTAAAGCAATCAATAATATATATGTGTGTATATAAATACATCTTTAATGGCTTCCTTTATTATAATAATAATAATAATAATAATAATCGAAAGCTGTGATCATAATTGACTAGACTATCAAAAAAAAACTTATTCATTCGTTCATTCGTTTTTTTTTTCGTTTTTTTTTTCACTTCAACCCCCCTCCTCTTGATTCAACATCCGCCCATCAAAAACTCGACGTCACATGTTACTTTTTCTAGTGAGCCAACCTTTTACCGTACGCGTGAAAGCAAGACGGAAAAAGTTTTGTTCTTTTAATATTCATCATGACCGATACTGAAGCCCACACTGGAACTGTTGAACAACAGATCATTTCCCAACAAGAACAGCCGGCTGTTGAGGCCGAGATTGAAGGCGATGTCGATAAAGTACGTAGCCTAAACAGCGCAGCTGTAGAATGATTTGTCTTTCATCAGAAAACAGATCCATAATGTATTCGTGTCCCATTAACATTCCGCAAAATCTACTTATTAGGAATTAGAAGCCATGAAGGTGCGTGTTCAGGAGATGGAGGATGAAGCTGCCAAACTGCGTTCAATGCAGGCAGAGGTAGAGAAGACCATGTCAACTGAAGAAGGTAAGAAGAGATTGCCAATCTATAACATTTATAATATAATCTTGTTTGTTATAAAAAAAAATAAAAAGTCTGATTTGATTGACCGTAATGATTTGATGCTCTTAGTTGACAGAGAAGCAGTTGATTCTCGTTCAGTTTACGTTGGCAACGTAAGTTTCTCACAAGTTCAGATTTCATACCATTACGATTACCATTACTATCAGTATTACTATTATTATAGTGTAATCGTTGCTAATAAAAAATGAGGAAATTTTTTAGGTTGATTATGGAGCAACACCTGAAGAGCTACAGGCCCATTTCCAGTCGTGCGGAACAATCAACAGAGTAACAATCTTGTGTGATAAGTTTACCGGCCATCCCAAGGGGTAAGCGTGTCAAGAATATATATATATATATATCTAGACATACACACACACACACACATATATATATATATATATATAATACTCTCACTGGTACATTCCAACAAAATCTCAATTGCTGTGTTTATACGTGTGTTTGTGTTTGTGTGCGTACGTACGTGTGTGTGTGTGTGTGTGTGTTCGTACGTGTGTACATATATACGTGTGTATTAATCACTTTTATTACTCATAGATTCGCATACATCGAATTTGCTGAGCCTTCTTTTATCGATGCTGCTGTTGCATTGAGCGAGAGTTTGTTCCGTGGTCGTTTGTTAAAGGTATATAAAAGCTTTGACTTGGACTGAGTTCCATATATATTATTATTATCAGTAGTAGTACATTTATTTATTTACTGCTTTTTATGTGTGCGTGCGTAAATATATATAGGTCTCTGCTAAGCGTACAAACGTCCCTGGATTCTCACACCGTGGTGGCCGTGGAAGAGGTGGTTTCCGCGGTGGTTTCCGTGGCGGTATGGCTCCTTACTATGGTCATTCTCCAATGCACGGTTACCGTGGACGTGGCAGGTAAGGATTACTATATATTAGCATATATCTATATAAATTATGACTTTATTCACATTTCTTTCTTTCTTTCTGTTCGCTTTTTTACAGAGGTCGCGGAAGAGGTGGATACTTCGCCCCATACTAGACTTTTTAACAGACGTGCGGTTGTAAATAAAAGCTGCTTAGGAAATAGCAGAAGCCCGTGATGTAGAGTTTCGAGGCTCATCTCGTATCTTTAAATTCTCTGTTATTTTTCTTTCTCGCACATCAAGTCATCTTCACTGCGAATATTTTATTGCTAACAAAATTGTGGAGAACAACCAAACAAGACAAATAAAGATGAAAAAGAAACAACAACAAAAAAAAAGAAAAGAAAAAAGAAAAGAAGAAAAAGAAGAAGAAAAAGTCTCAGTTCAAAACAGAAAAGCAGAAAAAGCAAGAAAAAGCAGAAAAGATTTTTTTTTTAAAACCAAAAAAAAAAAAAAAAATGGAAAGAAAATCAAAAGAAAGGCTGAGAAAAAAAAAAGCAAACCAAAGAAAAAAAGATATTGGTTTTTTATTCTATATGTACATACAATTTCTTTTTTGTTTATTGTGTGTGTAGTGCGTGTAGTGGAGAGCAATGGAGTGGGTAAAAATGGGTGTAGTGAGTGGCATTGAGCAGAAAGGAGAATAGGAATAGGAATAGAAATGGGAGTTATTCTTGTACTTGTACTTGGTTAATAAGGTAAAGGTTTGACACCATTTGCTTGAGAAAATAAGGATGGAGAAGGGAAAGGGTCCTGTTGGGCTGGTTATAAGCCATCTAATGATAATATTATACATTTTTTTTAAACACAATCAATTTGAAGAATTAAAGCGATTTAACCAAGGTATCCAAATAGGTTTGTAGACTAAATTTTAATTGGAAAGAATACAACGATTGAAGGCGTACTGACTATACTTAGATTCAGCTATTTTGATATTCATTTGAAGTGAGTAAATCGATAATATCTTCTTATTTAACATTCAAAATAAAATAAGCAAAAATATAAGACTAAATTCCTGTCCACATATAAACCCTTTTTTTATATATATTCTATTCAGATAGTCCTCAGTTCCTGATTTTGGTTCAACTATAAAAGAGTGAGTGGTAAGTGTGTATACACTATAGATGATGCAATACAAAAAAAAATCAATATGTGAGGAAAGTAAATTTAATAAATATAATATAATCCTATGCCAAGTCACACTATCTTTTCTGGACAGATCTTTTATAATGTACAAAAAGGTACAAGAAATACACAATTTGCACAACTTATTTGCTCATCCTCTGAAACAAAAAATTGTACACTTTTAAGAACTATTGTCTAATCTTATCTATTAAAGCAAATAGCCTAAAATTAATATAAAGCCCTATCTTGTATAATTAAGATAAAGACTCATACATATATATATAAGAAAATTGAATATAATTTTCATCTACTAAACAATAGGGGTAGTCAGCTGTGAATATTTATTGGTATTCAAAGTAAAAAATGGAAAATATTATTATTCAAGCAGCTTTTCTTTTTCTTTTAAATACCAAAATGATTATTTACGATTGACTACCTCTTTATGTTCTAAAGTATACAATGTGCAAAAATATCAATTTTATTCGATTTGATTTTCTTTCGGAGAGTGAGCAAATAATTTATGGAAATTGTATACAGACTAAAAATTCATTGTTACATAATCGGGGATTATTTCAGCATGCTTAATGCAAAAAAAGGATCTCTATAGCGTGCGAGTCTGTGAAAAACGAAACTCAACCAGAAAAATGAGTGTAAAATATTAAACAGCAGCATTCATCAGAAAAAAGAAAGGGAAGTGCTAATAAAGTAGTGTACAAAGGACCATAAGACCTTTTTTTTTTTTGTTAATTTTCTTTTAAACACTTACTAACTAAGACTAAAACTAGGGCAAGATATATGCTAGTGTATTAAATATTTTTTGTGGCTAAAGTCTGTCTTGATGATATCAACCAAGAGAAAGTCTGAGCGGAATATGATTTCTTTTAAAGAAGAAGAAGAAGACGAAGAAGGAGTAGAAGGAGGAGTAGGAGGAGGAAGTAAGGAAAACGATAGAATCGGATCCATTCTTGTCACTAATGGCAGATATATAGATATATATACATATACATATATATTATTTATATAAAAGTATATACCCTTTTTTTTTTGCTGAGAGTGAAGAAGTTCAAAAAAAGAAAGGATGAGAACACATGGCTAATATCGATTTTTATCAATACTTTTCCTCTTCTTTTTATTATTTTTTTTTCTCTTCTCTTCTTTTTCTTTTTCTTTAAATAAGAGTCACAAAGACGAATAAAGCTATACGTTTCCCACTTGACAAATAAGAAAAAAAAAGAAAGGGCAATCTCTTCAAGAAAGCATCAAGAAACAAACAAACAAACAAATATATATATATATATAAAATAAACGATGGCTCTAGAAAATATGGGTATCCAAGGCATGTCGTTGAATGATTGTTCCACAAAAGAAGATTACGAAGAACTCTTGAAGCAATACGATCGTTATGATGATGGAAATAACGACGATGGTCGTCGGAGCAAGCGTGCCAGTCGCAACATGAACCCATTTACTGAACCTCCAGGTAATGAAAAAGCCTTGATTTCATTAGAGATGAACAAACAAAAAAAAAACAACAACAGCTAGATAAAAAGGAACAATAAGAAAAAAATACTCTTCTCCTTTTCTTTATATGCGAATGTTTATATTTTTGTATTCATTGCACAGCCGAAGTTCCCATGGTCGATGAGCCTACTTTTGTCTTGGATTGCCACAGCTTCCCACCAGCTTTCAAAACACATCATTTGCGTGACATCTTTAGAGATTACGAGAATTTACGAGGAGGTTACAGAATCAAGTGGATCTCTGATACCCGTGCACTAATTATATTTGAGCACCCAGCAACAGGTACAATAATAAATAGTAAATAATAGTATATTTTTTCTATAAAAAAAGAGAGAGAGAAATCGGATGTAGCTGTAGCCGTGGTTGTAGTTGTGAATGTATATATATATTTTCTTTAAAAATGAATATAAGCTGACATGATGACGTTTAGCCAAAAAGGCCTATATTGATAATGTCACCAACCCATTGGCCAAGATCCGTCCCTATGATGGACCAACAGATTTTTTGAGAAGTAAGTTAAATAACACATACACACACTAATGTAAAGTGGTAGTTTTGCTGTGAGAGGGATAATGCATAGACTTGGTGTAGTATTAAGAAACAATGTGTTGATCACTTGTCTTGTCTTTTCCTTTCCTTTATTTCTATTTAGCATCTGGACCCCAAACCCCTACTCGGCCCACATCTGTTGATATGTCTTCCAAGAGAGCTAGTATGACCAGTAAGAGGTAGTTTTCTTTGTCCAATGAAGAAGAAGGAGAGATTGAAGGATTATGATTCTGTGAGAATACATGTCTGGAAGGAAATATGGACGGAAATGACCATGGTCAAAAGTTGATAAGAAAATACATATATATACACAAGTAATCCAACCCAACATTCATATTCTTTTGACTTTATAATCAATCCTATCAAAAAAATCAAAACCAAAGCCAAAATCAAAATCAAAAGCAATAACTATCCAAGATACCATCAAACTTCTATCCAAAGTAATGTCCCACCATATACCTTTTATTTTACTTTATTTATTCATTATATTGTATAAAGCAAGAAGTCTAAATAATAATACATACAGATGTATAACTACCGTTATTGTATAGAGCACTACACGATAAGATAATTAATAGTCTGTTATTCTAATTTAGTCTAGTACAACTAAAGGAGAAGAAAAAAAAGCCTGTCAAACAGGAGATAGAACTTTCTTAGTAATACTACTACTACTACTACTACTACTACTACTACTACTAATGTATACAAATACTCTTCAAGTTACTCTTGTTGTACCAAGATTCACATTCTTCATAGGAGTACCAATGAGTAACAATGGATCCTGGACAATGGAGTGTCTGGTGTAACAAGGAACCGTAGATCCCTTGTACCATCCGAGTTAATCTAAAGGCTTTAAATAATATCTTTTTATCATCATTCTATTATAGAATGAATAGCCAATATTATTATATTCTATTTTATTCCATATATTTATATTTACATAGTAGAAAACACTTATTGCGGTACACATCGTTACAACAAAGCCAATCTATGTTTTCCTTTTGTCTTTCCAATTTTCACATCTATATATCATACACGTTAACCAATTGAAAGATATAAAGAAAAGAAGTATGTCTGTGTGTATACAGCCATATATAATATATAGAACCCTTTCTAGACTAGTAAATACGCAATAGCATAAAAAGATAACACAAAAAATGCAAAAATAAATCTTCACATTATTTTGACCCTTTCCCACTTTTTATATATATTCACCCAAAATATTACACCTTTTCCTTTTGATATGTATACATTCTTACACCATCATTTGACTTTTTTTTTGTTAAATGAATTTTGTTGTCATCGTTACGCTAAAATCCTTCTTTTCTTTTCTTCTTTTGGAGGGAAGAAGTAATAATAATAATAACAACAGTGACATTGACAGTGACAGTGATAGTGATAGTGATAGTGATAGTAATAACAGTAATAGTAACAATAATTATACTAATGATATACTAGATTTACAATTCGACTTGACTCACAGTTTCACTGATCCGATCCCTTAGTGCTTCAACTGCTGCCATTTTACGTTCCAAAATATCGTCAAGATCCAAAAGATATTTTTGAAATTGGTGACTACTCTTGACTTTGCGATGGAGAGCTATCCGATGTGATTGTGGGTCATCACTTGACATCTCAACACCCTCATAATCTTGGTTGGAAGACAAGTCAAGTGAAATGTTGGCCACCAGTTTAGACTCTCGCTTCGTACAGTCTGTCGCTTCTCGAATCTCTGCCCGGTGGAATTTGACAAACTCTTCCATCTGCTGGGAATCGAATTGAATTATACCCGGGATTGGTGCGGACGCTGTACTACCTGATGCTGGTGAAGATGACAGCTGCTGCTGTTGTTGTTGTTGTTGTTGTTGTTGTTGTTGTTGTTGTTGTGTATTTATAGCATTGTTTGTAGGAATGGTAGTAATTGTTGCTGTAGGAGTTGAGGTGATTGTAATGTTGGTAGAAGTAGTGGGGACAGGGAATACATTAATAGATGACATGGTATTGTAATTCTCCACAGACCGGCCCATCATCCTTCCGCCCTGGGGATTATAAGGTGGCACAGCCATCGTGGATGGTATACCGATAAATTGTCGATTGTTTAGCTGTGATTGTGCTTGTGTTTGTGAAGGAAATGGACGGTTGAATTGGGAGGACTGGAGTGACGTGGAACCCCATTGGTTCAGTCGTGGAGAAGTGTAGGAAGGCCCATCGCCAAGGTGCATAGGATGATGGTGAGACGGTAGGCTAAATTGTTGTTGAAGTAAGTGTTGAGTATGTGGCTGATTGTGCTGCTGCTGATGGTGATGGTGAAGCTGATGGTGTTGCTGCTGTTGGTGATCAAGAGAGCTGTAGCTACTGTCAGCCAGTTTGTGGGATGGAGATGCAAATGCGCTTGATCGAATGAGAGCATCTTGTTCATGTGGGAAATCAACGTCAAAAATATTCTCTTCTTCAACATTAAAAGTCTCTTCGTCTAGGATATCTGAATCATCGTTGCTGTAGTATTCTTCATTGGAATCCATTTCAGCGTATTCTTCTTCGTCTTCGTCTCCTTCACCTTCCACTTCACCTTCACCTTCGCCTTCACCCTCTTCACCCTCTCCATATGGGTACTCTTCCGGAAACTCTTCGGCTTCTTCTGGGTATTCTTCTAAAGGATCTGTTTCTGGCCGGGGTTGTTTCACTTTTACAGGCTCTGGCATACTTTCTTTGCCTTTCCCTGCTCCTACTGTTGCTCCTACTCCTGTTGCTGGGCCCCGTCGGTTCTTTGCTCCCTTGAGTTCCTTTACTCTACACAATAGTTCCTTTTCTTTTTAATATACACATTTTTTTGGTTGTTCATACTATCATAATCAATTGTTTACCGATCAGCATATCGGAGTGTGTTGAGAGTGTGTTCACTGTTTGATCCACCTGGTGAAATCGTGGCAATCATACACGTTCGAGATTTTCCCACAAATGAGTCTTTCAACACCTTTTATTCGTGTCAGTACCCCTTTTCTATATCTCTTTATTTTTATATATTTACCTGTGTTAGCTGACTCTGTCTAAAGGGCGTGTGTCGTTTATCTTGATCCAAAGCACGAATACATTCTTTGAGAGCCAACAGACTCTTATTGATTTCGGCACCTTCCATTCTACCCGTTTGTTTCAATACACTCAGTATGTTTTGTACCAAAGACTAAAATAAAAAACCAGATACGCATACACATACACATCTCTCTATCTCTATTACCTTGTCTTGATGTCCGTCTCTCCTCTGTCGGCACCTCGCTCTGATCCAGCAAGATCAATGAAACTTAACTTACCATAGATCTTTTTCCGATTATTTTTCGGTTTGAGAAGAATCTGAAGCACAGCGTGGGAACGAGAAGAGCTGTCATTTGCGACGGTCGATCCAGTGCTGCGTTCGTTACTTCCAAACTCAAACACCTGGATGAGGTTGCCGACGTTGTCGATCGGGTACTCACGTAGTCCGGAGATGATCACGTTGCGTTTGGCATCCTCGCGTGCATAAATCTTCTTTCGTTCGTTCAAGAGGTCGTAAATATGACCCTGGTAAATTTCGTAAAGGCCGATCCAGGCCGAAAGGTGTTCGTTTTCTGGCTTCTTGAGCAATGCAAAAATATCCTTGGCCGCAAGCACATATAATCCGTGGTTAGGATCAAGCATAGTAAATGTCTTTCCAGAACCAGTCTGTCCACTAGCAAAATTTCAAGTCAAGTCAAGGAGAATAAAGGGGGAAAGATGGTTTTTAGTTTTAGTTTTTTTTTTTGGTTTTTGTATATGCTATGTATTCATGTATTTTGTATGTAGGTATATATACGTACATACATATACATATACATATACATATACATATACATATGTATGTAAATATAGGTTGTCAGGTGTTGATTTAATATGCAAGTAATATTGTAGTTTTGAAAACTCACTAGGCAAAACAGGTGGCTCTTCCACCTTCAAACATATATTTGACGAGTGGGAAAGCGGTGCGTTCATAGACAGATGTGTTCTTTGAATTTGCGTCAAAGACATCATCAAAAATAAAGGTGTGTTGCTCGATGTAACGAGTGAGGTCCAGCTTGAGTCTATAATACAATGTATATATATATGATAAGAATGTACACATGAGTTCACTCGTACAGGAAAAAAAAACACACCCTCTCACATAAAACAAAACAAAACAAAACAAAACAAAACAATTTTTTGGCTTTACTTTGGTTCGTTGATCTGGATACTTCGGGTATTGAGGAGGGGAGCAATATCTTTTTCAGACCGCTCCATCTCCTTCTTGTTCATGGGTCGTTTTCGAACGCAGACACGGATCTTTTGGTTCAAGTCACTGGGCGGGACAACGGTGTTGTTTGTGCTGTACTTGAGCGCACCCATACTCGCACGTGTCTTGACACCCGAAGCAGACGGTACGCCGTAAGCATCGAGTAAGGGTGCGGATGCGCGGTACCGTCTTGTGTTCTTTTCTTCGTCTGAAGAGTCGGTTGTTTCAAGTTCTTCATGGTCAACCAGCAGCGAGCGGCGGACTTCTGCGGCTGTCGCGGCTGCTGCTGCTGCTGCACGGCGTTCAAGCACGCGTGTGCGTTGCAGCGACGACGATTCAATACGACCGACGTCGGAGACGGTTCGTGTTCTGGACGGCCGTTGTTCCTGGCCTGATGCAAAGGCAGATGATTTGGTGAGAGTCAGAACACTGGGTCGTCGTGAGCGCGGGCCTGGAAGCCGGCTAGAAGAATCGGCAGTCAGGGTAGTTGTTGTTGACTGAGGTTGAGGAAGGCGTGTGTGAAAACTTCCTGGCGATGTTGGAGATGCGGTGGACGAAGTGTCGTTGTATGATTTAGGATAAGACATTGGTTGACGAAGGCCACTACCACCACTATTGCTATTGCTATTGTTATTGCTATTGCTATTACTATTGTTGTTGTTGTTGTTGTTGTTGCTATAGTTATTATAGTTGATGCTGCTGGAGTAGTTGTTATTGGTGCTGCTACTGCTACTTGTTACTGAAGATGCAGAGGTCATGATGTTAAGACGACCGGGATTGGAGTCTTTTCGGAGCATCTGAATCAACCCAAAAAATTTCTTTCGGTCGGCTGTCTCCGTTATACCAAGTTGGGTATAGTCTTGCACTGAAAGCTAAGGGTACAAGCGAAGGCTCAGTGTCCCCAACCATGTTGCTCAATATGGATGGCCGTACCTGAGCTAGGCTCTGTAGATGGGTAATGCCCTGGCTCGAGAATCTAATAGAATCACACACATACACATACACACACATATGTACATTCCCACATTTATAGACATTTTTTTTAATAATTATTATTTATGTATGTACGTATTTGTATGTATAGATGTATATATACAAGTGCGTATGTACAGACGTACGTACGTACGTATGTATGTATGTATGTATGTATGTATGTATGTATGTATGTATGTATGTATGTGTGATTTTGTATTGTTTTCCAATCGTCAATTGCGTAGTTCAATATCTACAACGTGTACACCTTCTTTTTGATACATTGTAAATGTATACAAGTGTATATATATATATATATAAACTCACGTAGGATAAAACTTTTGTATATATATAAAAAAAGGGTGTTAATGAGGTTGGTTTTGTTTTATTCAAGATATTTACTTGTATGAACAATAAGAACTTTAAAAAATAAAGAGAAATAAAGAAAGGAATCTTCACCTGTTCAAGATCATGTTTGCGCAAAGTTTCAATAAAAGCAGAAGAGCTCATCTTACTCTTTTTTTAATTTATTTTTTTTTACTTTTTTTTAAAAATGAGTAAAAAAAATAAATAAAATAAAATAAAATAAAATAAAATATATAAAAATAAAAATGAAGAAATTAAGAAAGAATACAGCATATTTATATATATATACATATAACCTTTTTTTTTCTTTTTCTTTTTTTTTTAATAAAAATATATATATATAATATATATATATAGCTGTCACAACTACATATACTTTTTATATTTCTTAAAAGTAATTTAGATATCCTCGGAATTTTATAATAGAGAATATACATATTTGTACCAAATTAATGTTTAAATAATGTCTAATACATACAAGTATTTGACTAGTACCTTTCGGTTGAAGAAACAAATAAGAGCAGAATTGTATCAATATAATTGTATTTATCTTGAAATACAATTAAAGAAGCTTTGTATTCAATTAAGCATTTTCATAAAGGAAGATATATGTGTACATCTAATTAAAGTTACAGGAAAGTGCATATTACTATTACTATCGTTTAATTCTTATAACCAAATTCACTAATAGATTTTAAGCAGTAAAATCTTAGCTGGGCGTGTATAAGACGTGCATGCGTATATACCACCACCACCACCACCACCAAACAGAAAATATCTCTTTTCATTCCACTTCATCTACTCATTCCACTCAAGACTTATTTTCATTCTCTATTTTCCTTATATATACAATTCAAGCTCTTTCCCATATTGTCAACTCTTCTTCAATTCCCTTTTGATTTATGTTGCATGTATTGTATGTATGAATGTGTTTGTGTTCTTTATTCCTCACAAAGCAAAAAGATATAAAAAAAATACAATCTACATTTTATAGCTTCTTTTCTTTTATTTATTTTTTGGTTGTTAAACATCCTTGCTTTTAATCGTCAACGTAGAACTCGTTTAGATGTTGGAGGGGTAAAGCATCTATTAGAAAAAAAAACAAAGCATTAGTTCAATTCAAAGATTTTCCCATTTGGTTTTTTGATCCTTTTTTGTTTATTTAATAACTTACGATGCGGACACTGGCACCAAACACCTTGGGGGGCAAGTTCTTGCGGAAACGGGCCTTGACGACACCGTTGGAACCGTGGGTGCGGGCAATGCGACCCCAGATAACGCGGACCTTGGAGCCGTTGACCTCACGCTGGGCACGGTAGACATAAGCAATGCGCTTACCGAGGTAGAACTGAGCATCCTTGGTGGTTTGGACACCTTCGACCTGGATCAAAGAAGTGTTGGGGTTCTGGGCGCGCTTGGCACGCTCGTAGCCCAAAACGCGGCCCTTGCTGTACAGACTATATATGCATAATATATATGTATATTAAGAGAAATATAATTTATAAGGATTTTATTAGAATTGATATTAATTTGGATTGAATTTAACTGTATTGAATGACTAATTGTAATTGATGTTCTTTTATGTTGTATGCATGGTGTTGTGTAGTGTTTGTATAAATATATACACACACTATATGTATATGTATATAGGTATAGATGTATACTATACATTATACATATTATACTATATACAAATAGTGCGTATATGTCGATATACATATATATTATATATATTATATATATATGCATATTTTCCATCCATCAAAAATATTCGTCTGTTTGGTGCTGTGTTGTGTGTATGTGTATGTGTGTATGTGGTGCTTGGTGTGGTGTGGTGTTGTATGGATCTCTGCTTGTGTTTGTATGTGTATCTATGTGTGGATATATAGACTTGATTCTAACATCCATCCTTACCGAACGGGTTGACCAGCCATGTCTATGTTTGGTGAGGAAAGAGGAGGGTTGCCAAGTGCGCAGAGGGTTCGCTCTTTCCTGTAGCCTCCCCGGACTCTCTACCCGGACATCCTCCCTGCCGGCCCAAAAATCTGTTCAATGATTTCTATTTTATTTTTTTCCCTTCCTCCCCCCTTTTTTTTTTAGTTCTCTCTGTCAGTCAGTCTGTCTTTCTATGATTTAAATGTCCGCGACTTCGCTTCCTTTTTTGATCCTTTTCTCTCAGCCATCGATGAGCCAAGGATTTAAAAGTGGCTAGGAACCAGCGACCCGAGGCTATAAAGCAGCCCACACTTCTCTGCTATTAGTCTCTCCTACTTCTTCTTCTTCTTCTCCTTTAATTTTTTATCATTAGCTTTTAGCTTTAAATATATATACATATATATATATATCTTATACTCTTTTGTCTACAACAAGTTCATGATGGACAAGCCATTTGATATACTCAACCCCACCCCGGCTCCTCTTCCTCCTCCACGATACAGACCCTTGAGCGAAACCAGTGTATCAGATCCTTATTCGACTCCTCCGCCTGCTTATCAACCATCACTGCAATACTCAAACAGTCTATACATCCTCCCGTCTCAGCAAACACGGTCCTCAAAGCCGAGATCCCCAATAGGAGGTACATACATAAATACATAAATACACAAATATGTTTGTATATTTTTTAATATTCGATATCTATCTATATACTTATACTTATACTTATATTTCTTTGCTCTATTAAAAATTAAAGCATACTATTATCAGCCTTTGCCTACTCCTGAAATCAAAGTTATTCATCACAAGCCTACCAGATCTCACGATGCCTGTTGCTGGGGATGGTAAGAAAAGAAGACCCTTTTTTTTAAAAAAAAAAGCACTAGAATATTATACCAATTATTTATATACTTTGTCTATTATTATTTAGTTTGGTAGCCGTACTTCTCTGTTTCGGCATCAAGGAGTGTTGTTAAAATACACACACACACACACAAAAAGTGATCATCCCTAACCCTTCCACAGCCAATCTTGTTACTTTTTCTTCTTTATTTTTATATAATTAGATACACTAACCGTCTCTTTCACTCTCACTCTTTCACTCATACACACACGTACATACATACATACACACATACACACACACACTATATATATATATATACTATAAATACTATAAATTCAAAAAATGTACATTCCTTATGGCTTGTAATATATTCATCAATTCCCATTGTTCTCGACCTCTGGAAGGTTCATATATCCTGCAATAAAAACCAAAATACAAAATACAAGACACATACATGACGGAGGAATGAAATAATAATAATACTTGCTATAACACTCTCTGTGTAATCTATTTTTTTTTTAGTCTGTTTTATATATAAATCAATCAATCAATAAATCAACGTAAAGATTCAAATACTCCTTTACATTCATTCCTTTGACTCTCTTTATATGATTGAATTACTATTCCCATTACCTTTGATTTTGATTGTTCTTTATCTATTAATTTTGAATAAATCACAAATGAAATCTTTTGTCCTTTCTTCCTTGTACAAATCTCCCCCTTTTTTCAATTTTTTTTATTTCATTCTATTCTATGTATCTATTCCCCTCTTATTTATTCTCCTTTTTGTAGCTTGCACCCTTTAATTATTACGTATATAAATATAAATATAAATATAAATATACATTACCATAAAGGTACCTTATGGACTATGCATTGCATAATAGTAATAATAATAATAACCTGGTGCAATTCTCTATTATAATTATTATTTTGATATTAATGTATCTATCTACATGATATAAACACTAGTAATTTATCTAAATTTTATCCTATTCTATTAATGATAACAGTTATCATTTTTATAAATAGATAAATAAATAAAGAGAGAGAAACAAAAATAAAGAGGTCTCGGGCCAGTTGAACTCTGCCGTCCGTACCAATCGTGTAACCACCCGCTCTCTCGCCATTCCTAAACCCGAGTTGTACAGTCAGGCTTATGGAATTTGGCGTTTTCCCAAAAATATTTGACCTTAAATCATAAATAAATGTCCGCTTTAGAAAGAAATAAAAAAAAATCACAAGTTCAGATTATTTTTGTCACAATTTTTCCTAATTAAAACGGTCGTAACTTGTCATTTAACATTAGCCAGAAAATACCAACTTAATAATTAGCACACCTCTTTGGCGACCTTATCGTTCAAAAAAAAAAGTTGTAACCATTTGAAAATGCCAACCCGGTTCTCAAAGGGGTACGATATTCCTAGGGAAGCTATCTCAAGAATTATAGGAAGATACGAAAATACTCGATCTACCACCTATACATATTTGGACGAGGGTTTGAGAAGTACTATTCATAAGGCCCACCGAGACTTTATTGTCAAAACTGTTGACAAGAATAATACAATTACTCTCAGGGAACTTATGGGAAAATTTCTAGGCTGTTTTGACGAAATACGAAACATCGGTATCTTTACTTTGTGCAGGTTTTTGGATGATATCGAAAGGCTCACATTGAAGAGATCTACTTCAATGGAAGAAAAGAAAAATGATCCAGACACTTTTACCCAAAGAAATTAATTCGTACCTAGTCTTCATCCAGACCGAATTCTATACACCCAAAATTTTATTTTTTTTATCGACGAAGCAGGATTTAATATCAATATGATCAAGGACAGAGCAAGAGCTAGAGCAGACAAATGAGCGTCGGTAAAAACCAAGACCGAGAGCTAAAAAGGTCACAATTTTTTTTTGCCTTGTCTGCTGATGGCATTGAATCTTGCCATGCAAAGATAGTATCTAATGAAACTACTAACAAAGTTACTCGTATACAATACTCTATAATTATGCTCTAATATCTACACCACTTGTAGACATAGACCGCATTACTTTCGATCGTCTTCTAAGAGCATCTTCAGCAGTGAGAGAACTTTTAATTTATCTAAAGTCAAACACTGTCACTTTAGCTAAAGAAAAGGTCACTTTTTCCCAACAGTTCGATTTATCTTTTTCTTTAAATATATTTTGAGAGCATTTTCATCAATCAATTTTATCTTGTTAAATTTAACAAGATAAGAAAAAAGAACTACTTTTTATATTTAAAGTGAATTTAGTTGAACTACTAGGAGAACCAACTTTAGCTAAATATTTAAATTTAACTTAAAAGTGGAGATAAAGTGGACTGCTGAAGATGCTCTTACCACTTGGTGCAATCAAACTCTGGAAATATGTAGCTAAAAGAAAGAAAAAGACATTATACGCATAAGAAGGCCAATAAATAGTAAAATATTCAACAAGATTGCGTCACACTCTAATGACAACAACTCTACGATCTTCTGCATAACTGGAGATTGATATAGTGTATTTAGGACTAGTTGTGGTTTTTTTTATGGTCAAGTTTAACTTTAAGACACAAGCTACTATTAATTGAATATACAGGTTTTTTTATTCGTATGAGACAGTATCTTACTATTAAGTTGCCTAGATACGAACTGTGACTCTTAAAATAATGAGAGTTGGGTGCCTGGCGAGATATAGATAAACACAAAGTGTGGGGACAAAGTAATAAAGCTAATGCATACTTTCAGGCTGTCTGTAAGGTCCACCTTTTCTCTATCTTTCCCATCATCATAATCTTATTCTTCTTCTTAATATAAGATATATACACATAAGAATCAATGCATGGAAATTACGAGTAGAGATAATGAACAAAATAAAATAAATAAATGCCCCTAATAAACATTTATCTTATATATATATATTAATTCAGGTATCATTTTGTATCAATCTGAATTTATTGATCTATTTTTTGATCAGTAGATTTTTTTGTATTCTTTGGACAGACAACAGTCGAAAAGTACTGGTCCAGTCTCTTTTGACTACCCGAAAACTGAGCAAAGTTTTTTGCGAGTAGATTCGAATACCTACTTTCATTCGCACTCTTATACTTATTTTTAATACTAATATTGACACTGGCAGTAGTCATATTTCCCTTGCCCTTGTTTTTGTTCTTGTTTTTGCTTTGTTCTGTGCTCAATAGGTCCATAAGACATTTAGTGCCTTGTACGGAAGATTCAACAATGTCATACAGGTCGATGTACACTGGGCAGTGGTCTGATCCAAAAAGTTCCGGCAAAATATCGGCAGCCTTTAACCATGAACCAAGTCCCTCGGAAACCAAAATATAGTCCAGGCGTACTCCTTTCAAATACATACATACGTACATATATAAATTTATACTCTTTATATCTATTTTGTATATTCATACTTACCAAAATTGCGAGGTCTATAAATCATATTAGTTTTGATAGATTATAACTATGGATATCTAGCATTAATTGTTTTTTTTTTACCTTTCATTTGTCACTGATTTCCAAACTATTGATTTATTTTGTTTTATTAGACATTATTTCCTTTAGGCTTATCAATCGATGATCTACCGTATCATATAATGCTCTCTTATACTATGTATATATCCGTATACACATACATGTAAACATTCCCTTTCTCTGAGGATGAAAATTTCGACAGGTGTCTATAAGAGGTCCTTTGGGATAAATAATCTCGTTCAGCCAGTGTCGATAGACAGATGCTTGGAAAACAGTGTCCCCGACTACGGGCCAGCCATGTGTGGATTTAAAGTGGTCGAGTGGCTCATGGATGGCATTGAGATCCCCCACCAGAATCACTTGCCGACCATTTGTCAGCATATCATCAATCCGACGCCGCACACAGGCATGGTAATCAGCCTTGTAGTATCCACGATCCCCTTGCGCCTCGTTTGGAAAGTAGATATTAAGCAGAACAAACAGTCCAAAATCTAAAATCAAACATCTTCCTTCACTGTCCAATTGGTCTGGACTATTCATCAATCCATCAAAGAAGTAACCTTCCCCACCATCATTATCATTACAGTCATTGGTTGTAATAGAACTACTACTGGTGGGTTTGTTATTGCTTTTGAAGCATGGATTGATGGTTTTGGGCTCATTTAGGATGCCTGTGATGCCTTCTTCGGCTTGAAGAGGTACAAGTGGCTGTTTAACGTAGACAGCCACCCCAGAATAGCCTGGTTTGGTTTTTGAAAACGAAAAATAGGCGTCGTAGCCAGGAACCAATGCCACGTCTTGGGTTAGTTTTGTGGGCTGGCACTTTATTTCCTGAAGGCTAAAGTACAAATAGATGTGTAAATCACGATGTTTAGTGTTCAAGAAGAACGCAGTTCAAAGAAAATAATAATACTTATAATTATAATCAGTGATAATGAATATAGTTTTTTCTATATTGTTTTCTTTAATGTTAAAGCTACTTGCCAAATGATATCAGCCTTCATAGTGGCAAACATTTCCTGTATTAAAATACATGAAATCCAATCAAAGAACCTTCTAATGACCTTATTATGATTATGGTTGCTGTGTTTACTTTGTGAGACTTTTTCTTTGACCATGGGTAGTAATTCAGTGCAGAAGTTAATCCATTGATGTTCCATGTCAAGATGCGCATTGTGATCAAGTTTATGATTTAGCTGCATGTACAATCTACATGGACATTATATACATCTTTCTATGCACACGTGCATATGAATACATATACATATATAGGTGGATGAGTGCAATACATTGTCCGATTATATATCTATATATTTATCTATACCTATATATCTTTATGATATGGTATATGATATACGATATATGATATATTGATGAAATAATGGTATTTTGTACATAGATTATTTTACTTTATTAAAATAAAAAAAGAATAAGAATAATAGGGATAGAGAGAATGCCTAGAATCCATTAACAAGCTAGACGCATAGTAAATGAATGTGGAGGAGATTATGGTTACTGCTGTAACGGCTATTATATAAATTACTAATAGTAATAAAAGTCATAAGGAGGATTTCTATAGTTGTGCTGAGTATTTACTTGTGGTATTTTTAAAGAGTGAAAGTAAGCTAATGGTAAATTATGTTAATAATGAAAACAATGATTTCTTTTTTCTTTCCGTGATTATTGTGGTGAGAGGAATGATGATGATGGTGATACTGATACTGTAGGGTCTTCCATATCAAATACTGCCCCATCATCATCTTCTGAAAAGCTATTTGCTCTACTCAAGAAGGCTCGTTTTTCAAGACTTGTTATGAAGTCAGGTGTCATTGGTGCATGTGTCATGGAATTTGGCCAGGGAACGGGTACATAGTGGGGTATGCTTCCGACCACAAAGTCTGGTAACTGCATTGGATAACTGAGCTTTCTTGGTGGACGGGTTGGGATAACAACAAGAGGTGAAGATACTATTGATGCCATTTGTGATGATGGTTTTGGAATTGTTACTGGACTATGTCTGTTTACCGAGGATGTAATAGAGTCGGATGTTGTGGTTGGTGCTGTTGTGGTTGGGGTATCGTCAAAGAAGGCATATTGACCAAGTGTTTTTGTTGGTGTAGGTAAATGGCTGCGAGCTCGACTTTCGGTCATCTTTGGAGAGCAGGATCCAAGAGAGAGAACCAGGTTAGGCTTTGTGGTGAGATGAGAATATTTTGGTCCCAACATCTACTACTTCTTCTTTTTTATATAAGAAAATAAAAATTGATGATAAAGGTAGTTTGTTTGTGTGAGTTGTGAAAGACAAATAATTATAGATACATTATATTTATATTTGTATACCTTTTGCTTTTGGGTGAAGGAATTGGTATTTCCCATGATTAACAGCTGATTGTTGCAAAGTCTAGACAACGGATTATCTATATGGCTATATTTATATAGTGATGCTTAGTCCAGGGCGTGATCTGCACGGGTTTGTTCGATTGTACAATGAAGAGGATCTTTTCTCTCTCAAAATAAATATAAAAAGACAATATGGTAACAAGCAGCAGGTCACCAGTACTTTATTGTATCGTATCGTATTATATTCTATTGCTATCATTCTGTATATAAATAAATAAAGAGATGACAGGGCTGTAAAAGGAATAACTCCAATTGATCTCTTGGTCTTCTTTAATGATCAAAAGCAAAATTATGCTGCGGAACCATCTATCTCATTCACATAGTCAAGGTCAAGGGTACAATAAACAGGCTTATTTGGCATCGATTTTGATACTATTGCTCTCTTGTATTCATTATTGCATGAATTAGATTTTGTGCACAAACACACCACAGACACACTACAGACATACTACAAATTACAGCAGTTACAAGTGCAAGTACAAGCACAACGGAAGATACAAAGACAGCATCATTATTAGCATCATTATCATCATCGTGAACGGCAAAGACAACGAACTCCCCGGTTCTCCGTATCAACATTTATCAAATGCCAAATTGTTTATTAATATACCAACACCAATAATAATGACATTGTCAATCTAACCTTTCTATACTTGACACTATAGATGACTAGATTCATTCTGCTTTATCTATTCATCTATCGACCTATGTTTGATTACTAATGATAATGAAGTATCCTTTATAGTTTTCTCGCAATCATAACCATAGCAACACCGAAAAATAAAACGAAATAAAACAATAGGAATCATTATTGTTTCTTGTTTTATTTATTTATTCTTATAAAAATGATATTAAAATATAATGTATCTTAGGTGAACATATCAAAATCACTAATTGTTTCTGTTTCAATTTTTGTGAGATGAGCCCCAGGAATCATTACACTTCCTACTAAACGTTCCTCAGCTAGTATTATTCCCACATAATTTTATGTTATTAGTTGTCTGTATATTAGCTATCTAAGTAGAGCTCACCTCCTCTGTACTCATTAGCTTGAGACAATATAATATTCTTTTGCTTGTCAATGCAAACAAACTTGCCAATGAATACCCTTCCATCTCTTATGCGAACTCGAGTCTTTTGGTTTAAATATCCTTCAAGTTCAAGTATATTGCCTTTTTGGTGTGTCATTGCTTTTATATAAATATAAATATATATATATATATAAAAGCAAAGATAATAGTAATGAGGAGTTTTTCCCTTATTATTATTATTATTATTATTATAATTATTTTACATATATAAAAAGCAATATAAAATAAAAATAAAAATGTGTGGTGCGATTCCCCAGTCACTCTTGGAAATTTCCATTGGGTTCGATGTCCTTTTTCTAATATCTATGTATTTTTACCTACAAACCCTTGGTCAATTTATATCCTACGCACACGAATATATATATATATATATATATACGAGTGAGTGAGTTAATGGAATAAACAAGTATTATATATTGTATATATTATAGAGAGAGAGAAAAGGTTTATAAAAGTATGCAAATCCAGCGCACATACACACACACAATTTATATATAAATATAAATAATATATATTATATAAAATATTGTATAATATTGTATTTTGAATTTTTTAATTTCCTTTTCTTCTTCTATTTTCTTCTTCTGCTTCTTCTTCTTGCTCTTCTTCCTTTCTAGCTGTTGCTGCTCTGTGCACTTTGTTGTATTTTCTCTATAGCAAAAAATAAAAAGCCAAAAAAATAAATAATATTTTATCATGTCTAACTGGAAAAACGTTAACAACTGGTGAGATTTTTTTTCTATAATAGAAATCCATAAAAGAAAGAAAGGCAGATAACAAATCAATATATAGATAGATAGATAGATAGATAGATAGACAGGTAGACAAATCGAATGCGTGTGTGTGTGTCTGTTTATTTCTTTTTTGGCTTATGTCATATATATTAATAATTTATTTATTTTATTTATTTGTTTTCTGTAATAATTGTATGGACACACAAGGCATTGGTAAGTTGACATAAACAAATAATAATAAAAAATGAAGAAAAGTGCTTAATTGGGCCTTTGTATTGATTTGCAATGCAATGAAATGGAACAATGCTCATCCTTTTTCATAACAGGGTCAACAAGAACTGTGTAAAGTGGGCAGAAACTTACTTTACTGACAAGATTGTTGGTACCGAAGTAACAAAGGACAAGACCACTGTCAAGATTACCAGTCTCGATGAACTCACCGGTGATGTTGACTTGAACCAGCGTAAAGGAAAGCTAATCACCATCTTTGATGTCGCATTGACCTATGGCTGGAAAGGTACAAACTAAGAGAAGAAATCATTAAATATACATGTAATTGGTATAATTGTTAAGGATCAAAGGAAAGAAAGATATATTCAATATATAACATTATATGCAAAAAATATTAGGTACTTTGGAAGATGGCACCGAGGTTTCTGGAAAGATCTTTATTCCAGAGGTTGCACACGATACTGATTCTGATGACTATGTGGTGGGGTTCTTTTTTTTTGTTTTGTTTTGATTTCTATTCACAAATTTCAATTGTAATTTTTTTTATTAATTTATATTTGTTGTAATCCCTAGTTTGATGTCACCATTGATGATGACAAGCCTGCCAAGCAAGTCGTCCGTGGTCTGATTAGAAAAGAATTGGGTCCTATCTTGGCCGAGAAGCTTGCCCGTTTCTCAGACGATTTGATCAAGCGTAAGTTTATATACCAAAGCTTCCAGATGATTTATATGCTAATAGTAATAATATTTATTTGTAGAACACAGCTCGGATGTCTACATTGATCCTTCACAACTGGGTCAAGCTGCTCCTCCCAGAGCTGCCCACCCCAACACTAAAGAACACTCTGCTACTCACATCAACAACACCTCTTCTACTACTGGTGCAGCAGCCAGTTCTGCTTCTGCTCCCAAGAAGGTCAACACTACTACTATCAAGGATACAGTTGAATTCTTGACCTCTGCTAATGAACTGTACAACACTTTGTTGGATCCTGGACGCGCATCAATCTGGTCTCGAGGACCTGCCAAGATTTCCGACAAAGTTGGTACCAAGTTTGAGTTCTTCAATGGAAATGTAACTGGCGAGATCCTTGAATTGGTAAAAAAGCTTTTCTCTTTCTCTTTTTCTTTCTTTTTTGTTCTTGTTCTTGTTTTTGCTCTTGTTTTTGCTTTCTTAAAGAAATAATAATAATATGTTTATCAATTTCCTTTATCTATATATATGTGTATGTATCTTTGCATGTTTTCAATGTCTGTGAACTGTGAATCTTAGGAAATTGGCAAGAAGATTGTCGAGTCTTGGCGCTTGAAGTCATGGCCAGAAGGTAATTTTAATTAATATATCTAGAGACGAAGAGGATGGCAATATGTGTGAAAATATATGTGTAGATTACATGTGCTTACTTCATTTATTTTATATAACTATAAATATTATGATAATGGCAGGTCATTATTCGACTGTTACTCTTACATTGGAGCAGAGCAGTGATTGTGTAAAGTTACACATGCAGCAGACTGGTGTCCCGGTTGGAGAAGAAGAGTTGACCCGAAACAACTGGAATGGATACTACTGGAGAGCAATCAAAGAGACCTTTGGTTTTGGTGCCAATTTTTAGAGGACAAATATTATAAAAATGAAGCAGAAGCAGAAGAATATATATATATTTAAAAAGAAGAAGAATAAAAAAAAATAAAAAACATAAAAAAAAATACATATTCACTCACAAACAAAACCCATACAAAATCATACAATAAATTAAAATAAAAGAAACAGTTGGTTTATGTATTTATATACCTAATAGTTATGTTGTATGTGTATAAGAGACGCTCTTGGCTTATACAAGTAAGTATATATAGTATCGTTTGTATTTAATGTGAACACAACCACAAGAAAATTGCGCCGTGTTATTTTATTCATTGGAATTTAACATAATGGTATCGGCGTCGATTAACAAAAGCCAGAAATCTATCGAGACTTATGGGTAAGATCCTTAATAAAAGCTAATGTTTTTTCATTATAGCTTTAAAATTTACCAATTCTGCTGCTCTTAGCTTTTAAGTGTAAAACATATAACATGTCTTTTGTTAATCTCAACTGTATTCGGGATATCGCTAATCCCAGGAGTGATATCTACACTGTGATTGGAACCAATATTTTGATCATACCAGACTAATACTATATGCTAACTTGCTCTCGAGAGTCTAATAATCATATCTGGTCCCTAACAATTTACTTTAATTAGAGATAGTGTCTGTGGACTTGTGACGATTTAACTACTAGTTAATGAGTATTGCACTTGTATACTCGAAAATAGACATTATTGGCAAAATAGGTATGGTAGGAGAGACTCTATTTGGGTGGCTAGATCGAAAGCTGCGAGAAATCTTTGATAGATCAGTTTCTTTTGGTTGAAAGACTGTTATTGTTGTTGTATTTGGTAATTTATTGCACCTTTTCTCAGTTGACAGCACTACACTTTACAGCACCAATTGTCTAAAATCCTCAAATTTATTTGTAGTATTATTTGGGTACAAGTTATGGGAAGTATTCAAAGCTTACGAGCCAAGGAAGATTATGCGATAAAGAGATGGCGTCTCTTTTCACAGTAGCATTAAATACTATAGCAGCTAAACCAATAACTGGAGCTGATATCCAAATCCTTCAAGGTAGAGTTACCCACACAAGCTCTGAAAATTTGATGGGAGTCAGTACTGCGAGAATAGCTTTACCCTTAAGCCTTGGCACTCGAAAAAACAATTAATCTGACAGCAGTAAACAATGATACTAATAGTATACTTGGTTAATACAAATGTATACACTCAGCAGCTAAATCAGCACATATTCACAAGCTTGAATACTAAAGATCCAATTTCGGTTTTTTTTATCGAGTAACAAGATATTACAGAGATAACACTGTTATTTTTTTTAAAAAAAAAACTATGTATCCTTCCAAGGAACATATAAACCAATATATTATCCAATAGCTGATGAAAATGCTTTTCCAGAACAAAAGAAAATTAGTGCAAAAAATACGATAACTGCAACCATAGACAAAGTAGATGGATTTTAAATGGGGTATCCGGAATATTAGAACGAATTGATTATGATCAAAATCTTGTACCGGACAACACAGATTTTGAAACATCGGATTATTTTTATTATTATTATAGACAAAGTTAATGGTACACTGTGAGTTGGCTATATAGTCGAAGTATAAGTTCAGCGACAAGAAAATGAATATCTGTAGAAGGACAATTTTAGTAAAGAACAAATTAAAGAGATCTAGTTAAATACTTTGGGTCATTTTTACAGACACACCACCGCCACTTCAAAGTTGATTTGAATGAGACACCACACAAATCTGGAACAGCAAAAATATGGACAGAATTTTTATTTGTCTGCCAAATTAAGGGGACACTTTTGTCCAATTTACACTGTTTTCCAGTTTTCCAATTTTCCAGATTTAGGACAATATTTTTGAATGAGCTATACCAAAACCAAACCCCGCCGTGCCATAGTGAACTAAATGAACCACTTGACAAATCCCGAGAGCAGAAATTTGGGACAAAGTGTGAATTTGCCCATCAAATTAAGTGTACACTTTTGACCAATTTACTGTTATCGGGCTATCGGGCTATCGGGCTATCGGGCTATCGTGATTCAGGATTATATTTTTGAATGAATGCCTCATTAGAAAATACACCTTGTCTACCTTACCAAGGAACACAAGTATAATAAGACAGCTCTCAAGTGTAATATAGTAGTACCAAAAACATTATTAATAATATTTTTTAAAGACAAATGTAAGATCAAAATCAAAGAGACAAAACATAAAGATAATATCAAAGTCAAATGAGATCAAAATTTATTGTTCAAAGATTTTTATAAGGGGAATATAAGTTAAGTTAAATTAAATTAAGTATACTAAGATATTCCAGGCCATGCTAGTCCAGTCGAGTCCAGTCGGTTTCAGTCAAGTCCAGTCGGTTTTTTTTTGGTCCATTTGATTTCTCTTTTGATCTTTTTTTTTGTCCGTTTTTTTTTTATTTTTTTTTGTCCAGTCAATATAAGCTAAGAGTGATAGGAGGAGGAGGATTTTGGTATTGAAAAATAATAAAGGGGATAATTTGGACTTTTTGTTTTTTTTCTTGTTTTTTTGATTCTTTTTTTGATTCTTTTTTTTTGTCCAGTCAATTTCACGGAATAGTAATAAGAGAATGATTTTGATATTGAAAAGAATAAAAAAGATAATTTGGACTTTTTGATTTTTTTTTTGATTTTTTTTTGTCCAAACACAGCACACATAATAAAGGGGATAATTTGGACTTTTTGATTTTTTTTTTTGATTTTTTTTTGTCCGAACACAGCACACATAGTAAAGGGGATAATTTGGACTTTTTGATTTTGATTTTTGATTTTGATTTTTTTTTTGATTTTTTTTACTTCTTTTTTTTGTCCAGTCAATCTCACATAATAGTAATAAGAGAAGAGGGTTTTGATATTGAAAAGAATAAGAGAAGGGGGTTTTGGTATTGCTCTTTTTGCTCTTTCTGTTTTTTTTGAGCTTCTTTTTTTGAGCATTTTTTTTTGTTTTTTGTTTTTGATCAAAGACTTCATTTGCTTTGTATGTATATATGTAAAAAGGGATTTCATACCTTGTCTTAATCCAGAGTCTTGTTCCAGTTCGCAGCTTTGCTTCAATCCAGGTCCAGGTTCCAATGCAGAGTTCTTCCGGTTTGTTCATCTTTTTTTGCTTTTTTTTTTTTGCTTTTTTTTTGCTTTTTTTTTTTTGCTTTTTTTTTTGCTTTTTTTTTTTTTTTGAGAGAGGAGGGCTTAGTATATGCCTGTGTGATTTTTGGACAGGACTTAGTATAGGCCTCAGGGTCGGATTTCTTTTGATCCTTTTAGAGTGGAGGACTTAATGTGCCTGATCATTTCTGATAGGTTTTGGTCTACGCCTCGGTTTTTGGATTTGATCCTTTAGGAGTGGAGGATTTAGTATATGCCTCGAGTTCGGATTTCTTTTGATCCTTTTGGAGAGGAGGACTTAGTATATGCCCGTTTTTTTTACAGGACTTAGTATAGGCCTCGGATTTGGTTTTTGGTTTTTGGTTTTTCTTTTGGAACTTGCTTTTGGAACTTTGCATTGGACCCCTTCTTGGAAATCAACTTGGCCTTGAGACTTGGAGGTACAACCCAGATTTTGGACTTTGATAGAAATGCGCCTCTACTTTTGTATGTATATATGTATGTATATAAGTGTGTATATGTATGTTTGTATGACTATGACTATGACTATGACTATGTGTGTGTGTGTATTTGTGTGTGTGTGTGTGTGTGTAAGAAAGAAATAGAAAAATAGAAATTGTGTGTGTTTGTGTGTGTATGTATTTGTCTACTTCTCTAATTGTGTACTTCTCTATTTGTTTGTATATGTTTGTGTGCTAGGACTAGTACTAGAACAGTACTTGGACGGTGTTTGGACATTTGGACATTTGGACTTGGAAAAGACTTGGAATTGGACTTGGACTTGGACTTGGACATAGCAATGTACCTTGGCTTGACTATTTTGGAGATTGTACTAGTGACTATGGGGCTTGATCTGAGATAGAGAGATAATTGTAAGCATATTTTTTCTCTGGTAAATATTGTTCTGGTTGTTTTTTTTTCTGCTTTTTCTTTTTTTTTGTATCTTTTTTTTTCTTTTCATTTTCTTTTTATATTTTTTTTTCTTTGTACTTCTTTTCTTTTTTGACTATCTATCTTGATTTGGCTTTGAATCTTGACAGTGACCTTGAGGGTCTCTGAAAAGCCTTTTTTCTCTTGCGCGCATTTGGAGCCTGTATTGTAGCAATACAAAGTACAATTAGTCTATGTCTTGATATATTTCACCCTTTTTCCCGACACTTACATTAGCCTTTCTTGTGGGCCGGATTGATGTTTGCTCTGGCGCCTACTTTGGCCTTTCTTGTGGGCTGGTTTGCCCTTTTCTTCTGGCACATACTTTGGCCTTTCTTGTGGGGCGGTTTGCCCTTTTCTTCTGGCACATACTTTGGCCTTTCTTGTGGGCTGGTTCGCCCTTTTTTGCTGGCTCATATTTTGGCCTTTCTTGTGGGCTGGTTCGCCCTTTTTTGCTGGCACATACTTTGGCCTTTCTTGTGGGCCGGTTTGTCCTTTATCTGGTGCGCACTTGGAGTCTGCATTGTAACAATACAAAAACAATTAGATTATGTCTTGAGATATTTTGGTCCTATTCCCGACACTTACATTTGCCTGTCTTGTGGGCCGGATTGGTCTTTGCTCTGGCGCATACTTTGGCCTCTCTTATGGGCCGATGTGGCCTTTTTGCAGGCGCCCATGTTGGGCTTCTGGTGAGCCTTATCGGCTTTCGACGAGGTGTCTTGAGGACACGACATAGCCGACAATTTTGCGGCAGAAATGGAACCATCGGGTTCCCCAGCAGAAGCAACAGGAAGCAACAGGAAGCAAATGTCCGACCAGTGGGATAAATGTCTCCTACCAGTGAGATAAATGGACCCGCCAGTGGAAGTAAAACAGGCGGCTGGCAACTGGAAACTGGCAACCGGCAACCGGCAACCGACGGCTATATGAAAAGGTCCACTGGCGAGAGATAACAGGTCCACTGGTAGGAGGAAAGGGCCTACCAGTGGGAAGCAACAAACCCACTGGCAGAAAAGTCCCACTGGCGGAAGCAACAGACTAACAAAAAAAAGCAACAAGCAACAGTACCTTTCATATAACATGGACCGCCGTGGAAGGCATAGGGAAGGAACAAGCAACGGGAGGGAACAAGCAACGGGAACTAACCCAAAAAAGATGGTACCAGCCGCGCCCACCAGAAGAGACGACAGAAAGCAACCAGTAATACACAGGAATACGGACAACGGGCTCACACGCTACACGCGCGCTTGTGGACTTGCTCGATAGACCATGTTTGACCCGTGGCTCTACTCCATCGGGCCCCTTTGAAAGAAAGAAAGAAAAAGAGAGAGAGCGGTCGGTCGTAAGAGTCCAAAATCGGCTCAACAAGCTTAACAAAATAATATTGTCAAGGCTTTATGAACGTCTTTTGAACTCTTACAGTCGCCTACTCCATAGGCTTTGATTAATTAGTATTCAAAGTTGCATAGCACATAACGTAAAAAAATCATATACTTATCTTAAAGTGATCTGGCTAGCCGTTCATAAGAAAAAAATCATGGCTATCGGAAGACCCTCTTGGCTTCTGTGTATAAACGATGACCGGCCGGACATAAACCCATATATTACCAGAAGCTCTCCATCGTCTCCACCAGTAGACACGGCCAGTACAAAGAAAAAGGGAAAAAAGGAAACCCAAAAGACGCGAAAATTTTTCTCTAGTTATAAAAACAAAAATGGGGAGATGATGACGCCTCCCTCACTTTAGTCCAATAAAATTCATTGAAAGTATACATCAATCAAAAGATTGGGGGAGATAGGGGGAGAAGGATGGATGGATGCATCCTGTGTGGTGTTGGTCACGTTGATCATTTGTTTCCGTCACAACAAATACTTTTCAGAGAAAGTACCTGATTATAATATTGTATATACACAAGCTAAAAAATGAAAACAGAAAGCCTTTTTAAAATATAGCACTGGTCTTGCTTTCCAACTCTTACACTCAGTACCTATATGCTTAATTTTTGCAGTGCTATGTTGTAGTATCCTTTAAATGTATCTACTGTTTAATAAAGGACAGGCCTTGAAAGGCGTTTTCGGAAGAAATAAGGCCGTCATGATACAAAAGATAGAGGGGAGATCATGCAAATAAACAGGCTAAGTCCAAACAAGGAAACCCAATATATATACATTTATACAGGTATGTATCACACGTTTCATATTTTCTCACCCTATTTGCTTCCTTTCAAAGGTTACCAAGTTACTTATGAAGTTAATAAAGCAAGCGCACCAAGACAAGAGGTGTTTGGTAAAGAATACAAAATATACAAGACATAAAAAATGGCTATAGTTATTTGGCTTATTATTTATAAAATAATAATATTTTGAAGAATTTTGATAGTGTGCTTCTGCTAATCAGACAAGTCTAAGAGTACGCCTAATCGTAGCACTTTCACGTGAATTGATAAATCCCTTTATAAAAAATATATTTTTCGTAAGTCAAAGAGTGCTTTATACTGCTACTCTCGAATCGACTCTTTTATATATTCAGTATATAAAGACTCTCTATATCTCTTACTAGGATTCTTTTATTTACTCTATATGTATCAAATTAATGTACTCTAAGCAATAGGCAGCACTATAAATTGCGTATTGAATAATGCAATTTATTTTTGTAATAAAAAAAAAGAGATAAATATGCACTTTTAATAACAATATATATCATACATATAGTATGACAATATTATCTGAAATCCTCAAGCCTCTTATAACTTACAAAATAAAGTCTAAAGGCTACTGCTTTAATATATTATGCCTTTTGCAAATGTAATTTTAAGCAGACACGCAATTAATTTTTTATTTTGTGCATATATAAAAAGCAAGTTGTCATCTTTTGTTTATTCTTCCTTAAATAAAAGAGGTTGGTTATAAAATCGAATAATGCTTTTGCAACAACACTTTATAATTCTTTCTAGCAATATTAGCTCGTAAATATTATTAGCTGTATTTTACTCGAGTAAAAACATTGTGACAATGAGTTTTATTCTCTTGGATCTCACACGTGCAAATACTTGGAAATGTTGGTATAAGAATTATACAAAAAAGAGTAAAGAAGTTGAGACAAAGAAAAGTACAACTATCACAAAGTATCGACTTGATTTGGGAGCACAAAGAAAGATGCATTGGCCAGTGTAATTCTTATCCGTGATTATTGTTTTTTAAATGTACCCAAGTAGGGCCAGTTTCTTATTTCTCCCATATTTTCCAGCTAGCCACAGCAATGAAAGGTCAACCTCGAGCCAATTGAACAAAGTGTTGGTGTGAGTCGTTTCAAACTGAACAGATAGAAGAGGCAGAACAACTAGTTGGAGATTTTGCTGGCATATAAAGGGGTAACTTGATTTTTGTTTGTGGTCAAAAAGAGTGAGCAACCGGATCTGACATGTAAATAAGAGTAATTTTATAAAGTAATAGAATCTTTTACATGTATAGAGATGAAGTGTAGTGGCTAGGTAAAGTGATGTACTTTATGGCTTAACAACCATCGGGAGTCTCTTTTGATACTGTTATAACCAGTAATAACATATGCCGATACACATAAGATTAAGATAAATCATTATAAACAAGAAATAACAAATGTAAAGAAGCAGTGAATACAAGAAGAAAAACAGTCTTTTCTGATAGAATATGGAGAGACGTATAAGAATCTAAATGTACACGATCAAGAGCATAAAAGTCTGGAGTGAAGTTAACAGTTGGATTAGAGATAGAAAATCAGCAGAACAGCAAAGAAAAGAGAGAAAATAGACTAGATCTTCAGCGCGTACTGATTTGGAATTGGGATGGAATCATAATTACCAATTTGCAGAGTTAAAAGAGTAAAAATGCTATATTAAGTCACCAAAACATATGCGAAGAAAGCAATAAGGTCTTGGAAATTATATTTATAAGCGACACTATTTTTGTAACTAAAATTGTAAGCAATAATTGACTACTGTTGTAAACGAGTATTTATTACTGCTGGGCTTGAGATCAATATCAAAGGATGAATAATTTATTGTTAATAATTCCAGCTAAATAAATCTGCGTATACTTTAATAGCTAATACATAAGTTATCATATATGTAATTTATTATTGTTTTATATTATTAGCATAGCATGCAATACATGATCACAGACATTACATATACAACATAGTGATATTTCATCTAAATGTTTATCTTACTATAGTTATACTTTATTTAAAGACTACACATCAGCTTATGATGCAAACACATCACCCGACTACTTGGGTCAGAAAATTCAAATACTACCAATATTATATGTGCTCTTTTTTGTTCAAAGTCTCTGGCTGATATAACTAGAAGGTCGTTGTATCCATACATTTTTTAGATGAATGATATTCCTTAATTATGTTTCATAATAATGTCATGTTGCGTGTATATTCACATTTTCAGCTGGCCCAGACATATCATATCTTTATAAGCCTTTTTGTATCAATTATGTAAACCAATTAGTTAAGCTAAGACCTTAAGAAAAACACGATTGTTACGGCTGGTGCAGAAGTCAATTTAAAATTATAAGGATTGTAAAAATGAATCCCAGCAATATATATCTATTTCTATTTCTCTCTCTTATTTATTATTCATTATCCAAAGAAACACATCTTATCCCAAAATCTTAGTATGGCTTAGTAGTATCTTACTGATTATATTATTATTTTAATTATCAAAATATTTTTATAAGCATCGAAAGGTGAAAGCAATAAAGGTCATTATTATATTGGACCTCTATTTTTATCTTTTTCAAGAGAACAAGCTGCCAATTGTCAATATTTGGGCTAAGGAGTTTTTAGAAAAGATTGATATATATTCTTTTTTTTTCTGTTAACGATTTGGGTCATTTCTTTACATAAACCAATACAGCTCGTATCAATAATAATTACTTGAGCACTACTGAAATACAATGTAGAGAGCATATAGATGTCAGCCGTTAATATTATGTAAAAGAAATTGAATTTTATTGATCTTTTCTTTCCCTTTCTTTTGAAATAAGGCACTGTATATAAGCTATTGTGAATTCTGCTCTCTTTATTCTCTTTATTTCTCTAAAAAATATTACTTTCAAGCAAAATCGTTGTAAGCAGTATTCAGCCTGGCACAAGTGTGAATAGTAAGATATCAAATATCCTGTACTATTTCAAAGTTGGACAGCAGTCAGAGTCCAGAATAGAAGAGAAAAAACGATTGGTCAGAGTATATAAAGAACGGAACATCTCTGTGAAATAGTACTACATCGGACAAAATGTGGCATCTATAGCCTTTTAAGAAGAAGAAAAACGATTATGAAATACTAAAAGAACTATGAGCTGAGCAGAATATTGCAAGCCCACCAAAAGAAGAAAAATATTTAACGAAAATTCCCTTTTATTTTCAAACAGAGAATCACTAATAAACCAGTCAAGCGATTTACATGAGGAAACCGCACATAAGAAATTTGCAGAAGTATACTGTGCGCATCGGAACCTGTAATTACCGTAGTTGCATAAGAAAACCGTTGTATTTGGGATACTTTGATATCCGATATCGTATACGAACCCAGATAGAAGTACCTGTCAAAGAGGTTGTTATAAATGATTATCCAATATGAAGCTCCTATCTGAAACATAATAGCAATATGCCTGATCCATCATTGGCTCATCTTCACGGAGTACTTAAACTATTATCGCAAATTTGTTACAATGACTCATATTCAGAGTAACTAGATATTTTTCAATAACTATAGATACCAAAGATAAAATAACTTTTAAGATAATCGGATTTGGCTGAACATCTCTGAATAATAATAAAAAAGACTCAAAGTACTTGTCGTTCCAACCTTTCCTACACACATAAATATAACAGTATCGTTTAAAGCATTTGAATAAAAGCTATATAATAATTCTAATACTATTCACAAGTATCTGTACCCGTCCGATCCAAGAGACTAAATCTCATTGTCTCAAAAAAAATAGTTTGATGGAAATTACAGCTATGATTTTTCTTTTGCAGTTACACCTTGTACTATATGAAGTGTTATATCTACATTTACCTCCCAGATATTAAAAGGGTGTCTAATTGTGTTTTGTAAGTCAGGAAGTTTGATTTACCTAGCACTATTATATCCTCTATCCTTTTTCCTCTTATATTTGTTTTCTTATATTCGACGTGATTTGTGAGAGATACAAGCTACAATTTATTTAGTATGGTTTAGACCTTATTTCTGCGTACACTGCCCAAGTACACGGCTGTACACAAAATATAATATTTCCGCTTTGCCAACTAGTATAGATATTACAACTGTACAATGGGCCATTATTTTAAAAAACTACTATTTTTCCGGCCTATATAACTTATTTTTGTAATTAAATAACAAAGTTACCCACCAGTCAACTAACCGGTAAGCTTGCCTGGAACAATATTTTCTATCGATTTTTCAAAGAATATACTCCACTTATTTACTGGATAATAAAAGTAGTACTTACATCCGAGTATATTTTTTGGTGATAAATATAATGCTATGTTTTTACTCGAGTAAAATACAGCTAATAATATTTACGAGCTAATATTGCTAGAAAGAATTATAAAGTGTTGTTGCAAAAGCATTATTCGATTTTATAACCAACCTCTTTTATTTAAGGAAGAATAAACAAAAGATGACAACTTGCTTTTTATATATGCACAAAATAAAAAATTAATTGCGTGTCTGCTTAAAATTACATTTGCAAAAGGCATAATATATTAAAGCAGTAGCCTTTAGACTTTATTTTGTAAGTTATAAGAGGCTTGAGGATTTCAGATAATATTGTCATACTATATGTATGATATATATTGTTATTAAAAGTGCATATTTATCTCTTTTTTTTTATTACAAAAATAAATTGCATTATTCAATACGCAATTTATAGTGCTGCCTATTGCTTAGAGTACATTAATTTGATACATATAGAGTAAATAAAAGAATCCTAGTAAGAGATATAGAGAGTCTTTATATACTGAATATATAAAAGAGTCGATTCGAGAGTAGCAGTATAAAGCACTCTTTGACTTACGAAAAATATATTTTTTATAAAGGGATTTATCAATTCACGTGAAAGTGCTACGATTAGGCGTACTCTTAGACTTGTCTGATTAGCAGAAGCACACTATCAAAATTCTTCAAAATATTATTATTTTATAAATAATAAGCCAAATAACTATAGCCATTTTTTATGTCTTGTATATTTTGTATTCTTTACCAAACACCTCTTGTCTTGGTGCGCTTGCTTTATTAACTTCATAAGTAACTTGGTAACCTTTGAAAGGAAGCAAATAGGGTGAGAAAATATGAAACGTGTGATACATACCTGTATAAATGTATATATATTGGGTTTCCTTGTTTGGACTTAGCCTGTTTATTTGCATGATCTCCCCTCTATCTTTTGTATCATGACGGCCTTATTTCTTCCGAAAACGCCTTTCAAGGCCTGTCCTTTATTAAACAGTAGATACATTTAAAGGATACTACAACATAGCACTGCAAAAATTAAGCATATAGGTACTGAGTGTAAGAGTTGGAAAGCAAGACCAGTGCTATATTTTAAAAAGGCTTTCTGTTTTCATTTTTTAGCTTGTGTATATACAATATTATAATCAGGTACTTTCTCTGAAAAGTATTTGTTGTGACGGAAACAAATGATCAACGTGACCAACACCACACAGGATGCATCCATCCATCCTTCTCCCCCTATCTCCCCCAATCTTTTGATTGATGTATACTTTCAATGAATTTTATTGGACTAAAGTGAGGGAGGCGTCATCATCTCCCCATTTTTGTTTTTATAACTAGAGAAAAATTTTCGCGTCTTTTGGGTTTCCTTTTTTCCCTTTTTCTTTGTACTGGCCGTGTCTACTGGTGGAGACGATGGAGAGCTTCTGGTAATATATGGGTTTATGTCCGGCCGGTCATCGTTTATACACAGAAGCCAAGAGGGTCTTCCGATAGCCATGATTTTTTTCTTATGAACGGCTAGCCAGATCACTTTAAGATAAGTATATGATTTTTTTACGTTATGTGCTATGCAACTTTGAATA